CCCAACTCCCCCTCCCCCTCCCCATCCCCATCAACCCGTCGATACCCCTGCCTCTCCCTCTCCCGCCTCTTCCTCACGCATACCCACCCAACAAGCCCCCCCAACATCTCTGCTCGATTTCCACTCCTCCCAAGTCCGCAGTCGGCTCAGCACTACCTTCCTAATCGGGCGCCCATCTCTTCCTCAGCACCACATCAACCACAGCACCACAGCACCACCAAACCCTCCAATCCTCCCTCTCTCAATTTCCTCTCTCTCCAGCAGACAAGCCCCACCATCGCAACCTCACAGCAATGGCGTCTCAACACGGCGCCCTCGTCGTCCTCGGCTCCGGTCCCGGGATCGGCTCCCACGTCGCTGCCCTCTTCGCCTCCCGCGGCTTCAACAAGATCGTTTTGATGTCCCGCAACGCGGAGCGGTTGAGACAAGACGCCTCTTTCGTCCAGTCCCGCGCTCCTGACGCCGTGGTAGAGATCGTCACGATCGACTTGGCTGACTCTGAGAGCGTAGCGACTGCACTTGCGGAGGTTGATGAACGCCTCGAGGGGACGAAGCTGGAATGCGTACTCTTCAACGCGGCGAGGATAGGGGCGAGCAAACTGCTTGAATGGACGCCTGAACAGCTCGAAAATGACCTCAAAGTCCTGCCCCCGCTGCCCCCAACACTCGCTTTACTAAACCACATATCTAACGAGTAACCGGACACCAGATCTCCATCGTCTGTCTTTATAGAGTGGCGCAATGGGCTATCCCGCACCTTCTCAAACTGGCCGGGGAGGGGAAGGAGGGGTATAAGCCGAGTTTCCTCGTGACGAGCGGCGGGTTGTATAAGAACCCGTTTCCAGATCGGTTCAGCCTGGCGGTGCAGAAGGCGGGGCAGTATAATCTGGTGCATTCGCTTTGGAAGGCTTATAACTCGCAGGGGGTAAGTTGGGGTACAGCGAGGCTGGGATGAAAAGGGTGCTGACGCGGTGCTGTGTAGGTGCATTGTGCGTTGATTGTCGTGCAGGGACAAGTCAAGAAGGAGGCGAAGGTTACGACGCCGGAGCATATCGCGGAGTGTACGTGGAAGTTGTATGATCAGGAGAAGGGGAAAGGGGATCTGGATGTTGGGATTGTGGATCCGGATTATAACAAGTGAATCGTAGGTTGTTGTGGAGGGTGGTGGATGATGTATACGGTAAGGAACACAGAACGAACAAACCTCGAATATTGCTTTCGGTGTGCGAGTCTCAACGTTCATCCAGTCGACCTCGCCAGCCCAGCTGCTCTTGCGTGCTTCTCATCGTCGCGGTCACCAAGTCCCACGCTCTCGTCCACTTCTCCCACGACCTGTCCACGGTGAAGGCGGCTCAACAACCAAGAACGTCTTCCTCGGAGCGTGCATCAGATATATGAGATCTGGACGATCAGCAAATCTCATCCTGACGAACCAAGGCACTAATGGCCGCTGCTTGCGCTATTCGTGAAGGTAGTGCTTGGTCCGAGTGTTCAGTGTTGGTGAATGCAAACACCCCCGCATCCACGAGAAGGCAGTCGTTCGTGCTCCACGACAGCATGTCGCCTTATAGACCTCGCCGGAGATTTTCAGCGTGAAGAGTAGACGATACAACAAACGACGCACATCCCCAGTCCGGACGAAAGTTTAAGATCGCGCGAGACGCGCGAGTGGCGTCAACAGCGCGATAGAGTTTCGTGAAATGTGTCGTGGGCGTTGCGCAAGAATAGTCTAGCTCGACCGGTGTGGCAGGCTGAGACACGTTCTCAAAGAGGGTTGGAGTGATACGAATAACAATGTCACCTCCAGACTCTTGCTGTGACTGTTGTAGGAGATAGAGACATCGTCACTTCGGCCGGAGAGGCCCAGTTCGTATTTTCACAAAAGGCAAGAGCAGACGGGACCGCGGAAGTGAAAGAAAAGCAGGTGCTCGTGCGATTTGCTGATGGGGCCCGTATGTCGTGTCAGATAGCGTTTGGACTGGTCAGGGGTCCCGGCTGGTGGAGTGCTGAGGCCACAAGACTGCGGAGAAAAGAGGGCAGGGGGCTTGTTGCAGATCATCGATACCGTAACTTTTATACACACATTCACCGTGTTTGAAGAAATCAAATCAGGACACCTTATTGTGTAGACTCCAATACCGCCCAAAGCCACCTTTACCAGTTCAAAGTGTTGCTTTGATAGTTCTCAGGGGCCAACCCCGGCAGTGACTTCGCGCTGTTGAACGGTGTGCATCGCTGGCGTCCATCGTGTCTCGACCGGCTGTCGACCGACTGGCGGCACGCGTGCAGCGGCGGCACGACGGACGCAGGCACACACTTTCTCCCACCTGCAGCAACATCCGGCATAGTTCGCTCTTTAGCCGAGTGCCAGACGGCCTCTCGTAGAGCGTGTAGGGGGGTGTTAGGCTGGGTACATTCATCTTGGTACCGTGCAAGCGCGAGACGTTCTTCCACCGGCTGCGGTGTAGCGAGAGAGAGGGTGCTCGGATCATTGTTCGCCAGCGAAAGAGGACTAGACCAGAGCCAGAAGACCCTGGCTTGTCTTTTAGCAGCATCCTCTACAACCACTCGCTGCTGTGGTATCGTTGAGTCCGGCGCTTTTGGCCGTACCCGTCCTGTTGCTCCTACTCGTCCCTCTTGACGACCCCATACCCTACCCTCCGCTCCGTCGTGGAATACCTTTGGACGACCTGCAACGAAACGTGTCTTGGAAGAGCGGAGCAGCGGCGGAAGCAACCTACCTCGCGACTCAGGGCACGTCCGTCTTCAAACGCTCCGGACTTCAGACGCTGCTACGAGACGGGCCTCCGACCGTGGTTGTGCTCGACACCGTCGCACCTCTCCCGCACGGCTGCTTGCGTCTTCCGGCATTGACACCTGCTGTGTAACGACCACTTCAAGGAGACACACCACATTCAATGAACTTCAACACTGCTTGAACGACCAAATCCAGTACACAAGAGAGCGCAGGAATAGCAAGCTCGTTTCCTTATCGTAACATCATACATGGCTCCCACACCCAAGATCAACAAGCCCGCCGAGAACCACAATGTCGGCGACACGGCTGCCCCTCTCGCCGACTACTTCTTCATATCCGGCATTGAATCCTCGCAGGTCTACGATGAGCGGCAGGACACATCACCAGCACCAGCCCCGGTCGAGGACACTATCGAGGAGGACGAGGCATTAGTGACGAACAGCGAGAGCCGACCCGATACTCCTACCTCCCCACAACCACCTTCCGACAGCGCCAAGCGAAGGTCACGATACTCGTTCGAAGCTCGGAAAAGCATTGGCAGCATTATCAACAGCGGCGAATACCAGCCCGCGAGCAACCGAAGCAGCACGACCATCAAAGCGGTCAAGATCACAGAAGGACCCGGCGGCCTCAGCGACGATGCCTTTGAAGAAGCGCTTAAGAAGTTCGCTTCGGAGAGAGACAGTTTCTTGGAAGAGAACCACGTTACAGCGGGCGCGGTAGTGGCACCCTCGCACCAGAATCCGAAGAAGCCACGGCCGAGAACCATTCGCATAACACAGGATGAGGACGGCCCGGCGAGTGGGCTCAGGGGGTCGGTGGGGAGCTTGCAGAGGAGGATATCGACGATGAAGAGCATGAAGCGGCAGCCTTCTGTGATGAGTAGGCAGTCGTCAGTCAAGACGTCGAAGCGGCTGAGTGGGTACAATAGCGTGATACCGGCTCCGCAACCTTTCAAGACGGCGCCGGACATGCATCCGCTGAAGAGGAGGTATGAGCCGGTGTTGCTCGACAGATATCCTACAAAGAACATGGTGGACGAGACGAAACGAAGGAAACCCTTTCCCGACTACGTGCCCATGTTCGCCTTCCCCAACGACGTGTCAGTGGTATCCTCCGACGAACGACCACGATCGACATGGCATGGTTTTGCGATGACCAACTCGGACAACAGCAAGCTCTACGGCGTTTGCGTGACGATCTGGGTGCCGCTCAACCAGACAGCAGCAGAAGGGCTCGAACGGCAGTGCGAAGAGTGGCGACGGGCAAACATGAGCAACGAGGAGCGTGAATTGGCCAGCAGTCTCGGCGAGCGGCTCTCAGGCGAACGGGCGAAGCTTAGCAGGCTTCTGGCGGAGCTGCCGGCGGCCTCGTCGGGGTCACAAGAACGCGATGCTTTGGAGGAGCAGATCAGCGCTGTGGAGGAGAAGATCGGTCTCATGACGGATTTGCTGCGACCCGTACGGCACGCGGCGGCGTCAAAGATTGACGGTTTGACGGAGGGGGATACGGGGTTCTGGATCCCGCGGGTGTATGGGATCCTCGGGACGGATATCACGTTGATGAGCTTTTGGAAGGAGTGGTTGAAGGCCGTCGTGGTGCCGATGATGAATGGGGCTGTCTTGCGAGTGCCGCCTAGCTCGCCGAAAGTTGGGCTCTGGCAGCCGCTGGAGAGATATGTGGTCAATCTGTGCGTGGAGGCGCTGAGTCCGATTACCTCGATCACGCAGGTGGAGGTTGGCGTGCGGGATCTCCGGCTGTATGCGAGGAAGGAGGCGATCAACGAGATTCCGGGATCGAGGAATACGGATCTCTACGCGCTGTTTCGGTGCTTGTCGATTTCGAACATTGTCGCGCTGTTCGAGTATGCGCTGGCGGAGTCGAGGATCATCTTTCTGTCGTCGCACACGGCGATGCTGCAGCTGGCGTGTTCGGCGTTGACGAGCTTGCTGTATCCGATGAAGTGGTGTGGCGTGCTGATACCGGTGCTTCCACAACGGCTGATCCAGGCGTTGGAGGCGCCTTGCCCATATATCGCGGGCGTGGAGCGGCGGTACGAGAAGATCGAGCTCCCGGATAGCGATTTCTGCCTGGTCGACCTAGACGACGACTCGATCGAGAGCACCGAACCGCCGACACAACTCCCCCGACCCCAGCGGCGGAAACTGATGTCCCTCCTCCAAGCCGCCGCACCCCACCACAACCGCTACGGCGTCCCCGTCGGCCCCCCGGCCTACGCCATCGAGACCTTCCCCTGCGACGCCTTCTCCTCCGAGAACCCGCAAGTCTTCACCGCCAACGCCGCCCCGTCCACCCTCGCGACCTACGTCAGCGAGAGCTCCACCACCTTCGGCGACGCGGGCAATATGCCCCAGCCCCGGCCGTCCATCTACAACGCTTTCCTGCAATCCCGCACCAGCAGTGCTCGCGGCGCCGATCGCCCTTCCACCTCCTCCACGGGCGCTAACAGCAACTCCTCCTCACAATCTCCGCCGTCACCTGTCGCGCCTTCGCCCGTCTCGTCGTCGTTTGCGGGATCGTTCAACTCATCGACTCCAATATCCCGGAGTGATTCGGGCTTCGCCCTCCAAGCCTCCCTCCGCGAGAAGCGATCCGGCCAACTCGGCGACGGCCTCATGCGCCGCAACTCCGCCTTCTCGGGCTTCGAGCGCTTCAGCGGCGCCGTGCGTCGGCCTTCCGCTCCGCTCGTGGGGGTGCCTCCTCAGCAACAACAAACACAAGGGCCCGGGCATCAACACCACCCGAGCTTGTCCACGTCGAGTCTCGGCAATGGGTTGGCCTCGCAGTACGCGCCCAGTGTCTACGCGCAGAGCACGTTGGCGGCGAGCACGATTATGCCTCACATGATGGTGCAGCCCGTGCGGGACGACGAGCGGACGAAGTGGATGGAGGGGCATTGTCTGCATCGGCGGAGCAGGGATATGCGGAGTGTGTGTGCGATTTGCGATGAGCGGTGCGATCAGGAGAGTTTTCGGTGTTCGGGTACGTTTTCGCCCCCCTTTCCTCCCCCCCCCCCCCTTTATAAAACTCCCTCGTGCTGATGAGTATGAATGAACAGGCTGCAACCTCACAGTCCACCCCCCCTGCCTCTCCCTCCTCACCCTTCCCTGTCCCCTCGCCTTCCGCGCCGACCAAGTCCGCGCCGCCTTTGTGCGCTGCTTCGCCTCCCTCTTCTACACCTACCGCCGGCACCTGCACCCGGCTTCGGGGGAACGCCGCAAACAGGGGCTGGTGTACCATTTCAACATGGACGCTTTTCTGAAATCCGTTCCCCATGGGGATAGCGAGTACATGGCCATGTTACGACAGACGCAGGGGTTTAATGAATTTATTCATGAGAGGGAGAGTTTGCGGCAAGAGGATCCGCGGGTGAAGCTGTTCGACGATATCATTCTTTCCAAACGGAACCGCGGACGTACCTCGCTGTTCTCTTCGAAATCCTCTACCTCCTTCCTGGACGACACGAGCGACCACCTCTGGCGCTCCGCCTCCGCTACGCCTCCCAACTCCCGCGTTCCCGGGGACGTGACAGCGACGGCGGCAGCGGTCGGCAGGGCGCCGGCGCACTTGGAGCCCGCGCTGATGAAGGAGCCGCGGAGTATTCAGGGGGCGCCGCGGTTGGGGGCGGGGGGTTTGTTGGGGAGGGCGAGGAGGAAGCCTGTGGCGTCTATGTTGGGGTTGGGGGGGACGAGCGTGGGGGATCGTTGAGAGAGGAGCGGGGAAAGGGTAAGGAGGGGGAGGAGGCGGGGAGGGAAGGGAGGGGGTGAGTGGGTTTTTGGGAGCGATGGCGTTGTTGGCGCATTCACCTTGGTCATCGGGATGGCGACGATGGAATCGAAGCGGGGCTGTTTTGGAGGCTTTGTCGGTGGGCATGGGCGGGTTCTAGCGTGTGCTGGCTTGGATAATTTGGAGCGGCTCTCCGAGCAAAGAGACTCTCTGTGGGATGGGAGAGGAGTATACTGAGATGAACTTGAAGCTGAAATGGAGTAGAAAGGCGGTGGGAAGTGTAGTATAGTGTCTTTAGCGTGAGCGGGTTAATTGTACGATGTAGAAGTAGTAGTATGCACGCTACACACGATCAAATATCTGAGGCCTGTGAAAAGCTGGAGACATGGACATTGTCGTGCAGTAAGGCTTGAAAAGAGAGATTCGTATGCGTTACGTTCATCAACGACGAGCCAGTGTACGGAAAGAAGAGAAGCTCGTAAGCCATCATGAGCCTCCCGTATCCCCCCAACTCCCTCCAAGATAAACCCAATCCAAAAACGACCGCCCCCGATCCCCATTCCCTCACACCACCAAGCGGCCACTGCCCATCCCAACACCCTCATCCTAACACCCCCATCATGGACCCCTAGGGGATCACCTCGACAGTTCTCCGAAAATCTCATCATACCACCCCCCATGCCCCCCCCCATCAACCCCCCTCACCCGCTCCAAAACCCCCACAACCCCTCCCACGCGTTCCACGAACTCGGGCATTCCGAACCCGCTAAGCGCTTCACTCGCGCCTGACGTCACCCTAACCCTCTCGCTCGACGTGCTGGCGGATAAACGTGCCAAAATGTGGGACCGGAGGCGGGAGTGCAGGATTTTGAGGAGAGGGTCGGTGAAACGGGTGTGCGTGGAGGCGGCTTGCGCGAAGAAGCGGGTGATGGAGCCGGAGAGGGTGGTGCGGGTGGCGGGGGGGATGTTGTGGGATGTTTCCAGTATCGCCAGGGCCTTGCTCGCGGTACTCAGGCGTTCTTCCTCCTCGGGGCCTGCGTCGCCTTTGACGGACGTGCTGCCGTCGTACGCCTCGCTGCTCAGAAGCGTCCACAAGCGAGACGCCTCGTTCTTCCACTGGCTCCTCGAGTCGCGGCGGAGCAGGTTCTTCGCGTTCAGCAAAATGGCCGCGATGATCGTGATCCGCACCGTCTGCGTCCTCACTTCACGCAGCCGCGCGAGATCCAGCGCCAGTGTCTCCGGTACAGCTTCTGCAGGCAAAGGCCCGATGTCCAGGGCGAGATTGCACAGCGCGTGGGCGTAGACGCGGTGTAAACTCGGGCGATCAGAGAGGAGACGCACGCCCTCTGGATCTCTGCGGTCGGCTTCAGCGGAGAGTGTGACGTAGGATGAACGGCAGAACTCCCTCGTGCGGTCGAGCGTGAGCGCGCCGGATTCGAGGTCTTTGGCGAACATGCGCTGCTCGTAGCCGGGAGCTTCGCGAATGAGGGTGGGGGCGGCGTTCATGATCATGAAGTTCGTGTAGTCCAGACTCAGCAGATCCACCGCACGCATGAGTTTGAAGAGCTTCTCGATCATGGCGTCCAGCTCTCCGCTGCTGGAGTCCTGCAAATCGGACGCAAGAGCCTTGATCTCAGCGTCGCGGAAGGGAGCGCAGAGCTTCGGCAGGACATCGGCCATGAATTTGAAGAAGCCGTCGTAGGAGAAGACGCCTTGCTGGCATTGACGGTTGATGGAGTCGGCGTCTAGGGTTTCCGAGATGAGCGTGTGCATCGAGTTGCCCGGCTTAAGCATTCGCAATAGTTTCTCGCTGACGTTCTGCGCTGCTGACACCGTCCAGACTGTGCCATTGCCGTTCTCAAAGCCTCGTTTCATGTTGTCGCAGAGGCTACGGTAGAACTGCGCGCGGAACTCGGATTGAGTGTCTTCTAAGCGGTAGTCTTTGTCGATGGCCAGTTCGTGGGTCAAAACCCTATTGCTAGGCATAGGCGTGAAGAGCTGCCTGACCTGTTGCTCCAAGTCAACATCGCCAGCTGGGCTGATCGGACGCGCATCGTCTGAGTCCGATTCCACGGCAGCTTCCAGAGCTGGCTGCGCGCTGGACTGGGCGTCCGCAGACTCGACACCACGCGGCCGTACTTCAGCAGTTGCCCGCTTCTTCGGTCGCTTCCTCCTGCTCTCTCTGATAGCTTTCTTGATCAAGACGTCCGCACGGTCCGGACCAGCCAGCTTCCTGATGCGAGAGAGTAGCATGACTTGGTTGTCACGAATGCCTTCGCGGTAGTCGCTGGCCACTTCACCGCGAGTGTCGTCTTTCACGGTCTGCCAGATCGCATCCAGCTCCACGAACGAAGCCACCATGCCCTCGATCAGCACGGATGAGTCCTGCAATCTCCAAGCCGCGAAAGCAGAGGTGTAGGCTGTATAAGCTTGCGACAGATTCTCCAGCTGAGTAGGGTTTGGCGAGAAGTTGTTCCATCTCGAAAGACGGCCGACAATCACTTCGAAGTTCTCGATCAACTCGGTCGCTTTGGCCATGAGATCCTGCTCCTGCGCGCCGTTCTTGTTATTGAGTACTGCAACAGGATGACCGGTGATCATATATGCGCTGAGGAAGGTGCGGCTGTTCAGCGCAGCGTTCTCGTCGTTCCTATCTTGAAGGCCGAGCTGCATCAGGATCGCCGTGGTCGCTGTAATCGTATGTGTATCCGCGACCAACGCAGTCATATCCTCGAAGCTCTCCCTCTTCGACTTTGCGTGTAACTCCATCTCGCGAAACACCTTCACAACCTTCTCTTTAAGAAACAGCCTCACAATCCTCTGCAACCTCTTCGCCGCCTCCTCCTCGCTCAACACCACCTTCTCCACCACCACCTCGTCCACCACAGCCTCCTCGTCCCCATCCAACACCTCCTCTAGCGTCGAAAGCTTCTTCTCACTACTATCCGCCCGCCTCGCCCTCCTCGCCTGCAAATTCCGCTGATACTCCGCCCTCCTCCTCTCCGCCTCCGCATGCCTCTCCTCCATCTCCAGCCTCGCGCGCGTCTCCTCCGCCAACTTCCTCTCCTTCACCTCCTCCGCCACGCGCTTCGCGCGCGCCACTTCCTCCGCACATGCCGCCGCTACTTTCGCCAGATACTTCTCCTTCGCGACTTGCGCCGCCAACGCGCGCTCCTCGCTATTACTCGTGCTCCCACGCGGCGCGGCTTTGGCGAGCGCAGCGCGCAGACGGACTTGCTCGGCGTGGGCGGCGCGGTCGGCGAGGCGGGCTTTGCGGGACTCGATGATGGAGGCACGGCGGAGGTGCTGGGCGATGTAGTTGCTTTGACATCCTGAGGCGCGACGGTGGTGGGAGAGGGAAGAGGCGTGGGAGTGGACGGAGGAGAGGGAGTTGCGGCGGGAAGAGGTGGCCGAGGACTTGCGGCGACCGGCGGCTTTGGTGCGGTAGAAGCGGGCGGCGAGGTGGGGGGGAGGGGTGTAGATGTGTTGGGCGGTGGACATGGTGGTGTCGTCTAGAGGGAGGATGGAGTCGGGGAGATCGGAGAGGTCCATGGCTGCGCCCTCGTCGCCGTGGGGGGATAGCAGTGGGGAGCGGGTGGGGTCATCTTGGGTGGTGCTCATGTTGGCATGTCCGGTGGTCGATGCTGTTGGTGGTGGTTTGGATGGTGTCGTCGGTGAAAGAATGGTGGTATAGTGGATGTTTGTGTCGAGTCACAGGACTGTAGGTGTATGGAAGGGAAGGCAGGATTACGCTGCCTCTCACATGCGCGAGTGAGGCAACCGAGATCTGCCCGCACCAGGCCTGATCCTTGCTGCCTGACTAATGTCCTCGACGATGTTGTTCTTCCTCCTTCCACCCGTTTTTTCTGCTCAGTCTCAACGATGTCTCGTACACGACAGTCCGTACTTGGACAACGGTATACTCGTCGGACGACTGGATGGTTGAATGTACCAGCCACCGCCGACACTGATGTTGCCGCATGCGGCGATCATGAGATCTGCCAAGCTCGCCTAACCAACCACGTGGGACAGCCCGAAATAGTTCTTTGACGGCGAGGACAATCATCTTGAAAACATACACATAGCATGAAAGGTGGAGGGATGGTGTAGCTGCTCAATATCGCATCTTTGCATCTCTGGGCGACATGTGCACCATATCTGCCGAACGTATTGCAAGACTGACCTTTCCATATTAGAATGCTCAGCCTTCTCTCCCCTCTCCAACCACAATGTGTCATTATGCCCGGGGTCCTACTCCACGCTCTCAACCGCCACTGCAAGTCCATCTTTTCACATTAGATCACTGTCCCCCTCGTCAATCTCGAGCACAAAATCCATGTCCAGATCACCATCCATATTCTCCCACCAATCATCCTCCCCTTGCCGACCCCTCTCCGTTCCTATCGGCAACGGTCTGGTAATGAGCCCCTGCAACACCTCAAAAATCCCAAACTCCCTCTCATGCCACGGATCCAACCCCCACAATACCAACAGCAGCACCAGCCGCAGCGTGTAGTGCGCATCGTTGCCGGCGCAGTGCAGCGTCTCAGGCCGGTACGGTATGCCGTTCGCCTGCAAGAGGCCGCCGAGATGCTGGATCGTGCCGTCGAAGAGCTGCCGTGACGTGTCGATCGTGCCGACCACTGCGGGTAGTGATTCGATGGGGACGCCCAGGGTATCGAGCACTCCGACCTCTGCGGACCACAAGCCGTGGCCGACGAGGATGATGCCGTCGGGGCAGGAGTCGTGGTAGGAGGCGAATGCGTTGCGGAGCACACGCGGCAGAATCTCCAAGGTGATCCTGGTAGTCGTTCCGAACGCGAAGCCTCTACCGTAGCCGCATGCTATGGAGAAGTTTTCGTCGCGGATGTTCAACCTTGGCGCTGCTTGGTTGTGGGTGTCGAATAATTGCGTGGTGCTGAAAGATGAAAGTCCGAGCTCTTTGGTTGATCCCGTGGGACCTTCGAAGTCGATGGCGACGATCAAAGAGTTCTTTGATGGCCTCTGGCCAGTCTTCAAAGCCAAGACAAGATCGTCAAGGTATTCTTGCCCGACGCATTGATATGGGGTCTAGAGTGACGGGTACAGAAATCAGCAGATGTCTCAGAAGGACGATTGTGAAGTACAGGGCGATGAAGATCACCACGATACAGAAGAGGACCTATCCGGCGACTGATACGTTGCCACATTGTGAAGCATTCCATGGCACTGGCCAAGAATACATCGTGGGTGTGCTGAACATCTTCGGTGCGAGCGCGGAATGCCTTGAGGTAGGCGGCCTGGTCATTGTTGCATTCAGCCCGCAGGCGAGCCTTGTCCGGGCCAAGGAACCAAGAACCGCGATAGCGGCGCAATGCGGCAGCAACGTGCCGTGCCATAGTGGTGTTGGTTGTGACAGAATTTAGTCGTTAGAACGAACAAGTATTCAGGGTGGTAGGAGTAGAGTGTTGAGACGCAGCCGGACGGCCCTCTCTATGAAAGCGTGCTTCGAAGCTTATCTGAACTCAAATAAAGCTGTAGAACTTACATGTAAACGAGGCTTTGGCGCCCCCATGGATTGACAGGTGAGGATCAATGGCTCCGTTAGAACTCAAATGAAGCTGCAGGGAGGACTTTATCTCTCGGGACGATGGAAAACGATCAGTAGCTCCGCTGAAACTTCATTGCATATGATAGCAGCCGATTCTTTGCACAAGCCAGATAAGCGCGCTGTGTGGTCCTTACACGTGTTCGCGACGATCGGCAGGCATACTGGGCAGTTGTGACAATTTCGTATGTCTCATCTGATGCCGCTGGGTCTGAACCCCATCAGACGCAGCGTTGGCTCGTAGCGAATTTTCGACTGAATCGCGTTACCAAAGCATTGCCCCAATTGGGCGTCGGCAAACTGAGATGCGTGCCTTCCACTCCGTCGATGGGCGCTATATTACGAGGTACAAGTGCGGTTGCCAAAAGCTCAAGCTGAGGAAGGCGGGTGGCAGCAACCCCCGGAGCTGTGCAGGGCCGGTCGAGAGCACCGGGTACTCGAGAGAAGGCGAAGACGACCTTGGGCACCTGAGAAGCATACCAGTTTCGAAGCTTTTGGATTCTTTTCTTTCCTTTTCATTTTTCAGCTGGCGCGCGGATAGAAGGCATTGTGCTCTGCGAAGTCTGCGCTTCTTGGGAAGACTGCTCTCATGCCGGGGCGTGAGATGCTTATTGATCGCCAGTTCATCGAGATTGCTGCGCGATGAGATGTCGAAAAGAAGGAGCGGACAGTTGATGGCATCTTGAAGGAGCGGAAGAGCTGAGGTCGAAGTTTGACCTTAGCCACAGCCAAGCTTTTCAAAGAGTTCGGTAGCTGTGGGATAATCCAGCCAATCAGAGGGCGCGTATCATGGTAAGCCGCTCCAAGGCAGACGAGCAGCCTTCATGTGCCTTCTTGCGGCTGGATACTTTGTGCTTAAGCTGCCGTTCGGTCAGCAGATGGTCAGCAAGAACTTGAGCGTTGTAATCCGCATAGAGTAGTACGGCCTCGAGCGCCTTCAATGTATTGTATCATGTCTCTAATCATGTCTCCGCCTCTTCAAAGACCTCATCACAACCCCTTCATGACCGCCACCCACGCCCCCCTCACAACTGCACATCATTATTCACCAACCTCACCTCCTCCCCGGGCTTAAACGCCGGTAGCCCAATATACGGACACCCATCACACCGAAACGCATCCCCCAACGCACAGTTCCCACAAGAGCCCACCTTCCCCTGCACCGTGAAATCCACCTCGGTCAAATCATCCGCGTTCAGCTTCGCCAAATTCGCGTCGGCGTCCGCCCGTTTGGTCTTGTCCTCGGCTTCGATGCGCTGGGCCAGGCCGCAGGTGCAGTCTTTGCACGCGCGGCGGCGCTTGGTGTTGGGTTTGCAGGCTTCGGCTGTCGCATCTCCGTTAGCCTTGTGCCTTTCCTAATCATGACTGATGGAGTGGGAAACTCACGAATGTTCAACGGCTTCATCCGATCCTCCTCAGTCAACAAACTATCCGGATCCACTCTCTCCGCCCGCTCCAACTCCTCCTGACTCGGCAGCTCCATCTCATCCTCTTCACTGTGATACCCGCTCCCGTCGTCAAACCCGCCGTCGAAATCATCGTTGCTGTCAATGAACCCCACACCAGCTGGTGTCGCTCGTACGGGCCGTCCGTTCGCGTGCGCCGCCGCACCGTTGCCGTTCACTACGTCCATATCTTCGTTCTTTCGCTTGGCGGTGTTGACAGCTTCGACGGCGTTGGCGGGCACAGCTGCGGCATTGGCTTTCTTGTTCTTGCCGAAGCTTAGGCGCACAGTCTGTTGGCCGGCTTGTGAATCAGGCTTCACCAGCCCTTCGCCGTCCCTCTGTACAAGTCCAGCTAGAATCGCTTCCGTCTGCTCCGCGCCGCCCAATGCGCCGTTCTGACCTTTCAAACTCCCGCCAGTCTTCATCGCGGGCATGATGCGCTCCATCACTTCCCTTCCTAGCAGACGCTGGCTCGTGCTATCGGCGTCCGTAAGCAGGAGTACGACGTCGTATGTGGCGGCGGGGAGTGACACAAGGCCCATTGCGAGGCGATCGAGCATTTGAATGTCGGTGGCATTGCGATCGTATGCTTCTGCGACGGCGGAGAGGCGTTCGGGATGTGACGAGATGGAGGGAGGGGCGAGGAGGAGGGTGCGCTGTTGCGGTTGCATGGTGGGTTTGGTGGCGGTGGGAGGGATGAAGTCGAAGTCGGGTGTGTTGTCTATTGTTACTGCGGGCGCCATGTTGATTGTATTGTCTGAGGATGAGAGTTGATGTGAAGTTGAGAGGCGAGAGTGATTCTGCTGATTTCAAATGCGTTGCTTCTGATTGCGACTTTGAAGAGCCGCCCCACGCTGGTCCGATTGCGGCCAGATGGCGGAACCGCTTTCAGGAAAACATTCCAGCTTGCCAGCGCAATTGGCCAAGGACCTTATCATTTTTGCAGACGATCTTGATGGATGTTACCTATGAAACGTCACCTACCACATTCACTACGATCATGTACTTCCGGTGGTTCAATACGATGCTCGACGTCTGGCCTCCAGTCGACATGTGAAGACGCCTGCAACAGCCAATGACGCCTCCGAATCGAGGCATGCACGTCCCGAGAACACCAAACGTTCCTGCATCCCACACGAGCAGAAGGTCTTCCTCTTCTTCTACCGCAACAGTGCGACGATGTAGCATCAATCTAGGAGGTATGGTACCTTCTTACAAAACCCTCCTCTTCCTCCTCCTCGCTCTCCTTACCGCACAATCTCTTATCTCGGTCATCATGCGCTTCTCATCTTCTCCATTGCCGCTGGCAATACTCTCATATCTCCCATCTCTACCCACAAGCGCGGCAGAACCAGAGAAGAAAGGCAAATGCCAGGCCAACACCGACATAAGCCTCAAATGGCACGCCCCAGCCCAGACCAAAATCAACAGCCTCTCCAGCGCCATCAACGGCACGGGCATCTACGGCTTCATCTTCAATTCCAGCCAAAGCCCACCGGACACCAATTACAACTGGTGCAACATGCCCCACATCAACCCAACCACCTACGTCCGTCCGGACTCCAGCTACAAACTCGCCTACGTCGAAATTATCCACCGCCACCACAAACGCACCCCTTACGCGGACAACACCTTCCCCCACGAAACCTACCCCTGGGACTGCTCAGATGAGGGCCTCTTCTACGGCGGCCGGCCCCTGAACCCCTCCGGCAACGACTCCGCCTCCACCTACTGGGACGTCTACACCTCCCCCTCTAACCCCCTCGCCCCAGCAGGATTCAACGGGACGTGCCAATTCCCGCAGATAACCCGTGGCGGCCTAGACGACAGCCATCAGCACGGCGCCGACTTATTCGCCGTCTACTCATCTTTGCTCAACTTCCTCCACTCGACCTACGATCCAGAACAAACGACCTTCCGCGTCACAAACAACGTAATAACCTCCCAAGTCGCCTCCATGCTCGTGGCAGGCATGTACCCCTCCCTCGCCTCCACCCTCATACCCCTTCAGATCCAATCCGCGAGCATTGACTCCCTCGAACCAGCCTACCCCTGCTCAGCCGCTGACGCCCTCTCCTCACGCTACGGCGTCGGCTCAACGAACCCAACCTGGACCGCCCACCTCAGCGCTTCGACCAGTCTAAAGAAACGTCTCGACAAGATCTCAGGCGTCAACCCCAACGCCACAAATTGGAGCCAAAGCTGGGACCACTACTTCGACAACCTCTCCTCCCGCCTGTGCCATCAGAAACCCCTGCCATGCTCCGCCACCAACCCAGAAAACTGCGTGACGCAGGAAATGGCCAACTCCGTCTTCCGCTTGGGCGAGTGGGAATACGACTTCCTCTACCGCTCTGCCCGGCAATCTCTCGAGTTCAGCAAGTCGAGCTTCGGGATCTGGATCGCGGAGCTGGCGGACAACCTACGCTCTGCCACCGAAGGTGCGGCAGGACCGAAGTACAGACATAACATCGCGCATGACGGTTCCCTCTCCCGCCTCTTATCCATCCTGCAGGTGAAAGAGATGGTCTGGCCAGGTATGGGCGCCGAAGTAGCTTTTGAGCTGTACAGTAAAAACGACTGCTGGTTCGTGCGGGTACTGTGGGGCGGAAGAGTGTTGGAGAGTAGTCATCCCGCACTGGGGAGGATGGAGATGGTGCCGTTGGGGACTGTTCTATCGTATTTTGACGGGTTAGTGGGGAGAGGAGCGGAGAGGGTGCCGGGGCTTTGTCGGACGCCGGAGTGCGCTGTTGATGGGGAGGGGTGCGAGGGTGATTGAGGGGATGTGGTTGCAATGTGCAATGTAGGCTGTCAATGCATTGGCTGTGGTGCCCAGTGGTGAGGAAGTGGTCATGAGACGATGGTGAGGTGTTTCGTTTCACTTGGTTCGTTCCATTGCATTGCTACGGCTTGCACCGAGCTCCAGCCCAGCTGATAGCTCCTGTCTCTTCTGTTGTTACACGTCGCATTCCCATGTCATAACGTCATCCCTATCATCCACATTCATCGCACAGCAAAGACTCCCCCTCCATAATATCACACATCGCTGCCCACCTATTTCTTCTCATTCGCAACCTCCTCCTCCTCCACACTCCCCATCGTCCCCGCCGAGCTACTCGTACTCATCTTCTCCAACCCCTCCTCGTCACCCTCCAGCGGCGGACCGTGCACCTCCTCCTCGTACTCAATGACCTCCGGATCGATGGCCTCGAACTTGGTCTTGAGCATCGAGTGGCCGGCCGCGGCGGTGGAGCTGTTGGTGCGACGGCGCGGCTTGGTGGGGTTGAAGGCGTAGTCTTCGAGCTCGGACTCGCCTTCGCGGCCCCTACACCTCCCAAAATATAAAATTAGTCACGTGCTATTGTGGTGGATGGGTTGGGGTGAGTCAGAGTAACGGCGGAGACAACGGAAAGGGACGGAGAGAGACGAACCAGTTGCCTTTGCCTCCGCCCTGCTTCTTGGTGGTCTTGGGGTCCTCGCCGGCATAGCCGGATTTGGCAAAGTAGCGAGGGAGATGCTCTTCGGGGGCGGCGGTGCCGGAGGCGAGGCCGGCGTGGTCGCGGTCGTTGGACTTGTGGGTGCGAGTCACTGTATAACACCTTAGTCTTTGGGTTTGGAGCGGTGGTGTAAGAAGTGACGTTGGGTGAGACAATGAACGAGGTTGTTGTTTTGTTTATATTGGGGCAAGGGCTTGAAGTGAGCGACTTACTGATGGTGATTGATGGGGTTGAGTGAATGGGTTTCGATGATTGTCGGTGAATGAACTTGTGGTTGTAATGGTGGAAGTTGAGTCAAGAAGAGGTGTTGTTATGCCAATGGTTCAGGAGTGGAAGTAGAGCTGTGGTTAGACTTCAAGAGCTACCCCAGACTGTGTGCCACTGGTCGCGTGATGCAATAGTAGGCTCTCGCGGAAGGTGCGATGGGCGCTGACTTCACCCCTTTGTTCGATTTGGTATACTATGGTCTCGCTTTTGTTTGATGTTGTTCATAAGAAGGAGTGAAGTCGGAAGGCTGCGGTGCGGCATGTAAGAGAGGGACGGGCACGCGAGCAGCCGATCGCTAAGCCCCCACGAAGCTGGCCAGGGAGCTCGAGATCGGACGACACGCAGTCAGTCTTCTAGGCTGTTCCATTGACACAATGCTCCAGCGGCATGCGGTCCGCGCAGCTCGACAGCTGACCTTGCATTCGCCGCGTTGCTTTCACTGATAGAGTGATTGATCTCGATCTCCAACGCTTCGAAGTCTGATAAGAGCTGCGGCCTGACGTCAGGCTCATTCTTGCAGGTCCGATCTCATGCTGACACAATGGACAGGTACTGTTCTCAACGGCGACCAAATGCCTTCAATCTCGGGCCTACAGGACCTTCGGCTGTGCTTTGGGCCTCGAGAAGTGGTTGCGCAGCCAGGATGTGCTATGTAACTCGTACCTGCAGGCGAGCTCTTATTTTGAGTTCTGGCTAGGCCGCATTCGTGCTTGCCCATGGGGAAGCCACGGGACTTGGAAAGCTCGGACCGCGTTTGATATGTCTACTATTGACCGTATTCACGATGATGTAGAGTGCGACATTGAGCATAGTGAGAGATCTTTACTACAGTAGCAGTAGTCCTCCCTAAAATATGTCGTGAGGTCGAACTCGTTTGCTAAATTCACTTCGACCAAGGCATCTCTGGAGTCTTTGCTTTCACTCGTAAAAGCTGTTTCGCCATTTACGGCCTTTCACTTACACTACGACTGCAGTGTTTCATGTGATCATGATGGCTTCATTTGTGGTAAGTACTGGCGGGTGCCTCACATTCTACGATCCACATAACTCTAGTCATCTACTCCGTGCTTGACATTACGTCTCCAAAGATAAGTCAACAAACCAAGAAGACACACCCATGAACATGGACGTTGCCGAAGACACCAAGGCAAAGGCGCCGCATAGCAAGGCCATGGAGCTGGAGGAAGCAATGGCGAAGCTATCCACATCGAGCTCACCGAGGCGGCGAAAGGTCAAGTCGCCTAGAAGTCGTAAGTCGCAAGGACAGATGTGAGGAACAGGGTTGCGACACCTGACCATCGAACGTCTAGGCCTCATGATCCCGAAGATGCCGTTCCGGCTGCTTGTCCGAGACGTAGCCTTATCCATCGATCCGAACATGCGCTTCGTGGTAAGCATCTGGCTTCTATGCTTTTGATACGAGGACAGCTGGACTGACGCGGAACTAGGAAACGGCGGTTGATGCTCTTCAGGACTCTGCGGAGGCATTCATGACCTACATGTTCACGCAGTCCCAGATCGCCGCTTTGAAGGACGGCCGTACCACCGTCGAGAAGAAAGATATGGACCAGGTTCTTCAGGACTTGGGGGGTGTGGAAGGAGCAAGAACTGGGCGGACGAAGCCGAAGGAGGAGGGGCTTGAGAATGGCTCGATGGAATGAGTGTGTGGAAGCGTGATCTCTGCCCGATCATGTCTTTTTCGAAGAGGTATCGAGAAGTTGACATGAGACATCAGAGGAAGTTTGAATGGAGCAAGGGATGAGATCGTGCCAAGACGCGCGTTGCCTAGTTTGGCGGCCAACGTCACGTCTTCAGCAAGTAGGAAGTAACTACGCCTCAAGATACATCGACCAGATACATCTGAATGCTCTGAATCTTTGTACCTTACTTGTCTTCTCGCATTCAATATAATGGCAGAAGCTGCAGCCGCTGCGGCGGTCTACGAGACCGTGGAGACGACCGCACAGATAGGCGTGGGCGCTTACATGGTCGCGAAGCCCACGATGCCATTGAAGGCGACATTCACACAAATCGCCACGTCCTCGGATGATCAGACGAAGTAAGTCTTTTCCCTTACTAAGCTCAAAACTGTCCTGCTCACACGTCTGGCAGACTCTCATTATCGCGATCTGGCCACTCCATCTCCATCGTCAAGGACAAGGCTTACATCTTCGGCGGCGAGACAGCAGCAGGCAAGCTCGCCAGCAACGAAGTGCATGCTGTCACTCTACACTCTGCCGATACGCCCGAGCCAGACTACTCCGTGATACCTGCTGTGCCGGACCAGGAAGGTGGCAAAGTGCCCGCAGCGAGACACAGCCATGCAGCATGCGGCTTCAACATCTGTGTTGCTGTCTTCGGTGGTGTCGACGAGAGCGGTAACGTCATCGACGAACCGTTCATCTGGCTCTTCGTCACAGGGAAGTCGTGCTGGGAGACGCTAGAAGCATCCAGCTCCGAGAAGTCTCCCCAGCCACGGCGCGATGCACACCTCTTCGACCATCAGAACAATCTGATATTGTACGGTGGTACGGATGCGAGCGGCCAATCCCTCCACGACGTTTGGCATTTTAGCTACGTCAACAAGACGTGGACGCAACTGCCCGATGCACCTGTCTCTACCTCAAACGTCGCTTTGAGTGATGGTGTGCTGTACACGATAACTGGCTCAGACGAAGTCAGCGGTGACCTCCACTTCCTCCCACTCAACGCTGGTTCCAACCAGGAGAACGGCTGGAGCCATGTACCATTCCCCACGAACCCACTCACCCCCGGGCCGCAGCCTCGCACAGGCGCTGGACTCCTCCCTGTAACCACCGGATACGGAAGACAGTACCTCCTCTACATGTTCGGCTCTCGAGCAATCGTCCAACCAAAGGGAAGCGCGGCAGAACAGAAAGAGACCGACGACAGCACCCTCGAAGTCGAGCCCAAGGATCCCAAAGACCTCTCTCCGCAATTCTGGAGCGACATGTGGACCTACCAGCTCCCGTCCAGCACGCCCGAGTTGAAAGCTAACATCTACCAAGCCCTGAAACCAGCCAAGATCAAGGACGCGATCAGAGGCGCTTTGGGCATGGACGACGGCAAGCACAGCTGGGGCGAAGTAGAGGTCCTGCCACCGAGTGAGAGCGATTTGGCGACTTCGGATGGCAAGGTGCATCCGGGGCCAAGGGCGCTGTTTGCGTGCGATGTGATGAAGGACGGGAAGACGGCGGTGATTTGGGGCGGGGTGAATCCGAAGGGGGAGAGGGAGGGAGACGGGTGGGTGATACGGCTGGAGTAGAGTTGGCACGTTGCAAAAGGTGTGCTGGTGTTGACTACAAAGGGTTTCATGTGGCGGGCATGCATGGAGCTATGATAAAAAGGAGAGTAGCTCTGCATGAAGTTGACTATTTAGATACATAGTAGCTCACGAAGTGGCATCGACTTCATGCTCAATGTCCTTCACACGTGGCACTCTCGTCAGTTGCAAGCCGCAGAAGTCCGCTACTTTCTCAATCTATATCACAAGTCAGCGTCTTCAACGCCGTCACTTCTTAGAAATCTTACACATTGCTGGATCAACTCAACATCGTCATAACTGACGCCTATCCGTCGGATCCCTGCCAACAATCAGCTCAGCACATACCCACTTTCAAGCCGCGGAACATACCTCTCAAATGCCACCCAGTCTCCGTCTTCAAATTCTGCATCATAATACCCGACAACACCACAAGCTCCGTATCCACTTCATCAAGGATCCTCTGGTCGGAAAGGTAGAGCCCGTAAGTGATCTCCACCGACAGCCATCCTGCCCAACACCATCAGCGCACATCGACGAGGTCTACAGAAGGGGTTGAAGGACGCACTGAAATCCCTATGCGCCGCCATCCTATCCTTCGTCCGCGCATCATTATGCCTATAAATCTTCGCCAACCACTCCGCCCCGCGCTTCCGGTTCGCTTCGTCGGCTTGCCAGTCCTCCCTACAACCACAAAGTCAGCAAAGCCACACTACTCCCCCTCGAATTGGGTCCGTACCTCGAGCACGAATAATCCTTGTCCTCCTCCCTCTCGATATTAGCAATACTAAACACCGCCTCCAACGGCTTCGGCACCCCGACTACAGACACCAGTTTCACCAACGCTTCTCGCAGTCGTCGGATAAGCGCTTGGCGTTGGGCGGATGTGCTGTAGGCGGGTTGGGAGATGAGGTGTCGGTAGAGGGTGGCGGCGAAGTGGGGATGGCCGCCCGCTGTTATTGCTGAGATCTGGGGGTCCGTTAGTAGACAATATGCTAGGGTAGGGAGAGGATTTGGATGTGTAGGTACTGCGAGGATCTGCCATTTGTCGGTTCCGAGAGTGGAGGGGAAGTGCTTCTCGATGTCCTGGAACAGCTTGAGTGCATCGTCTGATGATGGGTTTGTGAGAGCCATGTTGGAATGTCGCTCGGCGTTTCTCCTTCGGTATACGTCAAGACGCAGCTTCGAAGGCCATCGACGATGAACGACCGTTTGTGTTCACTTCTGTGAGAATACTCCATAGTGTGAGCGACCTCGGTCTTGTTCCAGAGCTGACGTTGGTTTCTGCCCCACGTCAGACAAATGGCTCTCCATTAGAACAATGCTGCGGCTGATCGATTGATTCCATAAACGTACGCATGAACTCTTTTGAAGGTTGTAGTCAGACTTTTCACGAAGCAATGTTGATGACTGAGACTGGTTGACGCCGTCCTCCACGCAGCGTAGCCCGTTGCCCCTTCACGTCATCGTACCTCATCGCTCCCGTGTGTAAGCAGACACTGATCATGGCAATCACTGGAGAGGATCGAAAGCGCATGGGCACGCCAGATCCCGATCTGCTGAAAGTACGCTTAGCCAGAACGATACCAGCCCAGAATGTTGACAGAACGTCCAGGCGATCGAGAAGAGCCCATTCCCAGACCTCACAGGCGGCGACCCGAACGCAGCAGTAGGCGGCGCCATTCGACACAACCGCGCCGACCACCTGTCCAAACTCCGACACCTATACCCCATCCCTGGTCCCATCCCAGAAGTCGACGAAACCGAGCACCAAGTCCCAGTCCGCGATGGCTCAACCATCCGCATCCGTATCTACACACCAGTCACGAAACCCTCCAGCGGCAGCCCGCTCGTCGTGATGTTCCACGAAGGAGGCTGGTGCATGGGCGACCTAACAGACGAAGACCAGAACTGCCGGCTCTTCGCTCGAGACTTGCGAACTGTAGCGGTGAACGTCGAGTACCGTCTTGGACCCGAACACCCTTTCCCCACGGGTGTCCACGACGCCTTCGATGTGGTGAAGTGGTGCGCAGCGACCGCTACTCCTTCCTCCTCCACCCTACCGGCAGACCCAAGGCTGGGTTTCATCGTAGGCGGCGCATCGGCCGGCGGCAACCTCTCCGCTGTCGTGAGCCAGCTCGCTCGAGATGAAGGGCTAAGCCCTCCGATCACAGGACAATATCTCTGCGTTCCCGCGCTGCTGTGGCCGGACGTAGTGCCTGAGAAGTGGAAGGCTGAGTACCGGTCACGCTTCGAGTCGACTGAAGATCCGGTCTTGAAGCTTGATCCGAAGAGTGGCGAAGGCGTGTTGAAAGCTTTGAAGCCGGACGTCGCGAGTCCGCTGTTCTCGCCTTTACTCCATGAAAATCTGAAGGGCTTACCGGCGGCTTACTTCCAGCTGGCTGGTCTTGACCCGTTGCGGGATGAGGGGCTGTTGTATGAGAGGGTTTTGAGGGAGGAGAACGGTGTACCTACGCGGCTTGATGTATATGACGGATTAGGTCACATGTTCTGGACCAACTGGCCGGAAATGGAGAGGAGCAAGGGATTTGTTCGAGACACGCTGGAAGGTGTCAGATGGTTGCTGGAGGTCGGTAGAGAGCGGGAGTAGATTGAGCTGTATGGTGAGCGTCTCCTTTGCCACCACCACCGCAGGCGGTCCAGGACGGGCAACAGCCTCTGCCTTGCACTGGCGTTCTTGCGTACGGCTCACGCGCATCTCTGAGCCCTAATTCTCAGTCGCAAGTGAGTACTGTACCCAGATAAGCGCGCCACTCTGGTCGATGCAGGAGCGACGTTGGCGTCCAATGCGGCACCAAACCAAGATGCACAGAGGGCGCCTGCTGCCGAAGTAGGCTGCGCAAGCACATGTATGCTCGAGCACAGTTCTGATTTACAGCGGTACAAACGCGCCGTGGTGTCCTCTCGTCTCCACGCGACGTATCGGATATGTACTTAATGTGGCGTCCTTTGGCTGTTTGTGCAAGGATTATGGCTTCCAACTGCCTTAGTCGGTCGGGTTTATGCAGTACCAACACAATCTCTGGTCCAATCAACGAGCCTACCTCTTATACAGTTGAGGCTGGTTCTATGAGAATGGAAGTGTTCGACAATGATGTAGACATTGATATTACATTCAATTTCCACTGTCTCCTATGCAGAGGCAGCAAGCAAGCAGCAGCTAGGCCGATCCTCAAGACCCAACCCTATGCATCCAACGCCAAAACTGTATGCAAGAAGTGCCTTTCCCTCTCAAACCACCAGATTACTCGTCATCGCACCCGCAATCGATCCATCCCGCTCCCTCCATCCCTGGCGGCCCACCGTGAGGGCCTGGGGGACCATGCGGATGACCCATCGGAGGCTTGAAGCCGAAGCCGCGGAAGCCGCCCTTCTTCGACTTCGTCACAGAAGGCAGAGGAATGAACTCCGACCACTCTGGCAAGCAGAACTTGTCATCGGGATCAGTGGCAGTGGAAGCGTAGACCGAGACCTCGAAGCCGGGGATGCTCTCCGGGTCGACGCTCGTTCCGTCGGGGCCGAGGATGCGCCATTCGAGCGCGTTCTCGAGGAAGGGCGTGACGATCATCTGCGACAGCTCGCCGAGGAGGCCGGACTGGATCTTGGTGGTCAAGGCGCGGGTGATGGGAATGGAGCCGGCGACGGTGACGTTGGCGCCTTTCATGGTGTCCTGCGCGAGCACGCCCATGGGGCCGACCAGGTGGTCGTCGTTGATCCAGGTGGTGGGCTCCTCGCTATCGGGGCTGCCGAGGAAGAGGAAGATGTAGTAGGAGCCGCCGAGGGCGTAGCGCGGGGCTTGGATGTTGGCGACGTATTCGTACGTGCTGCCGTTGGGCGCGCTGAGGGAGGAGAGGAGGCCTGGGGGAAGGAAGTCGGGGAGGGAGGGGAGGCCGGTTGGCTTGACTGCGGAGAGCCAGTCTTCTGGCGACGAGGGCATGGCAGTGCGCTTGGAGGAGCCCGCAGTGGCGGTTGCGGTCGGGCCGTAGAGTGCCTTGACGTAGCTCTGGATGGCGGAGCTGCTGCCGTCGCTGTTGACGAATTCGGGGTAGGTGTACTTGAACACCGTCCAGTCCTGCACGTCGGTGGTGGTCCAGAAGCTGGAGCCAGATGCGTCGCGGTAGAAGGGTGTCAATGGCGAGTTCGCGTCTTGGGTGGTACCCTTGGCGATCGTCCAGGTGTTGTGAGGAGCGACTTGGGAGGCGCCGTACGCGTTCGGGTTGATCGCTTGCCACATGGCAAAGATACGGTCGACATTGGCGTGATGGAGCCAGAATACCTAAAAGAAGTCAGCATTGACTCCGCGTAGGTCGAGATAAGGGCGTATCGGCTACTGCGTCCTGAACTTTTGCAAAGGCTTCAAAGGCTGAAATAACCTTGAAAGATCATTTCAGAAGCTCTCGAAGTCCCGCAAGTCCATGACACAGCAGCCAAATGTTCCACCTGATATTACTTACGGGGTCAAATGCAGCCTCCGCGAGGTAGAACATGTGTCCGACAGTCTTGACAGCCGTCGAAGGCACACCCCCAGCCGTCGTGTGAATGGTATTATGAATGCCCTCGAGGCTGTTGGAGCAGCTAGTGCTGCTGCTGCCAGCGTGGTCATTGCTGAAGTGCGCGTAGTCTTTGCAAGTCGTGAAAAGCTGGTAGATCTGGTCCTGAAGGGAAGGGCGGACGTTGTTCAAGTTGGTGATGCAGCTGGCTTCGTCGCTGGTCCCGTCCACGGCATCGCTCGTAGGGTATCGGAGGGTGCTCTTCCACTTGTTGAACGGGCTGTAGACGAGCTTGCTGCTGTCGGAGAAGGTGTGCGAGTAGAGAGGGTTCGAGATGGTTTGCTGGCCAGTGGGCCCATTGATTGTGAGAGTCGCAGAGCTCACAGCGTCAGGCAGGTTGTTTCCACCGTTTGGCGGCGCAGCAGCCCAGTCCCAGTAGGGCCAGCGCATCGTCTGGGCAGCTCTCCGCATCTGAAGTCGCGTTGTTTTGGCGCCCGTCTTAGGCCATGTGTTTGCAATGTTGTGCACCACCTTCAAGAACTGTTGCTCATATAGAGCAATGTAGGCGCGGTGCCATGCCGGGAAGAGCACAGAGTCGTGCGTGCAGTAGCCATCTGAGCCCGAGCATGTGCTGCACTGTCCGACGCCGCTGTAGTCCTGCCTGGGAACACCGTGGATCCCAGAGATCTGGTAGTATGACGTCGCGTCTGTTTGTGCTTGTGCCTGGAACTGCTGCATGGCGAGAATGAGGAGTGTGAACTGGTTTGGCTTGCTGGACTGCATCTGCCTGATCTCCAACCGGGGCTGGGTGTTGCCAGACGCGCCGGTGACTGGCACAACTTGCGACTGCCGCTTGTCGAGGAAGTTGAGCTCATCGTCGCTGAGAGAGAAGGGAAGGTCGAGAGGGTGTGAAAGGACGGACTGGGTGAGGGCCGAGAGGCTCAGCAACACTGAAGAGAGCTTCATCTTGAGAAGGAAAGTGAATGGATCAGAGCATCGAAGAGCAGCAGAACGAGTGTGATGAGAACGAGGCACGCGAAGGGTGTCGTTCAACAATGGCGGGGGATGCTGCAGGTGTGTGAGAGAAACAAGGAATAGACAATAAAAGAAGGTGGATGGAAGAGCGGAGGAGAGGTCACGCAGCGGCAGGATCTTTAGATCGCACTGCTGCTCGAGGAACCTCCCATTGCGTGGAGCCAAACGAGCCAAATTAGGGGCGGAGTGTCACCGGGGCCAAACACGAGAGGGTCAAGCTCTTACCAAGGACTGCCCAGCCCCCGGTAGTGCAGGGGTCGCCAACGGCGCTGCGACAGCGGTTCGAACGATGCTGTGAGGCTTGAGCCGGGTAGCTTTGCCGTGTGTGCCGTCGCGTTGAAGTGTACCGCCGGCGGAAGAATTGACAGCGAAAGGAGTTCCGGGGAGATGTTCACTCCGTCGGCTTGCGCGGGATGGGGTTGTAGACGAGCAAGCACACTTTTCGCCGCCCACAACAGGTTTCCTGCCACGAGCCCGCCCAGCCCAATGATGGGAGCAAACCGGTCGGAGGAGAGGCAGGGCGCAGGTTGAGGCGGCGCGTATAGGCTTGATTGGAGTCTAGCTCGCCGCCGCATCCGCAGACTGGCGGGAAGATCCTCATGGATGTAACAAACCGTTTAATTAGACAGTGACGCTCCTTCCCGCACAACCAAACGGCGAGCGAACACAGCACAGCCTCTGCATCCAATTTCCACCTTCCCCAGCGCAGGGCAAGCGTTGCGTGTTTCGTGTTGCGCGAAACACTCGTGTCCCCAGTCGCTCTCCACATACCCGCCTCCCGCGGACCTGCCTCCCTGCCAACCACGCCCAACCTCCACCGTGTCCATCTCGCTGCGCAAGCTCGAAATGAGAAGGCGTGAACGAGATCGCACAAACTACGTAAATTCTGCCTATCCAGCCCCTCCCGCATGCGGTGGCATCCAGGCGGATTGCGCACGACACGGCAGATGTGTGCTTCCTTCTTCCGTCATTGTTCCGAAGCGACCGCTGGTCGCACCGCATGGCAGCCACGCAAGAAGGCATGTTTGCGCGCAGAGGCGCCCAGAATAGCAGCATAGGCCCAGGGGAGCGGACAGCCTACTGTATCCTGATCTACATCCTGGTAACGCTTGGGGTCGTTATAGGAGTATTGGCAGTCCCAACATAGAATGAGGATTCTTCTGCAGCCGCATCCTTCTGGGTGGACATTCTCGACAGTCGAGCATTCGCAGCAAACACTGATGCGAAGTTGAGTGCCAGCGGCTGTGTTTCCAAGTCCTCATTCACAAGGGAGTCAGGCAAGCATTGTGAAACAAGATCATCGTACCTCCTTGGCCTCAGTGATGAAGACCGGATCTCGGACGCATGACTCTGACACCGGCAGGGCAATATAACCATCCATCTATCTGTCTCGGGCCACCGATCTCGTCTAGGGATCTGGTGCTCGTTTCATAGTTAGGCGTTTTCGACCTAATCAGATCTATACAGCATCGGTGTGCAGCAGACTCAGTGCCGATACCTTCGTTGTTGGCAGGTACACATCTCGATGATCGTGAGGCGCACAACAGCCAAGTGTCTCCGTCTTCTTGTCGTGCTTGCGCTGCGGTACGGCAAGTGGCATTGGTTTCTTTGCTTCCAGTATCGACACCCTGCTCTCGCAATATCAATCCGCCTCTCTCCACTTGTCGTGATAGCAGTTCACATCAGCATCAGACGGCAGTGAGACCACGAGCAAAACAGCTTTCGAAACTCGGTCTCTTGAGCCTGGGTCGGTCAGATGGAGTCAGGTCAGGTCAGCCGATGTGGATCTTCAAGCATCGCGCCTTTTCTGCGGCAATCCTTTCCTCTTCACGACCGTGAATCGGCCAGGCCATGTTACTTGAGACCTCAACACAGGACCTGCTACATACAATGCACCACCGTGTGCTGAGCCAACAGTGCGAGGTTCGTCTTGCACATGCGCGACACCTTTGCAGAGGCAATTCGAATTATAGAATGGCTGATGGACGGCGAGTACGTCTTCCACCTGTCGAAGACCTGATCTTGGCTGTATTGCTCTGCAAATCCGGAGTGCTGGAAGAGCAGATCATCGGGCAGTTCTCTGGTCCTGCCCAGGAGGTGTTAGGATGACTGAACTTCGAGCTGAACGATCTCTGCGATCTCTCACGCCCAGCCGAAGAAGATCTGGACAACGCGATCGTATACATCGATGCTATGGAGCCTATCGATGAAGTTCAACAGCCTCCGCCTGCTATGTACGGAGGCAGTGGCACTGGGATCTACAGGGGATGGGGTAGGCTTCTACACACACCTAGATCGTTGGAAGGCACTGCTAAAAGCTCGTATGGTGAGCAAATACAAGCAGCGATCCATCACGAGCCCGTTACTTGCCACTACCGACGCGAGAACAGTAGAAGAGAGGTGATGATGTTTCATATTCTATGAGGTAGCAAGAAATAGGCGATCGTCTTGGAGAAAACGGTGGCACCGCAGCTTTTACCAGATGACTTGAGAACCATTGTCTGCGATACTCATCTTACACTAATCCTTATACCAAGTACATTTCACCGTCCTCAGTAGATAGTCAGGTCTGTCAAGCATTGGAGTGCTTGCGCCGCTATCGGGCCACACAACCTCCACTGACGGCTAGAGCTTTGCCGCAAGAGCGGAGTATCGGCGTTTGCGACATCAGTTGCCATTAACATGAACCGAGAATAGTCTTTCATCAGCAGTGAACTGTCGTGAATAATACATTCTTGATCAGTCCAGCAAAGCGCCATCTGCTCGCCAACATGTCGTCCTGTCCCAAAGCCGAAGACTGCGGTAAAGCGGATGACTGTCAACACGCCTCCAACGGCAGCGCTGTCGACATCGAAGACTACAAGCTAGAACTATCGACCCTTCGAGCTCGAACGAAAGAACTGGAAGAGAAACTTGCTAAACTCACCACGACATCCGATAAAACGCTTCGGTCGTCGAAATGGCTCAATCGGGCGGACGACAAGGCCATGTCGGCACTGTATATGGATCGTTATTTGGTATATCAACACTTTTGCACGACATATTATGGCTGGTATTGACGTGCTTGACAGAACTACGGACTCACCAGAGAAGAGCTCATGTCTGATAGACCCATAATTGGCATTGCTAACTCAGGCTCTGATCTTGCCCCTTGCAATCGTTATCACCTCACGCTGGCGAAGCGAGTTCGTGAGGGTATCAGGAGTGCTGGTGGTATTGCGTATGACATCGCAGTCTTTCAAAATATTCTTGACTCTGACACTGACCTTCATCCAGTATTGAGTTCCCAACACACCCGATCCAAGAGAGTGCCAGAAGGCCGACAGCGACACTGGATCGGAATTTAAGCTACCTCACGCTCGTGGAGATGCTATACGCGTATCCATTCGATGGGGTAGTGCTGATGACAGGATGTGACAAGACGACACCTGCTTGTCTGATGGCCGCTGCAACCATCAATATACCTGCCATCTGTCTCAACGTCGGTCCCATGCTCAACGGCTACGACAAGCACAAGCTGGTCGGCTCTGGAACTGTTCTCTGGAAGGCACGAGAGCTCCATGCTGCTGGTGAGATCAACGATGAAGGCCTGACGGAGATGGTGACCAAGGGGACACCATCAGCTGGACACTGCAATACCTTCGGAACTGCTTCGACGATGAACGCTCTGGCGGAGGCGCTAGGCATGGCGCTGCCAGGCAGTGCTGCAATTCCTGCTCCTTACAAAGAGCGAGCACAATGCGCCTACCGGACTGGCCTGCAGATAGTAGAAGCCGTGCATGCTGACCGGAAGCCGTCCGATATCATGACAAGGGAAGCCTTCGAAAATGCCATCGTCACCAATACTGCAGCCGGTGGTAGCACAAATGCCCCGATCCATCTCAATGCGGTGGCCAAGCACATTGGTGTAAAGCTCGATCTGGACGACTGGGACCGGATCGGCTATGACTTGCCGTTGCTCCTGAACATGCAGCCAGCGGGCGAGATGCTAGGGGAAGAGTACTATCGTGCTGGAGGGCTGCCCGCCATAATGGCGGAACTTCTCGATCGAGGCAAGCTGCATGCTGACGCCCTCACCATGAACGGCAAAACCATCCGAGAGAACGTTGAGAACAAGCACAGCTGGGACCGCCGGACGATCAAGAGCTACGACGAGCCTATGATCCAGTCTGCAGGATTTGCGCATATGACTGGCAATCTGTTCGACAGCGCCATCATGAAGACCTCCGTTATCTCACCAGCTTTCCGGAAAGCCTTTCTCGAGAACCCGGGGGACCAAACGCATTCGAAGCCAAAGCAATCGTGTTCGATGGACCAGAAGACTACAACAAGCGCATCGAGAACGCAGACGTCGACGAGCGTACGATCCTGGTCATGCGCGGGGCGGGTCCACTAGGCTATCCTGGCGCAGCGGAGGTCGTGAACATGACCGCCCCAGGCCATCTCATCCGCAAAGGCCTTCCATACTCACTCCCCTGCATCGGCGATGGCAGACAATCCGGCACATCAGGCTCCCCCAGCATCCTGAACGCCAGCCCCGAGGCAGCCGAGAATGGCAACCTGGCTATCCTCAAAGACGGCGATATGCTTCGTGTCGACCTCAACAAGCGGAGAGTCGACATGCTGATATCGGAGGAGGAGATCCAGAAGCGCGGCGAGCAGCTGTTGGCTGATGGGGGGTACAAGTACCCGGAGAGCCATACGCCGTATCAGGATATTTTCAGGAGGGAGGTGGGACCGCTGAGCGAGGGGATGGTATTCAGGCAGGCGGTGCAGTTCCAGAGGGTGGCGCAGAAGTTCCCTTCGCCGAGGGACAATCACTAGGTAGTACTGAAAGCCGTGGCGATGAATTGGCAGCTCTCCAATCAGTCTTTGTCTCGAAGTAGCTTGACTTTTCCCACATGCTCCAGGAGTTCACATAGGTCTGCGTTGAACTTTACGCCTTTACGAGTCTCTTTTAGACCCTGGATACCTCACGTCTCATGCAATTCTGCTTCATGGAAGAGATTCCAAACGTTGGTCGGGCTGGATTCATACCTTGTCATCCCTGCGAGTAAGTTCTACCGGCAGGCGCGAAAGCTCTCGACAACCCGTACGATGGCGAGGCAATAATCAACCAACAGAGTGCAGTACAGGAGCTGTAGAACTGGCTATATCATGCATCCACGTCATGCTTCTGCAACACCATCATTGACTGCAAACGGTGCTCAGGGCGGGAGACTCAGCAAGCCAAATTGCCATTCAAATTCCCAATGATTGAATCTATCAGAGGGTCAGTATGATTAGTACAAGGATGGCCTTCATGGACATACTCAAGTTAATCGAAGAATCCTTGTATCCTCCATTACCATTGCCACATCTGCAAGTCAGGATTTGTTTTCCAGCAGAGGGTTGCTCTCCAGAAAGTTTGCAGTTGCTGCAGCTGTTGCCGAATGCGCCGCTGCGATGAGAGTTCAGCAGGATCTCTTGTTAGAAGTACATGTACTCTCGCAGGATTGTCAGCCTTACTTCCGCTGGTAGAACAGATTACCGCCGCTGTTGCCCAAGCAGTCCCCTAAACGAATGGCGGCCTGTACGTGGTAGGCCCCACTCGGCTTCCGACAATTGGCAATGAGGTCCCAATAATCGGCGACGGCAGCAGGTGGTTGTATGTGGCCACTGTTGCAAGTTGCTGTGTAGCCGCTAAGGGCCTGCGCTCCTAGAGAAAACCCGAGCAGGGTGACAAGAGCGGAAAGATTGAGCTGCATGGTGGATGGGGCAGGCAGAAGCTTGGGGTCATATGTAGGATCGAAAGGCTCAAAGAGGTGTGTGCAACAATGGGTAAAGCGTTGATCTGGGCTCTCTTTATACACACTCACGGGCAGCCCTTCAACGGTCACTACCCGCGGCATTGACAAGGAGGCGCAGGCTAACGTGATCAGCAGGTATTGGTGAACGCATATCCACTGTTCAATGCCCGTCGAAGGATTCTGGTGTGAAGCGCCTCGTGTGCCAGTAGAGTCGATTTGACTTATGCGAGCATCCACAGAATAACAGAATATTAGGGTAGACCAAGCACTCGTCGCCATTGGTGCCATGGACGGAGAGCGTGTGCATATTGCTCGACGGTAGTCGCTTTCAGGCAGGCCGGCAAGAGATGAACCGAGAGTATCTTGCCTCCGTGCCGTGTCTGCTTGTTCGCTTGCCTTGGGGGCACATCGATCGAGGCCGCATGCCCCTTGACCACAATTGCAGTCGACATCGTTCTGGCGTCCGTGAACATGCAAATGACTTGCTTCGCCCAGCGCTCACCCATACACGCTCTCAACCCAGGTAGTCAGATAATCAAGACGAAAGCAATCCGGATCAAGCGGCGTTTGCGGTTGCGAGAGAGATGGCGGACGGAACCTCGACTGCATATCCTAAGAACATCAATAGATGGAAATCTTGGCAAGCTCCCCACGACCGTTGGTAGAATATATTAAACGAGCCGCGGACTGATCTTGGCGGTAGCAGAGAAGGTAGTATCGGCAGGACAATGGTAACGTTGTGTCGAACTAGCTGTTGTCCTGCAGCGCACCACGCTATTGACAGCCTTGGAAGGAGGGACAAGGCGGGGTTTGCATGAAGTCGGTCGATAAGCAATCGAGGTGAACTTCAAAGATCGCAACGTGCAGTGCTTTGGAAATGATCCAGAACAATTCTTTGGGACCAGGGAGCAGGCGTGTGCGCAGTCATGCATCTCCGTCAAGCGTCCAAAGAACATGTGTGGTAGGCGCTTATTGGCTGTGAGCAGGAAGATGGGCTATTTTCTTTCTTTCGCGTAACATGGGAGGACAGTCGCCTTTCTCCTCGTGCACTGTGACTCTCAAGATCTTTCCGGACGAAGATTGGGAGTCTGGTTTCTCTTGTTGGTCGCGGAGGCGGCGCGGAGGCGGCAGGGCAGACGAGTAGTTCTAACGGCTTGCTGCTTTGGCTCCGCTTCAGAGTCCCGAGAAGAATCTTGCATTCCAGGTTTGCTCTGTCTTCACAGGTGCTTCGGTGGTTGCTGTCAAGGGAAGTTGTCAACAAGACCTACATGTATGGTAGCGAATGGGTAATAACCGTCTTCAGGGCGTGGTGGTCTCGCCTGCTTGGAAGTGATAACATAACACCGAGTTGGAATGTGTCGTCGTCGTCCAGGGATTCATGGCCTGCGCAGCTCCCGACGCTGATGATGAGAATCTCCGTCTGGTCTTTTTCCACGCGGTCATCCGTGTTCAAGGATGCTTCAAGAATGTTTTCATCCCGCCGGTCCCGGAGGCGGGCTTTGGTAAGCTTCAGGAGGCACTTGGCAAACTGTCGCTCGACTTCACATGTGCTTCTCTCCTGCTTCACGATTGGCAGATGCATCACGTCTTCTGCTATACTCCCGACCGCCTCATCTCTTGCGCCTTCTCACCAGGATCAGCATGTCAAGCTGCGACAAATGCTCTCCTTGGCTGGATCAAAATAGCAGGAAATGTGCCGCTGACGACGGCACCTGGGAGGCGCCTCGCCAGACGCAGCAGCCATGTGTCTGGCCCTCGCCATCATATTGGCTCCAGTGTTTCAGGCTGCCTGTCTGTCTGGCCCCCGTTTGGAGGCGCCGCGCGCCATTGGAGGCCATGATAAGCTCATTTCTATGCTTGTCCCATCCTTCGCTCCAAAAACAACGACATACCACTGATGATGAATGGCATTGTGTCGCAGCGCTCCGCGGACCATCGGCAACCCATCGATGCAATGCCTCTTCGTCGGTCCTGGTACGAGTACAGGCACGACGAGCAGGTGGCTCGACTTGTCGCTCCGCCCCTGGATGGCCAGAGCAGTTTGTCTAGCACTGGTGGTGCCGAAACAGCCATGGCCCTCAGCCGTGCCATCACCGGAGCTTGCTACTCGGAGGGTTGTAAGCGTTACGTTTCCGGGTCCACTTCAGAGGTGCCGGGCCGTTGAAGAGGCACGGCTTCCGGACACAGGATCATTCGGGATTCGCATTGTACCTCTGGGGCCAGCTGCCAGTCCAATAGTTGTGTGGTCCGCAACCACATGTACCTCCATTTGACATTGGCAGATCCTTTGCCAACCGAGTGCCGCTGCCTTGCGGGACCACATCACTTCCTACCGCCTTTGGGTACCGTCATGTGTGTTTCAAGAGAAGTCTGATGACACGCACAGTGTATTTCCTTCTCTCATCAAAAGACTGCAACCTTCCTTCAGGAACAGTATGGGCTGGGCATAGCAGCATTGGAGAAACATGCACTCGAATGTGTACAATGTGATATATAAACGGCTTCGACACAGCGCCATTCCCTGGAAGTAAGTACAGATCTTTACTTCTCAGGCGGCACCGCTATCTTCCTCGTTGCACGCCAATCCACCGACCCTGATCACTTGTTTCTTCGTTCCTTCCATGACGAGACAGCTCGCGACGACCATGGCCGCAAGACTTTTCATCGGCGCCCTGCTGCTCGACACCGCAGTCGCATATCCCACGATCGCCTCCCAAAGGCGCTCGAATGGACTTCACAAACGGGTGTTTGCCGATGACTTGCCCGAATACAACGACGACGTAAGCTCCCTCTCCCTCTCCTCCGATGCAAACTTTTGCTGACACACTTTTGAGTGGGCGTCGCTCACCTGCGACATAGAGGTCCTGACAAGCTCGTTCAACGATCCAGCGGCACAATGGAACGCTACTGGTGCCACTAGAGCCTGGCTCGACATGGTTGATGCTTACGAAGAAACCGACAAGAGCGACAACGCTGGAAACTTTGTTGGTGACTATTTCCATGCACGACCTGATTTGGATTGCAACGAGCTCGACAATGCGAACTGCGATGTGACAGTATGGCTGTCGATCAGACACTGTGTGTCATCCATAAATACTTGCTAATACTTTGAAGGTCAACTGCGGCCAGGGTGGTGTGAGTGTAGACTACATCGTCTCGCTGTCAGGACTTGCTAATTATTGTCTCTGGTATGCAGGAGGCTAACGCTGACGTCTCTGCGCCGGCCGGATACATGATCATTAACAGCATGATCCAAATCCACCGGATGTTTGTTCGTCGCCCTTCCCGATGCGCTCTCCTTATTGAGATCCCTAACGCAATTCTCCAGGACAATGTTCTCGCAGCGCTCGACGACGTGAAGTCCGAAGTGGCATTGACAGTTGGCAGCTTCACGGAGACGTTCTCGCCAGTATGAGTCAAATAACTATCCTCTGTACAGAGGTGGAGGCTGATGTTTTGATCCTCCTCACGCAGGTTAATGATGCTCTGGACGACATGAAAAAGACGAAGCTGGCCCTTGACGGCTTGAATATTGGGCTCACCGTCTTGGCAGTCCCCGTTAGAAAATGGAGAGCTCTACCATGTCCGAGACACTCGCTAATGTTTCTGCCCTTCTGTCTGTAGGCAGCAGCAAACAGTCGGTCGTAACCTTTCCAAGTGCTATACTGACATGCACTAACGTGGCTCCAACAGTCGCTAAAACTTTGCCTTATTTCGCCGCAAGGCCTATCCTGGCTGATGCAGTCAAGGGATACTCGAGCGGAGGTAAATGCATTGGACTTGCGTTGACGCAGATATACAAGTGCTGACATATACAAACCGAAACGCAGGCCTGGCCAACCCCATCTTCACCACAGTGAAAGACGCTTTGAGTGCCGAATCGCTTCTACCAGTTCAAAACGGCATGGCAGAGACTTTCGCCAACATTATCGACGGATGGAAAGCTGGCTGGCAAGGCGCTGCTGACGGAATCTTCTCAGATCACACCAAGATCATGTCTATGATCTACCGCGGGGTATGAAATCAAGATGAAAGACCCTACTATGTCTCAAGCATACGCTGACGCTTACTCCCATACTAGGCATTCTTTGACGATGGAGGCGATGGATCAGTCATGGACATTACGCCGCTAGCTCAGGGTATCATCTACGCTAATGGTCTGCCCTCTATTTGGCAAGGAGGCACCGAGGCCGGCATGCCCTTCATTGCGTGAGTTGTCTAAATTCAGACTAGAGTCGTACTGACGAGGTGATCAGGACATCCGAGGGCGTATCTACGGATGACTCTGGCTGTGAAGGCTACGACTTCGGTGACGACGCCAGCCTTTCAGAGGACACCACTTCGTTGGGGTTCCCAGATGGCGATGCCGGCGCGCTGTCTGATGCTACACGGGTCTGCATCGACGATGTGCCTTACTGTATGTTTCTGCTGAATAGTAAGCGTCCGCACACTAACAAATACTCCAGGGCTGTTGAGTGGTAGCGCCAGCATCAAAAAGATGGGTTCTGGTCGCAACGAGTTCAGCAACTACATGCTCTCTCTCGACAAGCCATACGGACTGGACGCTTTGGACGGTGAGCGATGGAGCGGCATCACGAAGGAGCAGCTGGTCATCAAGTGAGTGTGGAGGGTCTTGACTTCGTCTAATGCATTACTGATATCCTCGAAGCGCGGTGAACTCGTGGAAAAACAACGGCAACAAGAACGGCTGGGCTCCATTCAGCCCTGATCCAGAAGCTCCAGTTCCCGATGTTAGCAGTGGCGACATTTCTTTCATACCTGGTGTGGTCGGACTGCCGGTGTGCTCTTTTCGCGAAGCTGTCGAGATCTCGAACGGCGATTCGGGTAACTCTGAGGGGAACTCCATATGGCCGTGTGCGAACTATGCCTAGTGCATTGCTGTTCGGAGCGGTCCAGGTGATGGTGATGAGAGGCTCAGAGAGCCGTCAGTCTCTGTTGTGGGATGGATGAGTACACTCAAGGACAGACTGCTTTCATGCTTCTACGGTTGTATCTTGTCGTTAATTCCAGAAATGAGATTTTCCTTCTTGCGACACTCCAGCTCACAGAATGGAAACCTGCACCTATGAACTCCTGCTTATCACTCAATTAATCTAAGTGCGAGCTTGCGCTACCAAACGAGAGCATGAGGCAGGGGGAACATATGCTCGTCACGTGTTTGGGTGAACCCAGTGGAGCCAAGTGAAAGTCGGTCTTGACCGCGCCGAAGCTTGCGAAGCTTTTGCGGCACGACACGTCTTCTGCTTGCTTGTGACTCTCTTTTACTAAAGAAACACTACACCACTCAAACTCTACTGTTCGTAATTACTTCGGCAATCGTTTGATCTGCGGGCCAACAGCATGCCGTGGCGCGTGATGCACCCGGCTGTCATCTTATCATCAAAACTTTTCTCGCTGCTGACATCACGAGCCCACTTCGACCAGTGGCAACACCATGCTGAAGTGACGAATGCGCCTCGTGCACAACGTCGGACTAATCAGATCGGATGTTCGTGGTAGCCAAAGGCGAGCGGAACTGTGCGACGGAAGGGTGCGGACACGCATGGGTCATGTAAGGCACCATGAGGTAAAGTTTTGGCCACTTGCCGGTCAGCGTGAATGTTGTCTGTCACACTTCTCTATATCCTCACTCTGTACTTCCCTACTTCACGTGGTCTCTATCCTTGTGTGAGACGGTATGCAACCCATCTCTTTCATTGACTACCTTCAACGCTTCCTTGAGACGAGAAAGGACAAGCAGTCACGGAACACCAAAGACAGCACGCAGCAGCACAGCAATGGCGGCGTTTCGCCAGTTACTGAGGACGGGAAAAGCGCGGACAGCGCAGGAAAGCAGTCCGAGTCCGGTAATGTCTCTCCTATGTTGGAAGCTGTGTTTGGATGAGTACTAATCCATACCAGTCAAATGATGGAGCGCCTGAAACGGAGAAGATGGGCGTGGACAACTCACACGTCCGCGTCTTCACGCCTAGAGTCTTCGCCATGGGCATGATTGTCAGCATTGGCGGGCTGATCTTTGGCTATGACACGGGTCAGATCAGTGGCTTCCTGGAAATGGACGACTTTCTGCAGCGCTTCGGCAACACCACTGGTGCCAATGGCGGACCGGCTTTCACGAACGTACGCTCGGGAACGATTGTTGGCCTTCTCTCCATTGGCACTCTCCTTGGCGCTCTCATCGCTGCACCGGTTGCCGATGCTTTTGGGCGCAAGGTTGCCATACTCGTTGGAAATTTCATCTTCTGCGTCGGTGTCATTGTGCAGATTACAACTGATACTACATGGTACCAAATCGCTCTCGGCCGATGGGTGGCTGGTCTGGGGGTGGGCATCTTGTCTGTTCTAACACCAATGTACCAAAGTGAGACGGCTCCGCGACAGGTCAGAGGCGCGCTGGTCTCTGCCTACCAGCTCTTCATCACCTTTGGCATTTTCCTGGCGTACTGCATCAACTACGGCACAGAGACCGACAACGGCAAGAGTCAGTGGATGGTCCCAATGGGCGTGGGCTTCATCTTCCCCGTCATCATGGCCATCGGCATTCTTTTCCTTCGAGAATCACCCCGCTGGGACTACCGCCGCGGCCGGATCGAAGAAGCCCGGAAGACCATGGCGAAATCTTACAGCGTGCCTGAGAACCATTGGGAGGTCAACCGGGAGATGAGGGAGATCAAGGAGAAGCTTGACGCCGAGAACGCTGGCGGAGGCAAGCATCCTTTCTACGAAGTCTTCACCGGTCCACGTATGGCATACCGCATCTCGCTTGGTGTCACTTTGCAGGCCTTGCAGCAGCTCACTGGCGCGAATTTCTTCTTTTACTACGGCACGACTATCTTCCAAGCCACAGGACTTAACAACTCGGTGAGTAGGACCTTTCGTCTCCTCGACTCCGTTCGCCTTGTCCTACTGGCAACCTCAGCGATCTCCAAACATGAGATGAAGTTTAAATTCCGTGCTAACCCTCCATCCTCTTCTACCAGTTCGTCACCTCTATGATTCTGGGAGGGGTCAATTTCGGAATGACTTTTCCAGGCCTGTGGGTCGTCGAGCATTTCGGCCGCCGTCGTGCTCTGATCACCGGCGGGTTGTGGCAATTTTGCTGCTTCATGGTCTTTGCTTCGGTTGGACACTTCGCGCTGGACCAGACTACTCCTCAGAATACCCCAGGCGCCGGCACCGCGATGATCGTCTTCGCTTGTCTCTTCATCGCTGGCTATGCGCAGACCTGGGGACCCATTGTCTGGGCTGTGACGGGCGAGATGTATCCAAGCCGTTATCGCGCAAAAGCGATGGCGATGAGTACCGTAAGTGCCTTCTTCCGGAGCATGACTGCCATCGCAGTGTGGTCGTTGAGGTAGCTAAAAGCTTACTGACCTTTCCTCCGCAGGCGAGCAACTGGATCTGGAATTTCCTGATCTCATTCTTCACGCCTTTCATCACTGGCGCCATCGACTACCGCTACGGTTACGTTTTCGCAGGCTGCAACTTCGCCGGTGCCTTCGTGGTCTACTTCTTCCTCTGCGAACACCAGGGTCGCAGCTTGGAGGAGATCGACACCATGTACATCATGCACGTCTCTCCGCTGAAGAGCTCCAAGTGGGTGGCTCCCGAAGGCGAGGATCTTGTCACAGCCGACAAGCTTTTCCTGGAGCCTGGGGCGGGGGGCATTCGCAAGCAGGAGGCGTCGGGTATGGAGGGGGAGCAGAGATTGGAGGATGTGCCCGCGGCGACCGATGAGCATGGTATTACTGATGTTAGTGGGATCGGGTATGAGGCTGAGGCTAGTGGTGTGAGGGGTGGATCGGTTGGTTGAAGAGTTGTTGATAATCGTAATTGCTGTAGTGCGAGCGGTATGTACATGACTTTGTTCTCTCTATTCTATGATTCTCACTTGGGGTGTATAGCCTGCGCCAGTCCACTGTCCACAGCAGTAACCTCTGCGACCGTCAGACCGTCCGCCTTCAGTGTGACCGCCTGCCACCTGGAATCACCAAGCTCATTCATCACTCAGCACTCCGCCGTGAAGCCCTCAGCTTTATTGTGAACGCCTCACCATTCTTCGGTGCCTTGTGACCGCCTTCGGCACTTCGACGAACCCTGTGTGAAACACTCGAGGTCAGCAACCTCCGTGGACGAAAAGAATGATGGTCCTTACTTCGTCTTATGCTTCGTCGACGTCTTGGTCGCCTTCACATATACTTTCTGCGGCTCCGCGGGATCGACCAAGCTGTAGACATCGATGGTCTGGGACTGTCAGCTTGAGGTCTCGGCAGATGTGACGACTGATCTTCGACAGAGTGGGTAGTGAAGGAAGTACAACGCACCGAACCGTCCTCGGGAATTAGCAATTCTGAAACCTCGCACGGCGTGTAGACGCCGTTGACTGCTGCTTCGCAGTTGGCTGCGAAGAAGACTGTCGCTTGTCAGAAGGGTGATAGAGTGAGCGTGCGCCAAGGTTGTTTACATTGTTTGGAAGCGTTGGAGGTTGCGTTGAAAGAGTAGGATGCTGGGACTGTACTGCCGGCTGGGGTAGCCAGGGCGTAGTTGGCGATAGAGACGGAATTGCCCATGGTTTGGGAAGGACGAGTGATGGGGCGAAGGTTGTGGGAGAGACCGTATAATTGGAAGCGATTGTCAGATTGGTCGTGGTGGTTGAAGTGAGTGTAGGAAACAAGTTGTGGTGGTCGAAGTGAGGGTGGGAAACGATTCAACGACTACCTACCGGCGTACCGGTGCGTTTATCATATGAAGTGTCGTCTCTACAGTCAAAGGAGTCAAAGGAACGAAAGTATGTTTGGAAGTCTAGATGTTGTCTCAGCCCGCCACGCGTGAGGCCAGGAGACTGTGTGTATCGAATCTGGTCGTCGGACGAGCCGAAAAAGTGAACCATGGCGTCCCGGAACAGAGGAGCGGAAGGTTAAACTCCTGAAAGCAATCCAAATGCAGTCACAATCTCCGCAAACGGTAGGACAGTTGAGCTGAAGGCAGAAATACAGGATGCACCACGAACATGCACCTTTTGCATGGAGATAAGGAAGTCAGAGGTCTGGTTTTGAGCGGAGAACGACTGTTCAGCACTGCTTGATCATTATTACCTCCACCATCATGCTACATCCTCGTATAGCGAGTGTTCTGTTTGTCTCAACTAGTCATTATCATCTTCCCGATCGTCACTACTCGCGCGAGACCTCGCTCAGTCCTTCGTGTTGTGGAACTCCGTCCCTTCGACGCTGCCCTGGCGAACGTCCTTCTCGACCTGGTGCAGATCGATATGGGCGACTGCATTCTCGCCATCGAAGATGCGAGCGATTTCCTCGAGCGTTGGGCCCCTGCGTGATAGGTTAGCGATCTACTCGATTGCAAGGGTGTCGCTGGAACTTACTTGGTCTCGACATAGACGAAGTAGACAAAGACGAGTTCGACGCAAATCCAGAGCGTGTAGAAGAGCGTAAAGTTCCAGTGCTTGGGGAGGTTCTCCCAGGCGATGCTGTTGGTTTGACTGTACCAAGCAGTCAGCAAACCTTTCATTGATGCAGGACTGGTGAGAGCGCTTACTTGCCCACCGCGAGAATAGCCTGCACCTGCGCGCGCGTGAAGAGGGGCCGTTAGCAGATGTCTCAAACAATGGACCGCAGGAGATACTCGCTGTGATATTCATGATCTACTCTATAACGTCAGCATGCTGTCCTGTGCAGGAGGGGAGGAGAAAGGAGCGCCGGCCACCATATCCTAGACCACGACGAAGGCTCAAGTAGCTGGAACGGCCCCATACGAGGCCAGCTCAGCCGGCAGGCCCTCGAAGTCATCCGACACAGCAGCGACATGTCCAACCTCGATGTACTGACCATGAGGCCCTTAGCCCTCAGCTTGAACGGCAAGACCTCAAGCGCATAAGCAACCAGCAGACCAGACCAGGCGAAAGAATAGAACACGCCGAAAAGCCAGACGAACGGGATCTGAACGTAGCCAGCGGCCTTGTTGATGCCGGGCGTGATGACGATGTTGCCGTCGGCGTCAGTCACGCCGCCGCCGCTGTTCTCGTAGACGGCGGACGAGATGGTCCAGGCGACAAACATCTGCATGAGGAGTGAGTATAGTGAGGAGGAACTGGAGACGAGGAGAGACATACCAACGCCATGCCCGTAGTAGCAGTGAGGAAGAGCGGGCGGCGTCCGAAGCGGTCGATGAATTGGGCTGCCGTGACGCTGACGATGAGAGAGAGGATGGTGTTGCCGCCGTTCAACTACGCTACAGTCAGTAACCATGGCTTTTGGTAAACGTAAAAAGTACTTACCGGGATCTTCTGGTTGTCGTCCGAGATACCTGCGCCCTCGTAGATCAAGTTGATGTAGTTGGAGAAGAGTGCGTTGCCAGAGTACTGGCTGATGATGCCCAAGCTGAGAATAATCGCCAGCCTCCAGCGGTTGCCCTTCGTTCGCTGCGAAGCATTAGCGCTAGGTCGCGTCACTGAGTGTGTCCATGCTTACGAAGAAGTCCAAGTACGAGCTCTCCTTTGTAACCTCCTTCTCGATCGTGATGGTGTCGCGGATCTCGCGGTACTCGAATTGAACGGTCGGGTTGGAGACATCGCCACCGGCGTGGTAGTAGGCAAGCATGTTGAGGGCTTCTTCGTTGCGGCCCTTGTCGACCAGCCATCTTGGAGATTCCGGAACCCAGTAGATGAAAGCAAGCTGGATAGTGGACGGGACAATCTGCAGCAGCGTAACCGTGCGCCATGACCAGTCGCTGTCTACTTGCATCGTAGCCCAGGCGATCCAGGCGGCGACTGTCATCTCTGTCAGTATGTTTTCTCCATGCGAAGTCCGTGCTTGTACGTACACAACGACCCCAAATTCCAAAGACAGTTGTACACAGCAGTAAGCTTAGCCCGATGCTGCGGGTGACAGATCTCCGTAAGCAGGATCGGCGAGCACATCTGGGCGAAAGAGTTGCCGAAGCCCAGAATCAAACGACCAGCGAAGTAAGTCTTCCAGCTCTGGGCGAAAGTACCGACGAAGCCTCCGGCGATCATGATAACGCAGCCGACGAAGATGGGCCACTTGCGTCCAAGCCTGTCCGTGAAGGTCGGAACGATGAACAAGCTGATAATGCTGCCGATATTCATGGCATTATTCATCAGTCCCAACCGAGACCCAGTGGGAGTGTCGAAGTAGTCTTGCCACGGAGACATCAGCTGCGAGGTATTGAGCATTTGGCCGTCGTAGCCCGTGGTGGCAGAGGCGACGAGCAAGACGGAGCAGTAGAAGTACAGCTTGCGCATGTTCTTGTCCTTCCACCAGTGGACTTTTTCAAACTCGGGTGCTTCGGCTTGCGCGACTTCGATGTCGGCTTTCTTGGAGCCGACGGCTCCGAAGGAGATGCCGACCATGATGGCGGTTGGGGAGGGGGTGTGGGAGAACCGGATGGGTGTCCTCGATGAGGATGAAAGAGAGGGTGTTGGGGGAGAACGAGTGGTGAGCCTGCGATCTGAAATCGCTGATCGAGAAGGGCGTGAGGCATAATATACTTGCGATATACAAACCTACCTCTGATCTGTCTCTCCGTCTCACACGGCACGGCGGCCCTAAAGATCTCGTCCGGTTAATGTGATACCGCATAGGTTAGCAGTGCGTCGTTGGAGATACCTCATGCAAGTCCACACCTGGTATCGACATGGTTGGCACAGTCCAGCAGCCGCATCACGCATCTAGAAGAGGATGTGCATGGTTGGTATGCTGCGGCCAGAAGGCTTCTGTCCAGTCACTAACACGGGTCGAGGTCAGGCTTGAGGTCGTGCGACCGTGCAGGCCGGCTAATGTGTTGACCGTCGATACGGTGTATCAAGTGTGTAGACGTGGTTGGAATTCGTCTTGCCCACTCTCCACTTCCCCGTGGGGTAGATGTAAGGTTGTTTGCACCGGTCTAGATGATCGACCCAGCGTTGTCGCGACAAGAACGTCGTTTCCAACATGAATGTGTCTTGCTCTGACAATAAGTGAGGTATACCTCCATTTCGTTTGTCAGCCTGACCTTTAACATCCTCCAATGACAGGCCTGAGCCATGCGTTGGAAGAGGTGGAAGGATCACGCCACGCCCATTTAAGACTGTCAAGCTCACCCATGTCGCTCAACCAAGCTAACCCGCATCTCGACATGCAGGCTACACCTCATGCATATATGCCGTATGCCCACGTGGTTTTGTCAGCCCATAAATGCTTGACAAGTCCAAGACAGGCAAAGCCTGCGCCGGTGATGCAGGACGGCTGCTGCACCTGCAAATTAAACAACCACTCCCCGTTGAGACGGACGAAGGGAACCAATGTCCTTCGCATCGCGGCTCGTATGGCAGAGGATTCCGCGCGCAGCTGTCGGCAGAAGCACAGACGGCAATCGGGGCAGCGGAAGGTTGTATGACCAGTAAGATGCCGCTTACCATGAAAGGAATGCTTCTCGAACCTGGAGAAGACGGTGAAAGTAGTTGCACGAACGACAAATGGACGAGCGGAAGGGTTGGGTGACAGGCTGTCCTGCGATGCCCCTGCTAGGCGACAAGGTCTTAAGCGTGGCATCGTCGCATTTGGAAAGGCTTGTGCTAACTTGGTTTGAGCATAGCGATATCAAGGAGCCTTGCTCGAGCCTTGTCGTACGCCTTCGACTTCATGATGTGGGTGCCGTCAACCTCGAACGTTCTCGGCCCGATATACCGTGATGCGCCAACGAGCCCAGTACTGCTTCAGATGCCTTGACATGGGACGTGAATGCAGTTGAAGCCACTCGATGATGTTTGCTCGCATTCCCAATCCTATTTCGACATGGTCTGACGTTGCGTTGATCGACGTTCCCGCCACAACAGCGAGTCCAGCGGCTCAGCGTCCCGTGAACCAAGAGCCCACGAGGCGTCGCGGTACTTGAGATGATGCAACGGCTGGAGCCATACTGCCATTCGTCCGAAGGCACGAATCCCAAAGTCGTCCACCTAGTCGACATCCTAACAGGTTCCATGCCTGACGGCAGCAAAGACACTCCACAATTCTACGTCTGGCTGATGTGACGAATCGTCCAAACGGCGAGTTCAGCGGCTCAGTGTCCCGTTGATCGAGAATCCACAAGCCGTTGCATCGTCCTGAGATGCGACGATGACTGGTGCAAGGCTGCCATCCGTCCGAAAGCACACATCCCGGCAACAGAGATGGATTCGACATGCAAACACCTTGCATGGATGACCGCCGGCAGGCCAACGCTGATTCTTTTCGCAGCGACCGTCCGGCGTTGAACAGATGGGAACCGCGATCAGCAGCGCTCCGCATGGTGCGGTCTGGCTGTGATCCAGCCGGCAGAAGGTGGTCGAAGATCGTGCTGGAAACCCCTTCGCCATTTATGTTGTCTCTGAAGGGTGGAGTTTTGTGAAAGTGTGCTGGCGCACTGTCATCAGTCGCGTAGCGGAATGGCCTCCAGTCATTGCCCCACCACGAGAGTGTCGTATCCGAAAGACTCCACGCTTCCACGAGGGCGCTGTCGAGACGCGCTTGCCACCGAAGGAACACTCTGCTATCGCTGTCGTGCGTTCCATCGATCTACCACACCTCCGCCGCGTTCGCCATCCCGTTAACGACCACCGCCGTAGCCCGTCAGGCCAGTGATTGCAACAGTTGCCATTGAACGGACCTGACAGTCTTCTGGAAGGCTCAGTCCCGCCCGGAAAGGCGATATTATTTCCGTGGGTGGGCTGTCGTGGTTTGCGAGAAGATCCATCACAAGGCCAATCGCACTACCGACAGCTTGCCCGTCACTGCAGGGTTGGCTTGTTCTGCTGTATCGCAGCTCGAGCGTCCTCGCCGCATTCAAAGCAAGGTCGGAGGCACGATGTGAAGCACAAGAGGATGACCGGTCCAGGCGGAAGACAAGACCAGTGTCTTGTCGTTGGCAGCCGGGCCATCATGCGCTTCGAGACCGTCGGAGTGATAGGGAAAGGGGCAATAGCGGCAGAGCGGAATCATAGCCTTGCTGGCCGGGCTGATATACAACAGGTTCTCAGTCAAGTCAAGTCGTAATAGTACACACCTCTTGAACCGTCTTCTCAAATCCCTCCCCCTCACACCCCCACCGCCCTCCCCACCCTCGTCCGCACCCCCTCCCAACTATTCAACTTCGGCCGCACATCCAAATAAAAGCTCAAAGGTCCTGCCCCACCACCGCCCTTCCCATCCTCCCCCCTGCCCTCGTAGAAATCAATCACGTACTCCACCTGCCCTCCGTCAGCTCTTTCGACAACCCAATCATGCCGATCAAAAGGCCTCTTCCACCCCCACAACCCATTCCACCACGCCCTCGGCGTTAAAGCCTTACTATCTCCCGAAAAACTCACCAGCCTCGGCCCATCCGCCTCTTCCTCCCCATTGCCAGGGCTCAGGTGTGGGTGGTACGGCTCCTCCCACCTCAGTATCTCCCGCCACGTCCTCTCATTAACCGCATTATGGATCGGCACAATCGTCTGCATGTCCGCCGCCGTCGGCGTGTGCCCTTTCCGCTGCATGGCGGAGAAGAACTGGGATTGCGAGGGGTAGATCCAGTTTCCGCTGGCGCTGTCGTGGCCGGTGTCGGATTCGCTGTTGGCGGGGAGGGCGGCGCGTTCGGCGCTGTTGAGGGAGGCTGGCGAGCGGGTGGTGGAGAGGGCGCGGGGGATGGAGGAGATCTCGCGGTCGGTTGGGAGGGTGGAGGTGGGTGTTCGGGGTTTTGTGGAGGCTTCTGACTGGGTTGTAGGTGGTAGAGTCCAGCTCCCGCTGTCCAGCGAGAAGCGTGTTCGACCGAGAGCGTGTAGTTCGGACATGGCGCGGAGGTCTTGCCATTGTTGGAGGAGAATGTTGCGCTGTTCTTGCGGCATGCGGAGCATTTGGGGCGTGAGTTGCTCTAGCATCTTGGGGTTGTTCTCTGCTCTTCGTAATTGTTGCGCGGTGGGTGCTTGTGGCGGTAGTGATGCTGGCGCAGGCTGCTTAGGTGGGTGCGGTGCTTGCTGGCCGTTGGCTTTGGCTGCGTCCAGCCATTTCTGGCGGGTTTGAGGGTCGACGGGGCATTTGTCGTCGACGGAAGCCATTGGTATCGTTACCTTAGGTATGTACAAGTGGTGTGGCGGATGAGAAGAATGAAGACGTTCAATGATATCTATATTTCTGAAGCTCGGGCCATCTTCACATGCGACTCCCGCGGCGAAGACGGACCCTGCGTCAGAGTGTTGATCTTTGGCAACAAACAGCAACGAGCTCAAGGTCGGAGATGTGGTATAGGATGAGCAGATGACCCCCTTGACCGGTATACCACCGCAGGCTGTCCCATAGCGCCTCGAAAGACATACCACCTTCTGCAAAGGGAAAAGCATTGAAACGACGAACAGCCACAATGGCTTCGGACGAGGTGTACCGAGCAAGCACTTATGCTCCAGTGAACATCGCAGTGATCAAGTAATACTAACCCCCTCTCCCCCAACAGACACATGCTCATAAGGATGCAGATACTGGGGCAAACGCGACCCCAAACTCAACCTCCCCACCAACTCCTCCCTCTCCGTCACCCTCTCGCAAGACGACCTCCGCACCCACACCACCGCCTCCTGCTCCTCCTCCACCCCCCACGACAGCCTGATCCTCAACGGCCACGACCAAGACATCTCCGGCGCCCGCACCCAAGCCTGCCTCCACGACCTCCGCCAACACCGCCAACAACTCGAATCCTCCGACCCCAGCCTGCCCAAACTCTCCACCATGAAACTCAAGCTCGTCTCCGAGAACAACTTCCCCACCGCCGCCGGCCTCGCCTCCAGCGCAGCAGGCTTCGCCGCCCTCGTCCGCGCGATCGCAGACCTCTACGCCCTGCCCCTCACACCGACCCAACTCTCTCGCATCGCACGGCAAGGCTCCGGGTCCGCCTGCCGCAGCTTAATGGGCGGCTACGTCGCGTGGGAAAAGGGCACCGCCGCCGACGGCTCCGACAGCGTGGCCTACGAAGTCGCTCCCGCCCACCACTGGCTCGAGATGCGTGCGCTCATCCTCGTGGCGTCGGCAGCGAAAAAGGACGTCTCCTCTACCGCCGGCATGCAGCAGACCGTCGCTTCCTCATCACTCTTCGAGAAGCGCGTAGATGAGGTCGTGCCCAAGCGCATGAAAGCGATGGAGAAAGCGGTCCAAGAGCGGGATTTCGAGGCTTTCGCCCGCTTGTCGATGAAGGATAGCAATAATTTCCACGCCTGCTGTCTTGACACCGATCCGCCGATCTTTTACATGAATGATACGAGTCGCTGTGCTGTGCGGTTGTGCGAGGCGATCAACTCCCACCACGAGACACAGTCCGGAAAAGCAGGGGCAATTTGTGCGTACACGTTTGATGCCGGGCCGAATGCTGTGGTGTATTATCTAGCGGACAACGAGCAGGCGGTTGCGGGGTTGTTCAAGGGAATCTTGCAGGGGAAAGAGGGGTGGGAAGGGAAGAGGGGCGGGAGTGTGAAGGAGAAGGAGGATAGGGGCGTGTTGGAGGGGATGGAGGTGGCGGTGGAGGGGTTAAAGAAGGGTGTGAGTCGGATCATATTGACGGGAGTGGGCGATGGGCCGCAGAAGACGGAGGAGCATTTGTGTTGAGGCAAAAACCACGCATTCGTGCGGCAGTAGCAGAAGCATTTGCAAGCGGCCATAGCTATAGCGACGACGTCACCATAGGTACGAGACTAAATGGCGACAACTGCATGCTAATCATATGATACCCAGGTATCCAATGCATCGCAGCCTGTTGCTTGTCCTTCACAGCACGAACGTACTCCCAACAAAACTGGGCACAAGTCCTCCCTCCCCCATAACCTTCTGAATCTCAAACTTCGCCCTCCACCCCGTACAATGCCCCGCAAGCAACACCTTCACCCCTAGCGCCTTCAGATCCTGCGCTGTCGCGGCGATCTGCTCCCCCTCGGCGTCCGCGAGGTGAAAACCGCCCATGACAGCGTACAGCGGGACGTCCGGCTCCAAGTCCAGAGTGTGGCGCGCGGCGTTGACGACGCCGGCGTGGGAGCAGCCGGTGAACATTACCAATCCCTTTCCTGCACCCACAAAGGCAAGCGTCAGCACCCAACCCTCCGCCCCCTTCACCAACAAAGCCAAAAAAGTAATCGTACCTTTGAGCCTACACATCAAAAACCGCTCATCCGCCATCTCCTCATCCCCCACCCACCCTCCTCCCTCCACATACCGTACCCCGAACCTCAGTCCCCGCTCATAAGGCGTCACGCGGGGGATTTCGCCCGAAACCATAAACGCCCCGCCCGCCACCGTGTGCGCCACGTCGTGTTTCTCCACCACCCCGCCCGCCTGCTCGATAGCCTCAAACGTCGGGTCCGGCTCGAGACTCACCACGGGGAGTCCAGGGGGCTGCAGCCCGCGGTACGTTGGGCGGGAGGGATGGAGGTCCACTCTCACTGGGTCAGCGCCGGGGGGTTTGGAGGATTGGATCATGGAGATTGCTTGCAGCATTCCGCCCGAGTGGTCGCGGTGCCAGTGCGATAATTGAATGGTCTCAACGGCACCGAGGTCGGGTTTCAGACGCAGCGCGTTGCGCTCGAACGCACTATCCTCGGGTCCAGTATCGAAGAGAACCGTATGCGATTCTCCCGAGGGTGAGGTGCCGGTGATGAGGAGGGAGAGGCCGTGAGCGGAGCAGCAGATATGGTCCATTCGTAACTCGCGCGCGGCGCCGGGGCGAGAGGAGTCTTTGGTGAGATCGGGTCCGTTGAGGCCGATGGTTTTCATGCCGCCGGATTGCTCGACGAGGGGATTGGGGGAGGGGGAGATGGGGTCGAGTTCGTTGTCGATTAAAACGTGGATGGTTAGGGAGGCGAGTTCGGGGAGTTGGGGGGCCATGTCGAAAGGAAGTAAAGTGGTGGTGTGTGAGATGGAGCTTGGGGGAATGAAGATGGAAGGAGAGATGGAGCTTGACATGTCTTTCTCTGATCTTGACGATGGGCTTATATATGCGATATACGTGATATACGTATACCGGAAACTTTCGAGCCCACCTATGTCCGAACGCGAACTGAGGAGGTTATGCGGTTCAGGCAGCTGACAGATGCCATAGGGCTGAGTCTAATCCTTCGGGCGTAAGGGTAGGATGTAGTAATGGAGGATCGATGAGAAATGTCGGCCCTAATTAATACAGCTACCGCCGCTGTACGCCTACCTTGACGACTATCGCGTCGCCGTCCTGTAGAGTACGTAGTTGTCGACCCTCGCTGTAGGAGAAGAAGGAACGATGGTGGGCGGAAGGAGCGGAAGATAGCTGCACGAGGACAAGCTGGAGTCTTGGTGGCGCTTGAGGCAGCAAGCAAGCCAAGGCTTCTTTGAGTCGACCTCACCTCGTCTTTCCTCTATGATCCCTACAAAACCTCACTTCACGTCGGCTGGCTGATGGTCAAAGAGGGTGTCAAGATGGCCCAACCGACCGACGAAGATAGACGCGACTCCGCCGACGAGCCTCTCATGGCCAGCGACAACTCATCCAACGACGAGCGGGAGGACTCGCCATCGATAGAATTGCCTGGCCAAACGCGCGCTCCTATGCACAAAGCTGGGAAAGTCATCTGGCTACTTACTCTATCCGCTGGTATCTCTGGACTGCTCTTCGGCTACGACACCGGGGTCATATCATCTACACTTGTTTCAATCGGCTCGGATCTGTCCGGCCACGATCTGACGACTACGGATAAGAGTTTGATCACTGCTGTGACCTCGTTGTTTGCACTGCTGTCTGCGCCTCTTACTGGTGTTTTCGCCGACAAGTATGGGCGACGATCTGTTCTGCTGCTCGCGAGCATACTCTTCGTGCTGGGTGCGATCATTCAAGCAGCTGCCGGGATCGTGTCGATCATGGTAGTCGGCAGAGCCGCTGTCGGTGCTGCTGTGGGCCTCGCGTCGTGTGCGACTCCGCTGTACATCACCGAGTTGGCGCCGGCCGAGATGCGCGGTAGGCTGGTTACCATCCAGTCTCTCTTCGTCACTGGCGGCCAAGTGGTGGCGTATCTGGTCGGCTGGACGTTCGCAGGTCAACTCCACGGCTGGCGATGGATGGTCGGTCTGGGAGCCTTTCCTGCGATGCTACAGCTGTTTCTACTGGCCTTCATGTTCGAGTCACCTCGGTGGCTCGTTCAGATCGGCAGGGAAGGGAGGGCGAGACATGTGTTACGACGCATCTACGGCGGCCTCACAGAAGACGAGCAGAAGCGGACCGTGGACAGCGTGGTCCTCGACATCCAGACTGAGATCGCGGCAGAAGCGAAGCTCGACGACGACGAGCCACAATTTGGCAACACTCGCTCGTCCTTCCTCACTACTGCGCGACAACTCTTCGAGATCCCAGGAAACCGCCGCGCCCTAACGATCGCTTGCATGCTCCAAGCAACCCAGCAGCTCTGCGGCTTCAACTCGCTCATGTACTTCTCCGCGACCATCTTCTCATTACTCGGCTTCACCAATCCCATCACCACCTCCCTCTCAGTAGCTCTAACAAACTTCATCTTCACAATCGCCGCCTTCGCCTTCATCGACACCCTCGGCCGTCGGAGGATCCTGCTTTTCAGCATCCCGATCATGATGCTGGCGCTTGGATGGTGCAGCTGGGTTTTCTACAATATGAAGGGGCTGGCTCCTGGCGCGAAACAGCCAAAAGTCAGTTTCATACAGGATGATCGATCAAGATGGCCTCAGTCACTTCTAGGAGCCATGCTCATCTACGTCGCCGCATACGCCATAGGTCTGGGCTGCGTTCCATGGCAGCAAAGCGAGCTGTTCCCGCTTCGAGTCCGATCTCTTGGATCTGGCATTTCGACGGCCACGAATTGGAGCTCGAACTTCGTCATTGGTATTACGTTCTTGCCTATGATGGAGTTCCTGTCGCCGAGCGTGACGTTCGCGGTGTACGCTTTTGTCTGCTTATTGGACTGGGTAGCGATCTTGAAGATATACCCTGAGACCGCTGGGTTGGAATTGGAGGGCATTGGAGGACTGCTGAAGGACGGATGGGGGGTTGAGAAGAGCCTTGAAGGCTTTCGGGAGAGGAAGGATCTACAGGCAAGGCAGGCTCGGGAGCATAGTAAATCACATGGCGTATGGGCGTTATTCAGGCGGCGATAACGATAGGAATGAGCTTAACGATACCGCAGTTTCATGAATCTGTCTCCATCCAACTTCGTCTCCGAGATCGTTTCATCCATCTACCGCCGTCTGATTGATCTAGTAAGTCGTCTCAAGCGTCACCCTCGTGAAATTATGCACGAACCACCTCCCATCATTCGTATCAACCGTGACCTTCGACCCCGAAACATTTCCCCCCTGCAACGCACCATCCTGCACTAACCCCCCACCGACCGGCCTACTCAATTTATTCGCCCCATCCACCACCGTGAAATTCGCCAAAGAGACCTCATACCCGTTCCGCGTCTGCAAACTCGGCGTCCCAAAGAACCGCGCATCAATCTTCTCCTTGCTGATGTGCAATTCAAAGTACCCGCGATACCAACCTTCGTTCCACTGCAGTTCCTCGTTATCCCGGATCAAGCCGCGGGAGATCTCGTTGCAAGCGCTGATGGGTTCGTCTTCATCGCAGGGGCCGGACGAGGAGACTGCGGTGCCGCCGAACTCGACGCCCAGGGCGCCGGAGCCGGTGGAGGGGTTGTAGGGTTTTTCGTCGAGCCTATGCGCACGTAAGGAGAACCCGTCAGCAAATGTCTCAGACAGTGAAGTAGAGAGGCCGTAAAAGGGTGTGCCACGCCTACTTAGGACGGTCGAGGGTTGAGACGAATCTTATAGCCGATTTACAAGCGCAGAACCGCCCGGATTGTCGCAAATGCTCTGGCTCATCGGCCATGAGACTTGTCTCTAACCCTTGGGTGTAAATGAGGCAGGGGGGTTTCAGTTACGGAACACTCACCAGACGAGGTCGGAGACCCAATTGGCGTGGGAGTCGCCGGCGAGCATGATGTTGTTGGAGATGTTATTGTCGTAGCTAGAGTTGTTGTTAGTCGGGCAAGTATGGGAAAGGCAGGGGAGAGGAGGGCTTACAGGGTTTTGAGCGTGCGGTTTCGGTTTGCCATGTAGCCGTCCCATTGGTCGTAGTTGAGTGGCAAGTCGAGAGTGGCCCAGGACGCGGTCTGGTTAATTCTGCTAAAGACGATCTGGCTGCCGATTAATCGCCAGGTAGCGCCTCGCTCGTTCGATTCGACGAGACTGCGGTAGAACCAGTTCTCCTGGTCACTGCCCATCAACGTCCTTCCAGCATCGTTAGAGATGTCCTTGACATATTCGTCATTCCAGCCGAGCGTCGTGATCGAACGGTCGTAATTTCTCGTGTCAAGCATAATCAAATCAAACAGAGTGCCAATAGAGAAGGAGCGCCAGATCCTCAGATTGTTGTCCATATCGACCTGCGTTCATGTCAGATGCTAAATTAGATGGCATGCGTCTAGAAATGGTCTTACCTGTCGAATCGGCATCCACTCAAAGTAGGCTCGTACAGCGTTCATCTTGCGCTGGTCCACGCTTACGCCTCCAGCCATCTCGAATGAGTCTTCGGTGTTGTTCATCCCTGAGGAGCCGTCTCTGTACCCATTGTTCGAGACTTCGTGGTCGTCCCATACTGGGATCCAGGGCTGTCTCTTCATCAGTCTCCCACACGGAGCGGGAATTTAAGCGGTCCTCACAAACTTGCTGTGCGACAGCAACAGATCCTCATCCGTCCTATAAGTAGCCAGACGCCTACGGTAATCGTACAGCGTGTGGATCTCCACCTCAGGCTGAACAACACGCTTCTCGCTAGTGGTGTTGTATTCGTAGATGTAATCCCCGAGATGGATCACGTAGTCGACATCATCCTTACGAGCAGCGTTGCCGTACGAGTTGAAAAATCCGTTGGGAAAGTTGGAGCAAGAGTAGACAGCAACTCCGACGTTGGCAGTGTCGTCATCTGCAGTTGGTGCAGTCTTCGTCCTGCCGAGAGGGCTCTTGTTGTTGCTACCGCAGACGCAGAATTGGTAGTAGTACTGAGTGAATGGCTCAAGACCGCCGGCTTCCACCTTGACGGTGTAGTCGATGTCCGAGGAAGTATAGGCCTTTCCAGAGGTAACGACGTCCATCATGTGGCTGTCCGAGGCCACTTCGTAGGTCAAGCAGACTGGGGAGGAGCTGGCACGAACGTACTCCTTCGTGTCGTGGTTGTAGAGCGGCACTGTGCCCTCGACGGTCACGTTGCTCCTGTCATTGTCCATCATGGGCGCCGCTCGAGTCCACAGGATAACACTGTCAGGATATGGGTCCCCAGATGCTACACCATGCGTGAAGGAGAGGGATGCCGGGTCCATGTACGACGCATTGCCAGAGTGCCTTTTGACCACCTTTGGCATTGAGAGTCCCAGGGCCGGGTGTAGGTACGAAGGACTGCCATAGTTGACGTTGCCGCTCCAGTCGGCCAACGCCGCTGTGGCGAGCAAGGAGAGCGAGAGGAGAGAAAGCATAACTGCGGGAGAGGTGAGAGATGGGAGGTGACAATACCATGTGCCGCGTGCTGGCCATCTTATATGCTATACAGCCTCGACGGCCCATCACTGCCGGCACGTTCAGGGCAGGTCACTCGAGGGACAGAGGTCGAGTCGATCAATCAGAGCTCCGCAGAGTGTGCAGACCTAGTGGTGGAGAGCGGAGAAGACGCTGTGGTTCTTGGCCTTGCTGTTTGCCTTCACCTCGTGTTCATCATTGACGAGATGATAGGTTGGCTCCATCTCCAAGCCAAGAGGTTCATGCAGTGCGCAAAAACGACTACAGCCAACGTGGAAGGTCCGAATGGTTTTATGTCGATCTTTCCAGGAACACTGCATGATGAGCTTGTGGTACATGGAAGAGCTCAATGAGCCGCATTAAAGAATGCATCCCGCGCTAGTCGATACACTAACCGTTCAACCACGTGGGAAGATGGACAAGGCTGATAGACAATCACTCAACAGCTAAGTTTTCAGTACAGTCATTTCACATAGTATCGATCTTGCTTAGAACCTTGACTCCACCTTGGTCTCAGTATCCTGCAACGCCCACTCGCTCCTGCTCTTCGTACTCCTCACATTGTCCACCTGTGCCTTCGTGAAGCCCTTCGCTTCCACAGCTGGGTTGTATCCAAGACCGTTCTTCTTGCCAATCTCCTCGGAGGATACTGGGCTGCTTTCCTTACCATCTGCACGCTTGTATACGGTCACGACGACAGCGCCGCCGAGACCAAGGTTGTGCTGAAGGGCGGCATTTGTGCCTTTGACGAGGCGGTTGTTGGCCCAGCCTACATTATGTCAGTAACTTGTCGCAGTATGGGGTGTTAGAAGAATGCGCCATACCTCGCAGATGCCACACCAGCTCTGCGCATTGGGCGATACCAGTCGCACCCAACGGGTGGCCCTTGCTGATCAGACCACCCGAAGGGTTGATGACCATCTTACCGCCATAAGTGATGTCGCCCTTCCGCACCATTTCGTGCGCCTTGCCAGGTTCTGACAAGCCCAACGCATCAATGGTAATCATCTCGTTCGCGCTGAAGCAGTCGTGCAGCTCACAGACCTTGACGTCCTTGACATTGACCTTCGCCTCCGCCAGGGCCGTCTTCGCTGCGTAGCGTGACATATCGAAGCCCATCAGGTCGATTGAGCTCCGGCTGAACAGGCTCGGCGCGTCAGTCGCGAGACATTGCCCGGCAATCTCCACTGCTTGATCCTTGAGATGCGGTCGCGCGTCCAAGAAAGCCTGGCTGACGAGCACCGCCGCCGCGCCACCGTCCGAAGTAGGACAGCATTGCAGCTTCGTAAGCGGCTCGTGGATCATCGGCGACTTGAGCACCTGGTCCAAAGTATACTCGTCCTGGAACTGTGAGTATGGGTTTCGCTTGCTGTGCTCGTGGTTGACCCTCGCAATCTCCGCAAAGTCCTCCTTCTTCGCGCCGTACTTCTCCATGTACTCTCGTCCTGCATTGCCGAACATCTGTGGTGCTCCTGGAGCGTTGGTCACGCCGCGGGTGGCTTTCATCATTTCGGCTGAGGTGCCGGTGGGGTTTGCGCGGTCATTGAAGAAGGATTGGAGGGAGCCTGGAAACATCTTCTCGAAGCCGACTACGAGGACTGCGTCGGCCATGCCGCCTGCAATCATTGTTCGTCCGAGGTGTAGGCCGGTGGAGCCGGTGCCTGTAGACGTGTCAGCTTGCTCGAATGGAAGCCGAGCAAATCGCTATCCTTGCCGCTGACTTACTGCAGTTGTTGTTCACATTGTAGATCGGAATCTGGCTCATGCCGAACTGGTAGAATACTCTCTGTCCGCACGTCGAGTCGCCATAGCAGTAGCAAGCAACACCGGTCTCAATGTCATCGTAGTTGACCTGAGCATCCAGCATAGCCTTGACACCAGCTTCAAAACCCAGCTCGGTGTAGTCAATCTTGCCTCGTGGCTTGACGAACTTGGTCATGCCAACGCCTAGGACGTAGCATGGAGCCTTCTGTTTGGGTGCCATGGTTGCGTGTTGGAGCTGTTAAGGAAGAGTGTGTTGCGGTTAGATTTTATGTGAGCACTGGTTGTTGATAGTGGGAAGAGCTGACAAGAACGAAATGAAGAGATCCTACAACATAGTCGTACAGTCTACAAATTAGCCTCGGTGCAAGATGTTCTCCGGTCTGCTGTCTGAGGTGAGGTTGTCTGAGGGGACAGCGGCTACCGTTAAGTCGGCACCTAGCCGAGGCTCGCCCGGCGGATCTTCGGGCAATATTTCAGTGAACGAAGGGCTCTCCAAGCAGTGTCCCAAAGCCTGGTCGCATCGGAAGCTGATGTGGTGATCAGTAATCATGGCGCGTCCAAGAAGTCGTTCTGCGCAGAGAAGGCCGAGTTGATGGCAAGAAAGTGTTCATATTCATGTAGTCTTGGCTACGTCTACGCCACTGTCACGGAGGAGCAGTACGGAAGCCATCCTGCAACAGAACCGCCCGTCTTTCGAACGCCCATAGCATGCATCGTGCAAGACAGCTCAAGTACGTGGCTTCTCCTTCTTCTCCTTCCACAGCGCCATCAGACCCACACCCGACACCTTCACAACCTTGAATCGCACGCCAGGAATATCACCCTTGGCCTTGCCCTTACGACCGAAACCAGCGAGGAGCACTTCGTCGTTCTCGTCCACGAAGTTCAAGCAACCGTCGTTGGGGACTGCAGATGTATGTTAGCATGAAATTCCGCTGGAGGCAGCATTGCAAGCCAACTACTGAAGGTTGGTGTTGACATACCGAAAGCGGTGACCTTCTTGCCGTTCTTGATGAGTTGCACACGAACGCACTTCCGGATGGCGGAGTTTGGCTGCTTGGCCTCAACACCGACCTTTTCGAGGACGATTCCCTTGGCGTGTGATGAACCCTGGTATGTCGTGTTAGCCGCAGCTCCTCGACTACCAGTATCTCGCAGCCCTCCGCAAATTGTGCGCTGTCCAGTCTCTTCTCTTCCTCTCAAGCAGGGGTGGTGGGTGAAGACGTACTCCGAATGGTGATGACTTGTATGCCGTACCCAACAGTCGCTTCTTGTAGTGGAGATCGGCCCATTGCTGGTCGCGGCGATGCGTGCGCAGCTTTCGTGCTGCCAAAAGGCCTCTCGGCTTGCCTTTGCCCATCTTCGCTGTTGCAGTGTGTTAGTGTGCTCACTCAAACTCGTCGTACTTCTCGGGGATGCGGATGAGCGAAGGGGGGTCGTTGTCGGCGCAGTAATTGGTGATGGCGTGTTGGTGCACTTTGCGGGATAGTGGGTAGTTACTCACCGGTGTTGGATGGGTGGTGGTGGTGAGAATGTCGTCGCTGGCGGATCTGAAGTCGTCGATGAAAATCGGGCTTGAGGTGCGTTCAAAAGTTGCTTGGCAAAGCACGGACCCTCTCGAAAATGACTTCAGCTTCTTCGATTGGAAGAACGCTACTTCCTCTTATACCACAATAACATCAACCCAACTGTGAATGTGAGTGCGCATCAATAATACCTGAGGGGGCAAACCTACAGCCGCAAAGTCACGAACAACTGCCAACGACATTTCCATTGCTCCTGAAAGCAGACGGCGTTGTATCCCCGGTTCCTCGCGATGGTATCGCAACAGCCGCTCGAGGGGGTACTCACCGCAGTCTGAGCTATCACCGGTATTGCGGAATGCTGTTCAATGGGTTCCCAGTCGCGGGTGTGCCAGAAGGGCCGAGGTCCTTTCACCATCTCCCCAGTCCCCCTCTCCAGTCAACAACGTCTCACAGACAGCACGAGGCCTTTGGTTTCATGTCCGCCCTGGCTAGCTGCTATCGTAACGATTGAGCAGCGCATTCCTTCCTACAATTGTTACTACTCACTGAGGCTACCATGCCGGTCCTCAGCTGTTCACGTGGTCATGGCCCATAACATTGGTGTGCGTGGTCGTACAACTAGCTTATGCTACATAGCATTGTCACACCTGCAGCATGCGAAGTGCCACACGCGGACTCATCAGCTCTTCGGTATCTCCGTACATCTCGACCGAGCTCAATGTCTGTCATCTTCCCCCGGGTCATTCTTCCCCGAAGCCCGGCACCGCCCGGAATACCACCGCTCGCTTCCCCGCTTTTTGAACTTCTTCCCACCACTCCACACGCAGATCTGCATACAGCCAAGCAAAGACGCGAGAAATCTTTAACGCCGAGGCCGTCGAGAAGTGGTGGACCAGTAGACCTGTTCGTGGTAGATGTATCCAGCCGAGCCAGCCACATGACCAAGTAAGGTTCAGACTTTTCTACCTCACTCATCATTCCTGACTTCATCTTTCGTCTCGTCCTCCACAGTGTGAGAAGCATCCACCAAGATGCGATTTTACAACAACGAGAAGACGGAAACCGTCTCCGACTACCCTCCAGAAGATGGCTACGCCGGCGATGCATACTCGCCCAACGGCGACAGCGACAGCGAGGTCGTGCAATGTCCGCCGCACACCACAGAGCGGAAACTGCTCATGCGCATAGATCTGCATGTTATCCCATTCTTGTGCATCATGTATCGTGAGTATCCCACACGCCCACCAACACGAACTTCTCACTAATAGCGCACAGTGTTGGCCTTCCTCGACCGTATAAACATCGGAAACGCAAATGTCTTTGGCTTGAGCGAGGAGCTCGGCCTTGAGGAGGGCAACAAGTAGGTCAAACTGATGGGTGGGAGGGTTCTCTGAGACCTGCCCAGCGTTCAAGAACTGCGCAGTGCTCTGAGACCTTTCCATCTTCGCTTCAACTGCCGAGACATCTGCTGACCCTTCTACCAATTACTCTAGGTACAACATCGCCCTCACGATCTTCTTCATACCATATTGCCTCTTCGAGATTCCATCGAACATCTTGTTGAAGAAGTTTAAACCGCACATTTGGCTACCAGCAAACATGTTCATGTTTGGCTTTGTGACGATCATGCAGGGGTTGGTCCAGAGCCCTAGCGGTCTGTACGCGACCAGATTCTTCCTCGGTGTATTCGAGACTGGCATGTTTCCTGGATGCTTCTACTTGATCGGCATGGTGAATACAGGCCGGGCCCTCCATGTGACAAATTTATCTTGCTGACATTAAATCAAGTGGTACCGACGACACGAAGCCCAGAAGCGCTTCTCGTTCTTCTTCAGCTCGACGACCTTGGCTGGAGCTTTTGGCGGGCTCCTGGCGGCTGCGATTGGGAAAATGGATGGCCTCAGAGGTTATAAAGGGTGGCGATGGGTCCGTCAAAACCAGTCGTACGATCATGAGTTGGGACACTGACCCCTCTGCAGATTTTCATCCTCGAAGGCGCCCTCACCGTCGCCGTCGCCATGATCTTCTTCTTCGTAATGCCAGACTTCCCAGAAGAGTCCAAATGGCTCTCAGCCGACGAGAAAGCTTACGTCGCAGCTCGCCTTCGTCTGGACCAAGGTCAGTCCGCTCGCGACAGGCCCATCACTCTTAAAGACATCGGGCGAGTGTTCAAGGACTACAAAGTCCTCGTCGCTGGCTTCATGTACTTCGGCCTGATCGTGCCGGCGTATAGCTATGCCTATTTTGCTCCTGGCATTATCGCGTACTACGGCTACAGCCCGATTGAGACGCAGCTACATTCCGTCCCGCCGTGGGCTGCTGCGTTCGGGTATTGCATGCTCGTCGCCACGCTGTCGGATTACTTCATGCATCGCTTCTGGTTCGCCATTTTCAGCATTTGCGTGTCGATCACTGGGTTTGGCATACTCGTCTCAGTGCATGACAACGTCAACCTGCAATATGCAGCTCTCTTCCTGGTGACCATGGGGACGTACACCGCTATGCCGATAATTGTTTGTTGGTACAACCTGAATCTTGGAGGGCACCACAGGAGGTCCGTCGGCAGCGCGTGGCAGGTGAGTCAACGCAGTAAAAGGGCACCGCTCGGCTTGACATCTTGTCTAAGATGTTGCGGGCCATGAAAATATCTTTCTTGATGATCTCAAGCGCCCAAAACGTGCTGACCACTCTGTTTGATTAGATCGGCTTCGGTAATCTCGGTGGTATCATCGCCACCTTTGCGTTCGTCGCAGACGACGCTCCGTTTTTTGTCACAGGCTACTCGATCTGTTTCGCCTTTGCAGCGATCAGCATCATCGCGTGTGTCATCTATGGCTACGGTTGCTGGTCGCAGAATCGAAATAGGGACAAGACGCCGGTTGATGTTGGTTTGACGGAGTATGAGAAGACGGAGCTGGGCGATTTGAATCCGGAGTATCGATATCTGCTGTGATCGCTAGGAGAAAGTTTAATGATTGGAGGGTTGAAAAGCACGCTTGCCATTATACAGAGAGAAGTCTACAACCTGCCCCCGAAACGGACTTCAAAATGTTGTGGTGCCATATACCACATCGCAAAATTCTTGTGCAAGAGACATTTCTTCCATCTGAGCCGCTCCCGCGATATATTGCAGTTACATCCGTTGTCGTTGTGCTGTATTGGTCACCGACCGGGCTTCCCTATCAACGACCGTCCTCATCGTAATCACCCAAGCGCTCCTCGTAAAACTCCTCCTCCACCGTACTAAAGCCTACATCGCCACTCCCCGCTCCCCAAGGCCGGCCCTGCGAGCTCGCAAAAAGCGCAAACATCGCGCCCGAGAACACGAACCATCCCTCCGGCGCCCACGCCATCCAGGACGACGGGAACTCGGTCAGCCATTTGATGTCGCCACTGTTCTGTCCATCGACATCTGGGTAGCGGAACCCGAGTTTGTACTGCAGGGGTTCGGCGCGGATGACGAGGTCGACGCTCCTCATTGCTGTTGCTGGGGGCTCGAAGGGATGTTCATTGTATTCTTCCGTGCCATTTCGCGCGAGACAGGTGTAGACACACATACTGGAGGATGCATTAGTGGTGGTGTTGCGGCAATAGCCGATCCCGATATCGTGATGTACGAGTTCGCTAAGGTAGGCACTGATACCAAGCGCCGCTCCACGGGGCAGATTCTCCGGGATCGGGAGTGTCGTGGCGGTGAAAGACATGTTGAGCGAGGTCTGTTTACGCAAGATGGCGGCGGGGACATCGCGGTCGCTGAGGGTGAAGACATTTGGATGGAGCAGAAGAGCCCCGCTGGATGATGGGGAGTAGGCGGTGAGATCGCTCATTCTGGCGACGGAGTAAATGGGGGTGTAGAGCGTGCGGAGGGTGTACCACCCTTGTGCGGCGAGATCGGTGGTGCTGAAGTCGTAGGTCTTCGAAGATGGCCTGATCTTTGTTGGGAGACCTTCGACGGGCTCGCTCAGGAGAACCGGTCTGCCGTAGTTGATCACAGGCCATCCGTTGTCTTGCCATTCGACATTGGAAATGAAAGTCTCACGTCCGAGAGGAGAGGAGCCATTGACGTTGCGACGGGCGAGGTAAACAATGTACCAGTCGCCATCAGGGGTATCAATCATTGTGCCATGGCCTGTTGACTGAATGGTCAGGTTCCCGTTGTCAGGAGCGCCGTTATACAGGATTGGGTTGTTAGGTGCGGATTCCCAAGGCCCTTCGGGAGATTGCGACCTTGCGATTGAGGCGCGGTGTAAGAGATCGGTACCACCTTTCGAAGAGGTTAGTTCTACTCTGTGTAGATCATGTGCAGCTTCGTACCTTCGGCAATCAGCAAATGATAAGTACCATTCTTCAGAAACATCTTCGGCCCTTCAGGCCTGGCATCCGGGGTCACAGGCAAGGTACCATTCCAGAGGCTACGGTACTCTCCAATACAAAGTCCGGATGCGACATCGACCTCGCACTGCCATATTCCCCACAGACGATCTTCGTTGTTGTTGGGCGCCATGAGATTCAGGTAGTTTTTGCCAGTCACAGGATCAGAGAAGATCTGCGGATCGATTCCCCAAGGTTCGCCCCAGATAGGATCAGACCAAGTAATGAGGTCGGTGGATGTCACCCAAGAGACACGAGGCCAGACGTGGGCGACAGGGTCGTATGTCCAGCGTGTCATGCTTGTAAGGTAGAAAGTTCCGCTGCTATACGAGAGCGACGGCGCCCAAGCACCTGCGAATTTCAATCAGGCCCTATTTGCTTCATGTCAGCATGATAAGATGCTTACCTCCGGTGGTCGGAGTGCCATAGAGTTGCAGCTGTTCCGGTCGAGACAGCACATTCGTGAACAACTCCCAGTTGACCAAATCCTTGGACGTGTATAATGGAACGCCTGGAAAAAATTCGAACGACGAGGTGGCCAGGTAGTAAGTATCGTTGACGCGGATCGGGGCGGGATCAGGATTCCAGCCGGGTATGATAGGATTCTGTGCAAGTTGGCCGTCGGCAAGGACAAACGTACTTGCCAAACAAGCCGATAAGAGGAGGGCCAACATCGCATCAGTCTAGACTAATCACTGTGAAAGCAGACGGAAAGATGTCACTGCTCACTCGTTGTTACTCCATTAGAGCAGGCGAATGAAATGTAGCCCATCGTGCCTCCGGTAGACTACCCGACACTTCGCCCGATAGCCGTTCGCTCGTCCTAGCCAAGTACCCTGCCGAACATGGCAATATCCGTCGGCCATGATTTGATTCGCGTCGCCGACGGCGAGTCGAATGTATCGGCTCCTACACAGCATCTAACAAGCTGAGTGCTGATCATCCGCCGGAAACTTGACTTCAAGGTAAACATGGTCAGTCGTTGTCGACACGCATTCTCGATATACAGGATACATTGATATCTTCACTTGCTCATGTCCATACCCAATAATGGCCTCAGAGTGACTCGGGCACTCCGACATAACTGCTTACACGAAGCATCTTCAGACGCAAATGTCAACGACGTACCATATCGGCCGGATGGAGGACTTATCATACCTGCTCAAAAGACTCGCCGAAATATTGCGATTGATCAACGTCCGCACCAAAGTACAAGGGATCAGGTTGTGGGAAGTCTACGCCAGAAATGGAAGGCAGAGTCCCATCGTTACTCCCGGAAAAGCCGTTCCAGAAATGTGTTGGCGTGGGCATAGAAGAAGCTGGCCAGAGCTGATCGGAGAAAGCCAGCACATCTTTCGGGGCATTCACATCAGTGACCGGCTGACCCTGGTCGCCAGCAGCGGTGTGCAGTAGAGAGGATTGATTCTGAGGGAAGTCGTCCGGTGTGTTGCCGTAAGCGGCTCTGATGTATCGAGGAGGGCACTCTGTCTACACTGCAAGAGCCGTGCAGAGAATTTGGACGCAAGATTGTCGACTCGACCGGTGGACCCAGGTGTGCAAGGCCATCGCTGAGCGACCTCGCTGAGCGTATGCAGTATCCGCTCGAAAGTCGGAGATATGGAGTTGTCCAGACGAATGGAGTGTGCTGCGTAAGGTCAATGCTGAATGAAATAAGACGAGCCAAGCGAACATGCTTACCAAGTAGCACACGCCCTGCGAGGAATAGACAGAATGAGACAAGGGGGTGCACGAGTCCATGCCCTCGTCGAACGAATTCCTCCGCAATGCCGCTAATTTCTGATGCTGCATGAGCACATATTTTGGCCGAGCTTTCAGAAGGAAGCGCTATCGGTATAGCAGACAGCTCCTTTGCAGGGTAGGCCACACTTTGGTGTAACTGAAGCAAGCGGCATTGTGTGCAAGATGAGCGAGTACCAGATTTGGGTCCATACCGCCATTGATGTCAGGTGAAGAGGCTTCCGCCCATTGGGTAGGCAAGAACAATCTCCATCTGAATCGCATGTTAGTATGAATCGTGAGAGCAACCCTCTGTCATCAATTACATACCGCACTAGTCGGATGTCCAGCTCCTTGAACTGCATCAACCATATTTGGGCCTCCTTTGCATTTTGAAACCTTGTTGACTGACGAAGAAAGAAGGTCGTGACAAGATTGAGATTTTCCATGGCCTCGATGCTGAAGGCAAAACCGCCCATGCACTGAACCTCCTCGTTGTCCGTAGTTTGCCGCTCTGTAGTGGTTATGGTCGACTCTGTGTCTACCACCGCGGCAGATGTGCGAGACGCAACACCGAAGAAAGGAGTGCGGACAGGCTTCCCGGCTTCCCAGAGTGCGCCTTCGCATGGAAGTCGTCGGTGGACGTCTGCATTGGTTAGACTATTGTTCCAGCTAATATAATACATCAGCATCGAATATAACAGTTGTTTGCCGCCATGCGCGCTTACCCTGTCGCAACGCTGCAAAACCGGTCCATGAGAAACACTGTCCAGAATATGCGTCTTCTCTCTTCGGACTCAATCCAGGTTGCTGGGGCGTTGAGGAAAGTTGTTCTGCTGACCGTAGGCCTTTTGTAGCTGTGTTCTTCTTGAGTGCCATCTGTACCTTCTACGCTAAGCTGCATCTGTTCCACAGTTCGAGCCATTGATCCGATCATTGACCATGTTGATGGACCACGACCGCTGCCCAGCTGTTCATTACGGTTAGCGCCGTAGGTGGCGGAAGAGAAGCCGACATACCGTGTCGAATGCGACAATGATAGAAGCTTGAAGATTCTCGACCGAAAAGCTTTCCATACTTCGAAGCATGACTGTGTGCCTATGACGCGTGCAGGCCCGCTCAATGTCTACAGCAGCGATCTGTGCGCAGTCTGGCGCAAGCCGCAGGCAGATAGAGACTATTGCATGCAACACGCTGTTAAGGCGCTCGACCTGAGCAGGATTCTCAAGGTCTTGATGGAACGACCGCACATGCAGTACTGGAATCCATCGATGTACCTGCTCGAAGTAGAGCTCGACCAGCTGCCGCCAGTTACTGGGTAGTCCGAGAGTTGTATTAGGGTCCATCGAGTCTGATGAGGGCGTAGCCATTGCGTTTGCATGTCGAACTGTCGCAGAGGATGGTGATTGATTTGTCGCAGCGTCTCTTCTTCCGTGGCCTTGCCGCAGCATCCATGAGCATATTCTCCACGGCGGCCGTCTGCTCGGAAAATGTGCCAGTGGAACAATCGAGGCCAGTTACACCCACTCCAGACCTCCCAGCCAGAAGCAGAGGTCTCAACAAGATGGCTTGTCCCAGTACGATCTGCTCGAGCGAGGAGACTCGGCGGGTGAGCGCTTCAACGGCGCCAGTACGCATGCCCGGTCTCTGTCGACTATGATCGTAGACACAGTCGATTCTCAGGCGCGTACACAGCCGACATGGCTGCTCACAGGAGCATTTGGCCTTGCGTTTGCGGCAAGAATGACAGGCTGGGACGTCGTCCTCAGTCGTCTCGGTGTCGGTGTTGGTGCGCTTCCGCTTGGTCGGCCGCCGCCGTACTTCATCGTCGGAGGCGTCCTCTACAGGCTCGCTCGGCCGAGTAGTCGGCATCTCGATTAGAGGGAAGCACACCGAGCGGGCATCTCCCATCAAAATTTGCCAATTATGTTGCAGTTCGACATTATGTCCGCACTGCTGCAGCGATCCTAGGCGTAGACGAAGTTGAAAGGCGTTTGCGAGAGCCACTGCATCCCGAGGTCACGTCCATGCAGGTACGTGCGCTGAAATCTCCCGCTCCTCCACCTGGTGCACGAGGACGGCAATGTGCTGCGGGGCTCCACAGTGAACAAGGTAAATCTACAATCTCCCCTCTCGCTTCCTCCCGAGTGTCATCAGGTCGGGCTTCGGACGAGCTCACGGCATCCGCCCGCTCATACTTGGTTGAGGACAGCGGATGAAGTTCTGCTTCCGAACATTTGGACGGAAGGCGTTCTGGAGCCCCAGGGCACAGAGGTATTTGTTCACTGGACGGAGCGCCATTCTACAATGGCCTGCGTCTCCGTACCAACCCTTGCGCTCGTTCAACGGCCATGTACGCCTTCCAGAGTGTCTCCGTCCTTTTCAGCTTTGTCGTTCAGTCAACATTCGCACTTGTTGGAGATGTGCCCGTCATCAACGGACCTATACCCCTCGTTGGCGGCGACCACGACGTCTCCAGCTACCTGAAGTCCCGACCAAACGAGTTCGTCCATCCGGGTCTCTGGCATTCCCATGAAGATCTCGAGCGCATGCGGTCCAATGTCGAAGGTGGTAGCGATCCGTGGGCATCGTATTACGCTCGCTTCAAACATGACAAGTACTCTTTCGCGAACTACACCATGCAAGGGCCGCATGCAGTGCTCTCTCGTGGCGGCATCAGCAACTATTCCAGCTTCACCGAAGACGTACGTGCGGCCTACCAAAATGCTCTCATGTGGTACATCACCCGGGAGCAGGTCCACTGGGAGCGGAGTACAACCATCCTTGACGCCTGGGGCTCGAACTTGACCAGTATCATTGGGACGGACCGCTCGCTCATGATAGGTCTCGAGGGAGACATGTTCGCCAACGCCGCAGAGATCATGTGCTGGGAAGGCAACTGGACAGAAGCGGGAGCTCAGTGGCAGGGCGGCTTGGGATTTTCCGTGCAGTTGTACTAGCTCTTCGCTGGGCAGTCCACCAATATTGGGCAGGCCAATTACGGGCTTATCAGCATCAAAGCGCTCTTGTCATTCGCTGTGTATCTGGATGATGTCAAGATGTGGAATTACGCCATCAACGCCTTGGTGAACGACCCATGCGCCGGCATACCAGCGCTGTTTCATCCGGAGACCGGCCAGTCCGTTGAGTCGGGAAGGGACCAGGGTGAGTAGCACATCTTGACTATTGCTGGGCGAAGGCTGACGCTTGCTCCCTCAACAGGTCACGTACAAGGCAGCCTGGGGTGGACAGCCTATGCGTAAGTGTCATCCTCGCTACACCACTCACAGCCATGGACTAATGCCCGTCCAGCGCCAAAGTGGCTCAATCTCGGGGTGTCGACATGTTCGGCCTCGACGACCAACTCCTGCTCAAGGGCGCCGAGTACACAGCCAAGTACAATCTCAATCAGAGCGTGCCGTACGACCCTTCGTGGTTCCGCTGCGAAGCTGTCCTGGTTGATGGACCGTGGTCGCAAATTGCCATTTACGGCAGGGAGATCACTTCCAACTACCCCATCTGGAATTTGTACTACTACGAATACGTGGTCAAGCGGGGGCTCAAAGCGCCATGGACTCAGAAGGCGAAGCAGGTGGAAGGATTGGAAGGTCCATACACTGGCGGAGCGGTAAGAGACGAGCATCCCTCTTGGGGTGGGTTGATTTGGGCGCTGGAAAGCTGAGATACACTCCGCACATCCTGCCTATTCATGCTCAACTCTACTCGACTCCATGACGCTGAGTCAGAGAAGCGCAAGTCATCTATGTCACAAGGTATGCCCAGCATCGGTGTGGTTCAATTCGCTGTCTGTAGCACTCAATGTAGAGAGCATTACATGAAATCAACGTTATATCACCTTGTTGCCACATGATCGCAGTCTATCAATACAAGTGAGAGAACTTCATCTGAAGATAATCGATATCCTCGCTCTATTGTCAAAAAGAGCTATGACTACACCAACCCCATACGCAGCAACTCATTCCCAACCAACAGGAAATAGTAGTCCGCATACACCAGCCCATGATCCGCCCATCGACGCGGAGCGAACTCGTAATTGTTGATCGTAGCATGCAACAAGACCGTCTCTTCGCCACGATTGGCCGTCGCCAGCCCATCGCTTCCCAAGCCCTGAAACTCCGCTTCCGGCGCCATCGAAGTCGTCAAAACACCCTGCAGAACTTCAAGCGCAGCATGCAGGAACCTGTCTGTGCTGCCCTGTAGATGCTGATGCAGCAGTAGCATCCCGTAGACCGCGATCATCGCCGCGGAGGTATCCCTTGGCCCGGGACGAGGAGCGTGGAAATCCCAGTACGGAACAGAGTCTTCGGGCAGCTGGGAGAGGAAGTGGTCCGCGAGGCGACAGCTAAGGTCGAGAAACTGTGTGTCCCGCGTCCAGCCGTAGGTCTGTGCGTAGCCCGCGAGAGCCCAGGCTTGACCGCGCGCCCAGCAGGAGTCTTCGGAGTAGCCTTGGTTGGTCAGGTGTTGTTTAATGGAGCCGTGGGAGGGGTCGAAGTTGACGACGTGGTAGGTGCTGTTGTCTTGTCGGACGTGGGATTGCATTAGCGTGGTGGCGTGACAGGTTGCCACCTTGAAAAGGTTCTCGTCGTGGAGTTCGCGGGCGACGTAGTATAGGAGGTTCAGATCTGTTCTACCGCGATTAGTCGCCGCAAGGACGAGACGACGGGATACTTTAGGCTTACTCATCATGGAGTCAACAATGACCAGAAAGTCCTGATAGGGGTCGGCGAAACGGTAGCGTTTGGTGAAGCATGTGTCCCAACTTCTGATAGCCTTGACCTTATCGTCGAACCTCGATGCAAGCGAGTATGCGGCGGCGACGAGACTTGCAAGTGCCTTCCTATCCCCATCGAGCTCCCACAGCACCTGCGCCCACGGCTGAATCATGAAGCCAAGGTCGTGGGTGTCCCTTCGGGCGGCCTGAGAGTGGAGTGCGTCAGACCACCACCGGCAGGCATGTTGCAGTTTGAGCACATGTGGGCTATGCTGGTTTGCCAATACTTCATGTTGGCTGTAGAGACATCTTCGCTGGTACAGGACGGCAAGGCTTCCAGGGAAGAATCCTGATGTCCAGAACTCGTGGCTACTATACGTATATTCGCTGCTGCCGGGTGCTGTGTATTCTGGATGAGAAGTAGGAGGAGACACCTGCAAACTGCTGTTGGCGCTTCTTGCTTTCGCTGCAAATGATGGAAAGGACTCATTGCTTACTTGATCAAGGGATCTCGCTGCGATGTTCCAAATCTTGGCCGTGACTGACTCTGAGTACAGCGGAGCGAGACGTTTTCGCAGGAGGCCTGTGTTTGCACGGTACAGCTGCACATCTTTGTGCAGTGTCTGCTACGTCAGGTCAGTCCTGTCCTACCCCAAACCTATGAAGACCGTTTACATCTGAGTGTCCAGATTGGCACGATCGTTCGTCGTCGCCGTTGACGTATGTTTGACCGTCCAGCATGGGCGTGTGCTCCGCGGATGGTGCCATGGCATGGGGTGGACTGAGTGAAGCCCAGGAACGCGCGCGAGATCAATGCTGAAGGCATCTTGCTGGCAAGAAGTTACGACGAAACGGAGGCGGAAGATATTCCGGCACTGGTCCGAAGCCCGTCTGACCTTACCGGCTTCCCGGTGATAGCTTGGCCTGACATGTATGAGGCTAATCGTCACCACGCAGAGACCCACTCAGCAATGTTGCTGGAGAGAAGGCTGCCATGACATTGGACAAGTGGTACGCCTGGGATGTCACACTTACTGCCAGGCCGCTCCATAGCCAGACGTCTTGTGTAAATCGTACTTGAAACTGAGTCAATCCATCACCATCTTCGTCCGTCACGACTGTGGCTGTAGGTCCTGTCCATTGGGAAATAGTCAAGACCTACATGTAGCTAATGTAATCACAATGGCATACGGGCCGCTCCGCCGACTGTCTAGCCGTGTTCGATTACTTAGCCGCACCCTAATTTCACCTCCCAGCCTCCTCAGTTGCCGTTCTTCAACATCATACTTAGATGTCAATGAATTCCAGACTCCCAATTCAGATCCACCAAAGTGGCCAGAGACCGCAAGCTGCGTCTTCTGGCCCATCTGTACTACCATGCAGCTCCATTAGCGTCCGCCAACAAGACCACTTCATGGCGACAGTCCGGACGACGGGCTAGGTACCGGTCCTGCGCCGTACCTCGTCCTCGTTCCCATTTCACTTTGATCTTGAGCGTGTAGAACGCATATATTCATGAGTGGACCGGAGATATGAAGCCTCTCTTCTTATTGTACAACTTATTCTACTGGCTCGAACCTCTTTGAACGGTAACGACCTACCCGCCCTGACTTCATCCCAACCTTTTCCGCGATGGCGGCCCCCAGCAAAGAAGAGATCGGTCATGTCGAGGCAAGTTTAAGAACTGTCGGATTGCTCAAGCACATGGAGGCTGCCGCCGATGACGAGACCGCGAAGTATACTGGAGCCCCGGTCGACATGGATCCCGCCACCGAACGGCGGCTCTTCTGGAAGGTCTGTCGCCGCATCCTGCCGATCATGCTTGTGACCTACTTCTGTCAGTCGCTGGACAAAGGGACGATTGGATTGAGCTCTATCATGGGAATCATTGAGGATGCCAACCTCCAGGGTCAGCAGTACAGCTGGTTGGGAACCATTTTGTACATTGGCATCCTGGCTGGAGAATATCCGCAGAACTATTTACTACAAAAACTCCCTGTGGGCAAGTTTCTGGCATGCAAGTGAGTCCTCACGCAGCCCATGTCGTTGTCTTAATGAGCCTCGCAGAGTCTAATTGATCGGCAGTGTCCTCCTCTGGGGCTCAGTTGTTGCCTGCTCAGCCGCTTGCACCCGCTTCCAGACACTCATGGTCGTACGGTTCTTTCTGGGTTTCTTCGAGTCTTGTGTGCAGCCGACATTTGTCATCATGTAAGTCGCTTCGCTTGAGACACCACCACCGAGGCTAATGTGCGTTGCCAGTCAATCCATGTGGTTCACAAGGTCAGAGCAGACCTTGTTGACCAGTCTGTGGTACTGCCAGACCGGAGTTTCGCTCATGGTGAGTCCAATACACCGAGCAAGGCACCAGATGATCGATCCTAACCTAAGTATTCAGCTCGGCGGACTGATTGCCTTCGGAGTCTCTCACTTTGAAAACGGCCCGATCTACTCCTGGCAGCTGCTTTTCCTCGTCTTGGGCTTAGCTACTGTCTTTTGGTCCGGTTGGATTGCGTTCCTGCTTCCCGACAGCCCGATGAGAGCTAAGTGCTTCACGGAAGACGAGAAGAAGCTCCTCCTGGAGCGTGTCCGCAAAAACGAAATGGGTATTCAAAACAAGGAGTACAAGCGATACCAGGTTGTCGAGGCTCTGCTGGATCCGTTAGTCTGGTGCTTGGTCTCTCTGATCCTGGTTGCCAACCTGGTCATTGGTGGACTAGGCGTCTTCTCGAATCTCATCATCTCCAACTTCGGCTTCACGGTCCTCCAGACGCAGCTGCTCAATATTGCACAAGGCGCTCTGACTATCTGTGTCATGATTGGCTCTGCTTGGCTGAGCGAGAAATGGCAACAGACTTGTTGGACCATGCTGGTGAGTGTAGCTTCTCAACCGCTCCTGAACGATTTGCTGACAGGTTGCTGAAGTTATGGAGCATTCCACCAATTATTGGGACCGCTGTCATAATTGCCGTTGAGCCAACCCCAAGCAGGGCCGGAGGCATGTTGATCGCATTCTACTGCACCCAGTTCTTCCTTGCGCAGGGCAACATGATCATTTCACTTGTGTCTCGGAACGTCGCTGGTCGAACCAAGAAAGGCATCGCCTTGACCGCAACATTCATGTAAGTCTCGACTGACCGTGTTCCGAAACAATCGCCGCGAAGCTGACAACGACCAGTGCCTGGTCCGTCGGCAACCTGATCGCTCCTCAGATCTTCCAGCAGAAGGATGCTCCGCGATACATCACAGGATTCGTTGTCCATCTGGTCGTCTACGGCGTGTACATCTGTATCATCCTGGTCACTCGCTTCTTGTTACTGAGGAGGAATAGGCAGAAGGAAGCAGCGATGTCGAGCGAGGGCGTGACGCACGATTTCGCCTTCCAAGATCTGACTGATCGCGAGAACCCCAACTTCCGGTATTGCTACTGAGGAAAGGCTTAACAGCGGGGATGAGAGGGAACTTTGCTTCCGTGTCTGCGCTACAGAGGGAGCTGAAAGTTGTCGTTGGATCACCATTCTCTCGTATCCTCAAGTCATCCCTTTGTCTGTCGACATCTCCTGCCTTCCGCAACTTATGCCCTTTGGCATCACTATTTCCACACCCATGGCCACCAACAGATTCCAATCCTATTGAATCATATGTTCGCGACGCTGCACACTCACCGTGCTTCGGAATTCGTTACGGTTCTCTGCGTGGTCAGAACGCCTTCTGGACTGAACAATACCGTGACTACGTCAACGAACAGTCCGGCGGCGCTGAGGGAGGTGGTGACGACTATGGTTTGCCCTCGGGGGGTTATGACCAGCTTGGATACGGGACGCTGTTGGATCGGTTGGAGTGAGGGTCTACCTCACTGGGAACTTCGTCTATCTCCATCAAGGTCACAAGTGGCGTGGAGAGCAGTCGTTGCAATCCTGTCGAGTGTTTACCAGAGGCGGCTGCCACGTGGATCGTATGTTAGATCGCTTTCGGAGACTGAGAGCTGCGATTGTAAGCGCAAGTGTAGACAGTTCCTCGCTCTACCTTTACGTCACTTCGAGGATGAGCAGATCTGGAGACGGTTGTGCCGCCAGTCCTCTCGCCATACAGAGAGATGGCAAGGCAAGAAGAGCGTCATTGCAAGTTGCTAAACATGGCCTGAGACAGTAAAATACGTATTGACCAGATCTGCTATCGATCTATGGAAGACATCACAGATCACAAACCTGATATACCGCTGTAGCTCGAGACTATGAGCCTTCCTCCTGGCACCATAGCCATTTGCTCCGCAGAGATGTATTCTAGCAGTACGGAAGATCCGGATCCGTACAGCTGCCAGCAATAAACTCCTGGTCCTGCTCTGGCAAATCCTCATTGAAAATCTGCGCCGATGGATCAAGCACTCGATCGATGATATGGACGATCCCCTGCCAGACGGCATCAGTAGCTATCTCAATTAACCTTGCGTCCTGTCGGCCAGAGGGAACAAACTCACATTCGTCACAGGAAGATCCGCCTCCGTAACCGTAGAGACCGAGTTCAACACCAAGTCCCCACTGACCACCTGCGCGCCGATGTACCCATACGTTGACGCCTGAACCCGCGTGGCCGTGCTGTTGAAGTCACTGGCTTTCGGCTGCGTGTTCGGTACGTAGTGGTGTTTCAGTTGGTTGCCGACCCACCACTTCCCCTTGGGAGTCGAAGCGAAGGTCTGCCAGTATGTTCCCAGGTTGTCGAAGGCCGTGTTGCTTGGGGCGAAGAAGGTGAAGTCCCACGTTGCCTCGGTGGCGAAGGCTTGGAGGAATCCTGCGAGGGAGTTAGTTTCATGGTGATTCTTGTCGCCAGTGGGTTCTGGCTGACCGGCTGGTTCTTCCAATGCTTGACGCAATGAGCTGAGATCTGGTCTGGATTCGATCAATTCGAGGAGAGTTATTGTCCCCTTGCTTTGTGGTGCAACGTAGACATCATCCGGCATTGGTGCATAGCTGAGGGGCGGTCGTGGCGGGCTGGGAGAAAGTGCTGCTGAAGCGAGGAGTGCATGGCTCAGCAAAACGACAGCGTTTGCGCAGAAAGACAGATACATTGTGCTCGCAACGAACGAAAGTCAATTCTAGATATTCGTATTCGACCAAAGTACTTTCTTCAATGTATATCAGCCCAATATTTCGTCGACATCTGACCGACAATCAAGCGTTTATTGAACGGGCGAACAGCCGGGTCTGCTCCGTTGATCGACGTCTCCCGTGGATTGATACCGGGTTCACGGCCGCACGATATGCCGGCATGATTCTATCGAGTACGGTAGATGTTTACAGGACAATGAGGTCGAGATGTCTACGGCAGGTCCAAATTTCGATTAAACGGGCATCGTTTTGGTGTTCCATCGTATAGTTGAGATTTTCTCTAGCAATAACAATGTCGTCCATCTGGAGGCTGTTGTCAGTCACTGCATTGCTGTACGGCATCGGACAAGCCGTAGTCAACTCGAAAACACCTCAGATAGGTTGGAATAGGTCAGTACACATTCGATGATGGCCGCAGTCAGCCGGCGGTATGATCTGACTGCAAAATCAGCTGGAACACTTTCAAAGCCGATATCAACGAAAGCGTGATCAAACAGCATGCAGATCTCTTAGTCTCGACAGGCTTGCGAGATGTCGGCTACAAGTATCTCATTCTCGATGATGGCTGGCAGAACAGTTCACGAGCAGCCGACGGTCGTCAGCAAGCCAACACCACTCGTTTTTCCAGCGGCATGGCAGGTTTGGGCAACTACATCCATGAGAATGGGCTGAAGTACGGGATCTATAGCGACAACGGGTAAGCGAACAGGACCCAAATGCCAGGATTGATGTGTTCGGAGCTCAAGCATTCGAAATAGCATCCTGGGATGTAATCCCAACTCCCCCGGCTCCTGGGGGTACGAAGAGCTCGACGCTGCGACGTATGCCTCGTGGGAAGTCGATTACCTCAAGTACGACAACTGCGGTACCTATGAGGCCGGCACACACTCGCCGCCAGCTCGATACCGGATCATGCGAAACGCCCTTCTGGACGCCGGCCGCGACATCTTCTATTCCATCTGCCAATGGGGCGACCAGTTCCCTTGGTTCTGGGCCGATCAGGTCGGCCACTCGTATCGCATGAGCGGCGATATTACAGATATGTTCTCTGATAGAGACGAGGGCTGCGATTGCCGAACCGCATACTGCTTGAATACCGGGTACGCAGGCTGCAGCGTCATGACCATCATACGCAAGATGCGGGAGATGTCTCAGTTCCAGCACTCTGGGTCGTTTGCCGATATGGATATGCTGGAGATTGGAGTCGCCAACATGACGCTCGAGGAGCAGAGGACGCATATGGCTGTCTGGGCCGCGCTTAAGTCGCCACTGATCATCGGCGCCGATCTGACGAAGATCTCAGACGAGAGCTTGGGTGTGCTGAAGAACGAAGCCATGGTCAGCATCTGCAAGGATGAACTTGGGACGGCTGTTAGATATCTTCCAACCCTGAGTGAAGAGGATAGCTCGCAGGTGTGGGCTGGTCCGTTGAGTGGTGAGCGGACCCTGATCTTGATTTTCAACGAGCTGGAGAGGTCGCAAAACTTCAGTCTGGCTCTTACTGAAGTGCCGGGGCTTGGAGGGCGAGGCCAGTACCAAGTGACTGATGCTTGGTCGCGAAGGCGGCACGACGTCTCAGGCCCGAGCATGTCAACCAGTCTCCGCAGCCATGAGACCAAAGTACTTGTGTTCTCCTAGCCAGGACTGTAGTGAGCACGGCTATGAACGTTTGGCGAGGTGTCCACGATGTATCATTCGAGAATGCAGACTGTTTCGGCGATCTCAGCGCTGCAATATGCCACCAATTCTGATGGTAGGAGAACGCTCAGCTCCAATTCAGCAACAAAACAGTAGATACGAAGACTCGCGGCGTACGTACTCTATCGTCCTGAGAAGGCGAAGGCGAAGGCAACACAACACAATCATACGAGGAACCAAAGATGTTGCTGATCGACAATCAGCATCAAAGGCGCAAGATTCTCGATCGTCTGATTGGTCCTCGTATATTTCTCCGCGAATGCGCCTGCACTAATTCTCAGCTGCGCCACCAACAACACCTCCCCTAGAGCACCGCGTCTTTGTTAGTAATTTACCGTCCGGCGTAGTTACGCCGAGTCGCACTGTACGAAGAGGGCCTGTGGATCTTCAAGCCTCATCATGCGCAAGCACCATAGATATTCGGCCGGCAGCTCAGTAGGCTGAGAGACGTATCCTATGGGCGCTATTCTGGGTATGCGGCACTCCAACCATGCCTCGAGGTTCTGTTTCGCGAAGGGCAACCCTGCATTCGGAGGTAGTATAATACTCAGATCTGCCTCATATCTCTTCAGCTCAGTGCAAGCCCAAGGCAGTCCCCTCTCTACCACCTCCTTCAACAATACAGAACTCCAGCATGGACTACGAATCCCTCACAGTGCTCCAAGCTTTCCGAAGATGGCCAAGGATATCGATATACTCGTTCTGCCTCGCGCTCAACATTCTCCTCTGGGGGTTTGACACAGGCATTGTTGGTGGAATGACAAGCTTGTCCGCTTTCCGGTCAGCCAACATCCCCATATTGTTCCAACCTCCCAATGGCACTGACCAGCCCACAGCAAAGAGTTTGGCGAGAAGGGACCGGTTGGCGCTGAGACCGAATACATCATCCCAGCCATGTGGCTAGCCCTCTGGGCCATGGCCTTTCCTCTCGGTACAATGACTGGCGCTGTGACCGGTGCCTGGATCCAAGATCGTACCGGACGCAAGTCTACACTTGGTCTGGGCTGCTTGCTCTCACTGGGCGCTATCACGATCGCCTACCTCTCCGACCAGACGGCGAACCCGACAGCCACCTACTGGGCGGCTAAATTCACCCAGGGTATCGCCGTCGGCGTGCTCATGGCCAGTACGCAGACCTACCTAGCAGAAGTCGTGCCAGCTCGACTCCGTGGTCCCATCATGGCGCTTTTCCCAGCGTTTCAACTGCTCGGTCAGCTCGTCGCGGCAGTGGTCATCATGGCCCGAGGCAGCGTGAAGGGCCCGAGCTCATACCGCATTGCGATTGCCTCCGAATATCCGTTGTCCATCATACCTCTCGTCCTTACCATCGTACTACCAGAATCCCCTGTCTGGCTTCTTCGCAAGGGCAAGATGGCCGCTGCACAGAATTCCTTCCGCAAATTACACGGCGCCAAAGTTGCGGCAGCACATCAGGACCTCTTCGAGGAGATGAATAAGGCTATCTCGGAAGAACGCTGGGCCTCGAACGACCGCGGTGCATCTTACATGGAATGCTTCCGCGGGACGAACTTGAGGCGGACGATGATTGTGGTCTTCTCAAATGGCATGTCCGAAATCATGGGCTTCAACATCCTCGGCAGTGTCAGTTACTTCCTCCAGTTGCTCGGTCTACCGGACATGGCCAGTCTGATTGTTGCCATTATTGGGATCTTGCTCGGTCTATCAGCGAACATCGGATCGTTCTGGACTCTGCTGAAGTTCGGAAGACGGCCTCTGATCCTCTACACTCTTGGGCTCACGAGCCTGCTGTGGCTTAGTGTTGGCATCGCGGGTTGCTTCAAGGGCATTGCTGTTGCTTGGTAAGCATGCACCCAGGGCGTCTTGTCGTGTGAGCGTCGCTAATCATTTCCTCTCCAACAGGTACGCAGTGGGAGCCATGATGGCAGTTGTCGTTACTGTCGGTATTGGCTGCTGGCCAGCATCCTTCGTCGTCGCGGCAGAGACCTCGTCCCTCACCCTCCGTTCGAAAACTTCCGGCATCGGCTGGTTCCTCGGAGGCATCATCCAAGGCGGCTTCGGCTGCGGGACGCCGTTCCTCTACAACCCCGATGCAGCAGACCTCGGCGGCAAAACTGCTTTCGTCTTCGCCGGCACATCCGCTGTCGGCGTCCTCATCACCTGGTTCTTCATTCCAGAGCTGAAGGGAAAGAGCGCTATTGAGATCGACAGGGTGTTCCAGAAGCACGGCGGTTCTGTAAAGAGGGCGAACACCTCTGGATTCGAGAGGGTGGACAGTGAGGATGCGAAGGAGATCCCGTTGACGCAGACTACCACGCGCTATTCGAGGGCTGAGTCGACGGCGAGCAATGGTAGTTACTCTGCGCCGCCAGTCCAGGCTTGGGAACCTTTGCGTAAGAGGCCGACCTTCTAGTGGTGTAGAAGCGAGAGCTGACATGGCTCGCAGGTGCGTCGGAGAAGGGAGCTGTGTGAAGAGATAGGGGAAGTCGTCGAATTGCCTGGAGAATCCATTTATACTCTTGCATATACTTTCACCACACTCTCTGCCAGTCTCTCTGTCAGTGTCTTCTGTGAGGCATTTCAACACGTCTGCCGTGCCGCTGATGCCGGAAAGGATGGTAAGGGTCGAGTGCTTGGTCAAGTGCCTACTTATGGATGGCGGTGGAGACTTGCCCAAGGCCTCAGGGCTGAAGATGCCAGGGCTCGTTACGAGCATCCGTCCTACGCGGATCAGAGTCTGCGAGCAATCTGTTTCAGGAGGACTTCGATTGAGGTATCAATGAGAAAGTTCAACATCGTTACACTTCGTTTTCAGGTTCACTCGCCTTTCCCCAGCAACACCACTAATCATGCCCACGACCTCTTCCCCTCCCACGGCCGCCTCTCCCGGCCCTCCCGCCTCTGCCGCCACCACCTTCATGACCTTCACCAGCTCCCTCACCCGCATCATCCTCATCTCCGCTCGGCAAATTCATAGCCACAATGTCGCCAGTCGTGTCCTTATCACAAAAGTCGTAGTGGATGCAGCTTGCGTGCTTCCTCCACAATGCCTTCTTCAAGACACCAGACTGTCGCAGCTCATTGTTCGATCCAGCAAACTTGCCATGCGTGCCCATCCCACCTCCCAGAGCAAGGTCCTTTGGTCTGACACTGCCGCCTTGACTGAAGAAGGTGGAAATGCTTTGACCGAGCACGGGGGTGAGCTGGAGCTGCGCGATCCAGAATCTGTTCCGCTCCTTGAGCTTGTCCTGGTTCTGGTTGATGTACTGTTCAGTCGAGTGCAGGACCTTCTTGATATCACCGGACTGCCATGTCGGTTCATTCCAGAGCAATTCGTTGTTCTCACCGAGCCAGTTCTTGGTGTTAGCGCCAACCTTCCAGTAGTATTTCGCGATCGGGTGGCCGTCTGGTGACCCCACTCCAGTGCCTAAGATGATATTGCGGTTACTTTCCACGGCTTGGGCGTATGTTGGATTTGGCTCTTCCTTAGAGGGCGCTTGTAGCAGACGTTCACCAAGAAAGTGCCAGGCGGTGTCGGCCCAGAGCTTCTGCATGGGTTCTGCCAAACCGTCGAAGCGGACTTTGATGATGAGGATCTCGGAGGGATGCTCCCTTGCGAATTTCATTATCTGCTCTACGCATCACAACTTCAGCGAGTCAATCTACGTATGAAGCTGGCAGGGGTCTGCTTACTTGCGAGATGGTTTTCTTTGGCTTGCTTAGCATTATCGCTAAAGTCGTCGCCGGTGTTCTTAGCCACGCCATGAACAGCGATGAAGTGCGTGTTGTCCTTGCCGGGGGCGAGACGAAGATCAAAACTCCGATTGCCGGTCATCATCTGATCGTACAGGTTCTTCTCCTGGCATTGGTAGCTGAAGTCTGCCAGGCCGTCCTTGTACGTTGCGGCATCGTGGGAACCCGGGAAGCAAAACCATGTTACTGGGATGGTCTTTGCTAGTTCTGGGTCAAGTTTCTTGGAGACGAGGTCTCCCATCCAACTGTATGCTGTTAGCTGTCGCGCAGCGATTTGAAGACAAAGCTGAGGATGTCCTACCTAGGAGGGTGTAGTCCCTGCGGAAAGCCAGGCATTGTGATCGGGATTCTTAGGTGTAATAACAAAAGTCGATGGTATAGAGTAGATTGTGAGATGTCGTAGCAATGAGCGCAACAACCAGGTCAATGGCAATGCTTTTTCCATCGAGGGGCAAGCCGTCTGGACCTGCAGCAGATTCCAGACCTGAACACGTGGGGCTCGTCGCTGCCCTTGTCTCGAAGAGGAAGTGGATCTCTCCGCACGACCTGGAGTCTTGAATGTTGCTTGGACAGGCTTGGCCATAACATTATTTATCTCGCGATGCTTTGTTGTGTTCATACTGTTCAAGAGGATGTCGTTTTGCTAATGAGGTTCATGCCACAGTCTCGACGCCGTTCTCCCAAGTATCTCAGTCGCTGCCAAACAGACTCGCCTGGCTGGGCCAACCACAAGCACATGAACTCATAGAGCTGGTAGGAAACTGCCAGGAACATCTGGCCAACTGAACAGCGGCATATTTGGTTTGCCAATATTCCAAAATGCGTTTCATGATGCTGATGTGCCGCAACAGCATCCATCTGTCGCGTCTTCAGATGATGAGTGTGACGAGCGGCAGTTGGTCGACAAGAGGCAAGTCTTGATTGGCTTCGAGTAATCGTCTATTCGCGACGGCGCTAACGGCGCGGCCCATTGCAGCAGGGACGCACTGGTTCAACGCTTATACTTTTCTGTGGCACAGCGGTCTTCGTCGTATCTCTTCCATCTCGTCTGATGATAAATCTTTGCCATGACATGTACATGTTAGAGTACATACGGCAGCATGCCGCCATCACTGTTCACTGGATCTGGCCTTAACAAGCTGCAGCGTGTCTGTATACTGCTTCTGCTGGGCGGAACGATTCTGTACTTCTCGGGGACATGGCGGCGAGGCTACGAACAAACCCCTTCGCGGGACGCGATGAGTGAAGCATCGAGATCGATGTGCGAGCTGTACCCCGATACTGGGGATATCGCGGTCATCATTAAGACTGGTGCCCAAGAAGGTCTCCAGAATCTGCCTACAACGCTCCGGACTTCGCTGAGCTGCGTGCAAAATTTCTCGGTCCTCTCGGATCTCAACCAGACCCTGGGCGACATTCAAATCCACGATGTGTTGTCCAGGTTCTCGCGACCAGCCATGAAAGGCAACAAAGAATTCGATATATACTGGAAGCAGCAACGGTTGCAGGCAGATGGCAAGGAGAGCGAGATCCCATCTCTTTCGAGCATCCCGGCCATAGAGCGTGACTGGAGAACCAAAGGACGCACGGCCGGCTGGGCTCTTGACAAGTACAAGTGGCTTCACATGCTGGACATGGCTTGGGACCTCCAGCCGGATCGGGACTGGTATTTGTTTGTTGAGACCGATACGTATGTATCGTGGCCGAACCTAAAACGATGGCTGCAAACATTGGAATCCAAGCAGAAATACTATCTCGGTCTCGCAGTCAAGAAAAGCGACGACCGCGAGCCTCTGTACTTTGCGCAAGGTGGCAGTGGTATCGTGCTGTCCGGCGCACTTCTGAGGGAGTTCGCCGTTGAGCGCCGAGGTATCGCAAGCAAATACGAGCGCCGGATGAGAGAATGGTGGGCGGGAGACTTCACACTTGCAGATGTCCTCTACGATGAGTTGGGTATCCACGTCACTCAAATCTTGCCGATGGTCAACCAACACCCACCTCGCTCTATCCCGCTATCGCCAATCGCGTGGTGCCAAGCGGCGCTCGCGATGCACCATATGAAAGCGGACGATTTCGACGAGATGTTCAAGCGAGAGCATGAGCTAGGGTTCTCACGCTTGCTGCTGCGCGACGTCTATGATAAGATATATCCGGATGGTCTGCCGTCCGAGAGTGTCGACTGGAACAACATCGCCGATGCTCACGAGTGGGCTGTACCCATTGACCGAAACAAACTGCCGTTGTCCGTGGATCCCAACAGCGATTTCAACTCTTGCCGCATCGCTTGCGAGGCTCACGAAGACTGCTTCTCCTTCACCTGGCGGAACACCACGATCAACCTCGATGGTCCGGATTACAACTATCTGCACTCTTGTGTCTTGAGCGGCGCTTTTAGACTTGGAGCACCGAAGCCTGAGCAGGCGTTTTGGTCGAACACGGATGAGCGGGATACTTACCGACGGTGGCACAGCGGATGGATGCGGTATAGGATATCTGAATGGGCGAAGGCGCATTGGGAGTGCGACCCTTCTCAAGAGTGGGCGACTCATGCTATTGAAAGTTGACGGATGTACAAGCAGGACCACCCGCATATGATGTACAATCTCTACAAGGTAACTAGCGCAACGTCTCTGAAATCATGTCTGCGAATACCCTTCAAGGCCATGCATGCTTCATACGCATTGTGAACATTAATACTTTCAAACACTCATGAGCCAAATGCGCCCCCATGTTCCGATTGCTCTAGTCGTGAACGTCATAAATCAGGCACAGGCAACGTCGTACTGTTCCAAGCGCCCGACGCTACATCGCCCGTGGACATCACGATCTCATTCCCGTTCGCTTGGTAGAACACGAAAATGGTATCATAACGTCCAGCAGGCGGATACGTCATCGCCGCGACTCTGGTATCCGGTGAGCCTGGCGGACCGGCCACTTCAGACAGCGTGGTTGAACCGATGGTGGAATTCTCTGCCTCGTACGTCATGTTCCATCCTTGAATCTTGCCACTATCGGCAACGCGGCCGAAGAGGTTGCCGTGGTAGGATAGGCCGGCGGATGAGTCGAGGTTTGGGATGTTGATGGATGCTGGGAGGATTCGGTTAGCCATGTATTGACGCACACGGACGCGGTGTATGTGGTCGCTTGTGGGCTCAACTTACACTTTGTCCAAACGTTGATACGATGTGCATCAGTGCTAGCTTTTTTCATCGCCGTGTCCATCCTGTCGGAGCATTAGCTGTGGGACGAGACTACACTCAGCCGTGCGCTCGGAACTCACCAGTACGTCGCAACATCGTTCTTCTGGTCGATGAAGTTGATATAGGTGGTCTGACCTCTGCCCCAAGCAAACATTGCGGGAGCAGCTTCTCCATTCATGTCCTCCCAATTCTGATCGTAATGCCACTGCGTCAGACCTGGACGCCACGAGTACTGGTTGAACGTGGTGTCACCCGTCCCGACCAAGACCCGCATGCCGCTGTATGGTTTCGTCCCCTCCAGATTGACGTCGCCTATGGGTCCAGCATAGAAGCCCGCCGTCAGGCCAACGTGAGCTGAATCAAGGGCGCGGACCTTGAGATCATTCAGAGGCCCGTCTGACCATACGTACGTGAGGTTGGTGATGCTGCGTTGCCGTAGAAGGTTCTCTTTGTTGATGTCTGCGTTCAAAATCAGCCGCGAGTATAATGCGTTAGTGGCAAGGATACGCACAAAAGACGTGCAACCCTGCAACATCCCCAGCGCCTCCCGGGCAGCGGATTGCGATCGGTGTGCCCTGCTTCGCATCGTCGGCGATGATGTCCTTTGAAGAGCCCCCAGTCCAGCCTTCTGGTATCTTGTTCTGCAACACCCGAATCTCGCCGCTGCTGTGCTGAAAGAACAGTAGAAGATTGCTTTGGTTCGTTTGAAGCTGCGTCGGCCATGCGAGATGTAGTTGTGACTTCAGGACACACGCTGCGAGCCCGGATCGTTCGACCGCGCCTTTGCTCCCCGAAGGCGCAGATGAAGTGTCGTTTGGCCTTGAGGCAGGGGAATCCGACAGCCTCGTCCTGTTCGAGGCGGCGTGTGAAGACCTGAAATCTGTTAAGAGGCTGACAAAACGGTCTTTCGGCATGCTTGTACGTACTCATCTGACTGAAGTCCCATCGTAACTCCAACACCAAGGCCAATACCCAGCAGAATCAGGATCGAGATCACGCTACATCCCCATATCAAGGTCTTTCGACGTCGCTTTCGTTGGAGGCCCTCCTCATCATTGGCTTTGGAGTGTATATCGGCTCCTCCTTGCTCGTGCTGTTGCTCGTTTGGATTGTGAATCCAGACAGACTCCTTGTGGACGTAAGGCTCTGACGTCTGCTTCTCTTCTCCGCCTGCTACTTGCTTTCCATAGGCGCTGCTCCGATCAGTACGAGGGGGATTGACTACTTCAGGAAGCGAAGAGAAGGTGTTGCTGGTCCAAGCGACCATGTTGAGGCAATGGCTTCTTATAAGCAAATGGCTAAAGCAAGCAAAGAAACGTAACACAACCAGCTTCTTCAATTGACATAAGAGAGCAGACAGGAACGGCGGGTAGGCATCGTCGAAGGGATGTCCAGCCTTGTCCTACCGATATCAGCTGGCCCTCTGCGGCACAGCATACTGGCAGCGAGAATACGCCTCAGGTTCGGCGCCAGGAAGTCTTTCTGATTTGGTAGTAGGAACGCACGGCTGCTATCATGGTCTTGCTCCATCAGCTCCTCTGTTGCGGCGCCGTAGAAGCGATGATCCTGAGACAGCCTGTGCCGCCTCGACATCGTGCTGCGTGCAAGTGGGCTTGCTATACCCTACTGTGGCGCTGTACCATGCTGGCCATGCAGGAACATGGGCGCTTAGCGGGAATGAGGCCGGGTTGACCTGCGCGCTTTTGCGCAACTCACACCACAAGCAGCAGGGTCGAGACACTCGGCGAGTGGCTCTGCGTGGCCCAGGACTGCATGTAGAGTTCGGTAGAGTCGTTGATGAAATGAATGACGGCAACGTGGTTGCTGCGAAAAACGAGCCGGGCCACCAATCTTGCCTTTCAGGCGCGGACAACGCCTCCGCCGCCCCGATGCCGACCAGATATTTGCGCAAAACATTTCCATGCTGGAGTCCCAAGCGGTCAACTGAAGATAGGCCTGTTTCAAGGGGGGATGTAGGCGCATCGTGGCGGCAGGTGTTGGCGGTTCGGATTGCCTGAGTCGCCCTTGGCATGGACGACACGGGCGAAGGCCATTGATGCTCCATGTTCTCACCATCATCACAGTGTTGGCGTCGTCATTTACCTATGCATCGTCCGGCGCATTCGGCATAGGGGAGAGAAAGCGCTAGAGCGCAGCTCGAGAGGGCCCAAATATGGCACACCGGCCTTGCATTTGGGAATGAGATGCTACCCATCCGGCCTCATTGAGACTCCTAAAACGTCTCAAACACCAGATGAATGCCCAGCTGTGAGCCCCGGCACGAAAACCACGGGATATTAAGACGATTGAAACTGGCAGCGCCGGATCAGGCTGACGAGCTTGACGTGGGCAGATTGGGGGTCACGGATGGATGTCCCATCTGACATACGACGCGACCCCTTCCGTTCGATATCCTACCGCCTGTGTGTATCTCAAGCCCGAGGAGGATGTCACGAACCTGTCCAAGCCATCAGCATACTGTCAACAGCCGTTGATCGTCTGGAGACACGGGAAGAGCACCAGGTGTCCACAAAGGTTTGCTAAATCCACTGGGACGACGCCTGGTTGTGTTGTACTGCGACCGTCCGACGCCTCAAAACAGCATCCTTACCTGCATGTACACAACCACAAGCGGCCACCGGTTATTTGTCGGGCGGGTGTAGCTTACGACAGTTCAGGAACGAAGTTCAATCTACATGAGGTCTTACACACATAGCCGGGTATCCCAGCATCCGGACGTTTGTCTTGACCACGAATTCGGTTGCACACTACATGCCTCCTCGACAGAACCCACTGCAAGCCAGTTCACCACATGTACAATTTGATGTTCGCTTCTCGGTCGCCGTCTCTGGTTACGCCGGACGCACGAATTCGGCATACCTTGTGTGATACTATGGCTTCGTTTTGCTGGGCCGCGGTGCTTGTGGCCTGGAAGCGCGGTGGAAGGACCGATATGTCGCCCTTCAGTGCTACGTTCTTAGGTGATACGGGCCAGGCAAACTCCTCTTCAATATGTACTTCCATCCACCGGTGCGCAAGGCGTCTGCCCTGTCTATAAAACAAACCCTTTCCAGCCTGCAAAGCCTTCTCGTCAGGAAATCGTTCTCCTGCCAGCTTATGCAACTCTTTAGTGCAGACTCAGCTTGACGCCCAGTCCTCTCTTCAGCAAGCTTGTGGCCGGAAGTATGCCAACCCAACACCACTGCCAAGAACGGAAGCAAGGCGGCAAGCCTTGCAGGCGTAGGATAACACCGTTCGGTCAGCCATACTGCAAGAGCCACCAGTTCTACTGTACCCGATACGGATGTACCCCCATGAAAGATCCCGAAGGTCCTGGTTGACAATGTCCAGGATGCGACAAGGAGAAGAATACCATAGAGAGAGACGAAGACGTGGAACGTGAAATGTGGGCTGAGAAACGACAAACCGCCCCGAAGGCCGGCATCAGCAAGAAAAGCCCAAGATATCCCAAGTCGACGACCAGGCTCAAGCCTCCTGGACGAAACAGATCGCGTTCCACGGATCGAGTGAGAACTCGCTCTAAGTTGACTCCGGCCAAAGCCTCATCTCGAGTCCAGTCTCAGGCAGGATCTTGCGCCGAATCTCGCCCTGGATCCCAACCTATGTCTCGAGCGGGATCTGTTAGATCTGTCAAATCTGTCAACTCTCGAGCCGGGACTCCAGCATAAGTGCAAAGGGTCTAGGGCTCACTGATGGGAGCCTGGGTTGAGCAGACGCACTTTCCCAATATTCTTTTTATTACACAGTATGCCCGCATGCAGTAGCTCCCCTGTTTTGGTCGAACCAGCTAACATCTCCAGACATGCCGTGCTACTACGATCCCTCCTTTCATAATCGGGACTTGTACTTCAACGTCCAGAAACTGGGTCGCGAGTGACAATGATATGCTGAGCATGTATTGGGATTCATTCTTACTCTCGTTCATACCTTTCCAGCTACTGAAGATGACCGGTGATTGGATGTGCGCTGCCGTTGGAGAAATAATGAAGATGAGGTTGAGGAGAAGAATAGGATCAAGGTATAGGTATCGAGACACTCAAGTATGTAAGTATGGTACAACGTCAACAAGAAGCGTGGTCTTCCCCATGACTGACAGAAACTTAATAAACCCGAACACAAGCTCGTCATTCAATAAGAGCTGATCACGGTTCTTCGTCATTCCCTGTTTGCTCGCGCTATAGAATGACAGTGCTGGTACTATTCGCTTGCTTCCAGTTCCCATTAAACAGTACTTCGATGGCTTCTACTAACGGGTTACAGTATCCCAAGCACTACACCACACCAAGTACCAAAATGGACTCACCCATCTCTCGACCAGCCACGTCTCAGTCTGACACTCGGAGTACGTCGTCAACCGACAAGTATCAACATGAGCCTTTCGAAACCTTCAAAGAAAAGATTTTGGCCTTGTCCACAGGCATTCGGGCATCAAGCATTGACGACCTCCGACGTATGCAAGGTGGAAGCTACAACCGTGTGGTATTAGCCCACGTAAACTGGAAGCCAGGGGCGCTGACGCCGCCCAATGTGAACGAAGTCATCTTCCGCATGCCTCGACAACCCGATGAAGAAGATGTCTCCGAGGCTGTTCAGTCACAAGTGGCGGTCATGAAGTTTGTTCGACAGCACGGCATCCCGGTAGCTGAGGTGATAGAGTTCGATGCTACCGTGGACAATGCCATATGTTCGCCATATACCGTCCTTTCTTACGTCGATGCCCCGAGGCTGGATCAGGTTTACGACGACATGAGTTTAAACGAAAAGCTTCACTTTGTGACGCAATACAAACACATTCTCGCCCAGCTCGAGGAAGTGCAATTCCCACGGGCCGGAAGTCTCCACTGCACCGAGGAAGCAGTGCATGTCGTACATTGGTGTTGGGCTAATTCTAGTGGCCCTTACCATGTGGAAGCGGATGCCGAGAGTTGTAGCGTCCACCTTTCCCGGCGGCGTGCGAGCGACGGCAGTGATGTTGGGAAGTCCGCGCTGTCGTTGATAGAAGCACAGCTTGCTGAGCGACAGGCCCAGCTGGACGATGACATCGAAACCGGACAGCACGTGGAGTACAAGAAAGAATACTTCGACAGGCTTCAAAGGATATGTGTCCAGATGCGGCAAGACAAGCGCTACAGTAGGGCCTGGCAAGAGGATGTCAGTGTGCTGCATCACTGGGACCTTGAGCCTCGCAACATCTTGGTCCAGCACGAAGACGAAGGGACACGCAGTCGCTGGAAGATCAAGGCAGTCTTGGATTGGGATGATGCTCTTGCGGTGCCGACAATTCTCACTCGTAAGCCAGCTATCTGGCGCTGGGACAGGTCGTGCCTGCATAGCTCGCTCACACCACCGGACAAATTTTTCGACTGGGATGCAGATACCCTGCAGCCAGACCACTATTCGGGGCTGACGGGAGAGCCACAAATCGTCAAGCAGCGTTTCGAGGCCCTATACCGGAACCAAGTCATATCAATCAACGGCAAATGGGACATTGAAGAGTACGTAGATGTGGCGTATCAGACTGGCCGCTGGCTCCGTAACCTGGAGCGATTCACCATGTGTACCTTTTCAGAGAAGTCCGAAGTGGATCTGCTCGATCGTATGGAACTGGAATAGTCTATGTATCATGGAGGCCTGGGATGTTGAGGTTCTTTCTATGTGCAGGTACCTTTGGATGGCGGTCTTATTCTCAACCCATATTGTTCGGTAGGGTCACATGGTGTGAACAGAGCATCAACAGCTGTAATCAGCCTTCAATCTCTCCTGATATTGCGTGCAGAAGAGAGCTCCTCAACCAAGTGGGTTCGCTGTTTTTCCTTCTCGTGCGGAAAACACCATTTGTCTTGTGGCCGTACAGTCGTGCTCACGGCCGCCGGACTCCAGAGATGTTTGCTACGTCCTCAGTAAGGTAGCTTGCTTACCCTGTTGACCGCTTGCTGGTACGCAGTCTGCCCCATGTCCGTTGCGAGAGTGACTATCGATGGCCACGATGAGTAGTGGTAGCCGTGGTCAAGCATGGAAAACGATGAAGTGCCTTACCGAATGGCAAGCGTGTCAAGCAATGTGTTGTAAAAAGAAGAAGTGGCAGATTCCAGACTACAAAGTATGTTCCGAGGATCCTTCGACGAGGTAAAAGATCGTTGAGGGCGGATATTATGTTTACGGTTCTCCGAGACAGTAAGAGCGCCATCGTCTAACAGAAGGCTTCATAGCAGGCGACAAGGTCTCGGAGACGTGGCTCAAGCAGTCGTCCCCCGACCTACGAACCATCTGGCCCATTCCCGGCATGACAATTGCTTTTGCCTTTTCAAGCGAGGGACAGTGGAAGCATCCCAGTGGCCAGATCGCGCAGTCTTCTCCAAGACCGAAATGCACCAGCCAAGGCCACATCACTCCGTTCGGCGGGCGTTGACTGTTTGTGAGAGGATCCACCACACAGCTCGCTCTTACCTGGGCCGCGGGATGGGCTGCTCTCAGTCTTTCGCTTTCTCGTGAAACATGAGACAGGTCAGTCGATCAACGGGACTGCGAGCATGGTCTTCCGTGCAAGAGGTGGTCAGATGCTTCATGTCCATCCTTGCATCTACGTCATCTCCCATTGGTGTGCTGGAGGCTCTTGCATGCGCTTAGAATTAGTACGTCCGTGTGACAGCGCCTCGTATTTTCAGCTCACCTAGCATGATGCGGAAACGGTTATTGAAAAACATGCTGCTGTCGCTGATGGCGGAGGTTCCTCTGGAAACAAGCAAATCGACTGAGGGACAGTGGCCTTCCGTTGCATCAAAGCACCGTCCTTGGCCCTGATCAAAGCATTCCCTCGCTGCTTGCGATGGACTTCACCAGCCTGACACCCCAGCAAGTGCTCGAACTCGCAAAGCCGAGCAAGGAGTTTGAGGAGGTACGAACAGCCTGAACGTGACTGTCAACTAGGTCACTCAGCAGGTCATTGCAGGTTCTTCGAACATATCAAGCCCCCGGTCTCGACTGGTCGAAAGCAGCGAAAGCCCTCGCCATTCTGCGCCACTATGTGGGATCGGCCGTGCAAGCCGACCAGGCAGACCCAGAAGTCGAACAGGAGACTCTGCACGCTCCAGCTCGGGATGGTACAATGCTCCCGCTGAAGGTCTTCAGGCCTGCGAATGCTAGGGAGGAGGCTGCAAGCTGCCCGTTGATCGTATTGTTCTTCGCCGGCGGCTTCATAATGGGCGATCCGATGACTCTGGCACCACTGGCACGATCCTTGGTCAAGCGCTTCAATGCTGTGGTGGTTGCGCCAACGCATCGCCTGGCACCTGAGCATCCATTCCCGGTCGCCATCGAAGACAGTTGGGACTCTTTGTCCTGGATTGCACATAATGTGGGCACGATCGGTGCTGATGCAGCAAGGGGCTTCATCCTTGGAGGCTTATCATCCGGCGGCAATGTTGCAAATTCGGTCGCTCATCTTGCTCGTGACAACAATCTTCAGCCTCCCCTCACGAGAGTGTGGTTCAGCTGTGCTGGTGTCCGTATAGCGCCAAGCAATGCTCATTTGCTCCCTGAAGTCTACCGTGAGAGGAACCTCAGCCGTTCCCAGAACGAGTGCGTGGACAGCGTCACCACCTCTGCCGGCATGGAGCAGTTCAAAAGGGATGCACTAAAGGCAGATCTTGACTCTCGCCTCATTGCTCCCATGATCTGGTCTGACGAGGCCGGTCTTGGCCACAAAGGCTTCCCGAAGACCTACTCACAGGTGGCAGGGATCGATACTGCTCGAGACGAAGCTCTGATATTCGACGACATTCTCAAAGAAGGAAGGCATACCGACCCGCCTGGATGTCTATTCGGGAGTGCCACACTTCTTCTTCTATACTTTCAAGGATCTGCCAGAGTCCAAGCGGTGGGAGCAAGACACCCTGGACGGCTTTGCGTGGCTGCTCGCTGACTGATGATGATGATGAGTAGACGTTCGGTGGATGAGTGGGAAGTGAAGGTACGCGTAGAGTCGAACAATGCCGTGGAATTGTCATATCGTCATTTCGTCATCTAGATCGTGTCAGATACATGTAGCTCATAAATTGTCGGTCACGACAGATGTCTCCAGTCTCTCATGGATTCTCAACGACTTCTGGGACCCGACTCGTCCCCAAAAGAGCCAATTCACGTCGGAGTTTTGCGTTCTGCTCTTCCAGCTCATGCAAGCGCTCGTGCAAAGGCTCCATCTGCTCTTCTGCGCCGGCGCTCAGCTCTTCAATGATCTGCGAGGACAAGCCATAAGCGAATGTCCATCGAAAGGACAGCCATGGCCTACCTTGAATACACGCCACAGGCGTAACACCACCACCAATGACCCAACCTCCTCCAACACGCCCTTGAGTAGTACGTCAATGACGAAGGCGGCCGTGATGACAGTAGCATCCAGGCAATGGAACCACGAGCGGAAATAGCTGCAGCAATCAGTACGACCCTTGGTGAGACGACACCTCCTAGAACACACACTTCCACCCAAACACACAGAAGCTAGCCAGTAATTCGGCCATGAACAAGCAGCTGAACACCAGACTCACGATGCCAAGCACATTCTGCGCCTCGCGCCCATCCTTCGCAGGCACCCGACCTTCGCAGGTCAGTAGTTGCAAGATGAGGTCCGTCAAGATGGACGTCACGTCGAGTGACACCAACAGCAGGACGCTGTAGTGCCCAGTCTTTGAGGTAAGGTATCTTTTCACGGTATGCCGAGCTGCAGCCTCTCGGGATGCCGTCGCGTGCTGCACACCTTTCAGCCGATCAGAAGGCAGCAGAGGGTGTCGTTCCATTTCCGAGCTCAGCCCTGCGTTGTGGTGTGAGGGTGAAGTACGGAGTATTGGGTTCACAAAGGAGGCGATGTGTCGACTTGGCACGTCAAGCTCCCGGATCCAAACGGAACGTGACAAGCTTCCAAGGCGAAATTATGCGTTTGGTTGGCGTCGATCAAGGAGTTGAAAGTCGGGGTCCCCTTCTCTGTGCAACCACATGCTCGCTCCACCCGAGCCTCGTGGGATTGGCATCCGTCATTTGTGTTACTGGAGCTGCTACGTTGCATTGAGCATACCGAAGTGGGACGTAGGAATAACGGAACAACCCCAGCTCTCCGCCTCAGGCCGGCGTGATGGTCACTGGGAACTGTCGATCTTCGTTTGTCCTCCCCCCGAACGCCCGGTTGCTGAAACCTAGCATGTCACGTACTTGAGTGTAGGACATGATTGGTGGTATTCACCGTCGACACCGACCAGAAAGGCTCGTAGCAGATGGGCGACGACAACAAAGGAAGGTAGCAAGTGTTGCATGCTGTCGCAGCATAGGAAAGCATAAGTAGAGCACTGTTTCTCTCTCATCTCGGAGACATCACACAGTCCATCACAGCCTCAAACACTACCACTGAATAGCACTGCTGCCTTCGAAATGTTCACCCTCTTCTCATTCACGGCTTTGGCAACCACAGCCCTCGCTGCCCCTCACCTCGCTAAGCGAGACAAGGTCTACGGCTTCGACATCTCCCACTACCAGTCTTCCGTCGACTTTGAATCCGCCTACAACGACGGTGGCCTCCGCTTCGTGTATATCAAAGCCACTGAAGGCACCACATACGAAGATTCAATGTTCTCGGTATGTGCCAGCTTGCCTGAGCCGCCCTCTGCTTCCTAGTCTGACGCTTGCTGCAGTCGCACTATGGCGGCGCAACCGACGCCGGCTTTATCCGTGGCGGCTACCACTTCGCACACGGCGACTCATCTGCCTCCGACCAAGCGGACTTTTTCGCCGACAACGGTGGTGGATGGACCGACGACGGCATCACGTTGCCCGGTATGCTGGATCTCGAAGCCAGTTGTAGCGAGAATGACGACTGGGAAGGCTGGATCCAGGAGTTCTCCGATAGGTATCACGAGAACACTGGAAGGTATCCGGTGTTGTACTCGAGCCCGAGCTGGTGGTCGGAGTGCACCGGGGACTCGAGTGCATTCAAGGGCACGAGTCCGTTGATGATGGCGTGCTGGTACGTGGTAATCTGCTTGGTGTTGAAGATTTGATGAACTGACCGAGTCGCAGGAATGATGACCCATGTGACCCACAAGGCAGCTGGCCATTCTACACCTTCTGGCAGTATGCTGACTCCAACGGCTATGGCGGTGACTCGGACGAGTTCAATGGCGATATGACGCAGCTCAGAAAGCTCGCGACTGGCTGAGAAGTCTTCCATGGGCGTTGGTCTCTCCACGCGGAGAGGAGGTGGAACTTAGTATGACTGGACATACCAACCATGAAAGCTACGATTCTGCCATACACCACACCACCACGTCTCCGTTTCGTCTCCAGTCATCGTGGAAGTGCGTGTTGAAACCTCTCCAGCACTCTCGATACTTCGTCCCTTCAAGTACCTCCTTCATGGTGGGCTCTAGCTGCTGGAAGAATACCAGATACTGTGGCCAGCCCAGTTTTTCGTCGTCGCTTGATGTTCCAGCGTCCATAGAAGAGCCGTGCCGTATCGACGCTGTGTTTGCCATGTTGTCTTCGACCCATGCTATAGGATTGGCATAGAAGACATCCGCCTCGTCCATGTAGCCTAGCCGCTCCTCGACGCTAAGTCCGATGGGTGGTTCGCACGTCAGGGCCCCAGCTTCGATCTCCGGGTAGACGAGATGGCTGCGCCAGGGCGTGCTGTGGCAAGGCATCAGAAATGCTACCGTCGTAGCCACCATCTCTCCAGCTCCCGGAGTGGAGGAGAGGGCAAGCTTTTTCTCATGCTGGTGGCGTAGATAGTGCATCACATCGACAACGCCGCGTTGATGGACGTAGGATGTGTAATACATAACGGCGACGTTAATCGCGGCTGCCAGAGTCAAGATGATGATACGACTTGGTCGAGCCGGTCGCCGGAAGAAGCTTGAAAATGGCTCCGCCGCAAGTACATGCAGCATTGGCAGTAGTGGATAGATGAACCGGACTTCTTTGTGGGAGATCCCGCCGAGAGCAAGCACCGACGTGATGACTGTCAATGCAAGGGTGCTCGATATGGCCGTCATACGATACTCTGCATTTGACGACGATGTATCCTTGCGCAGGCTGTACAAGGCTTGCCATAGCGCTACGGCTCCGAAAGGCAAAGCTGTAGTAAGCAACAGCGGTAAACCCTCGGTGATGTAGTAGTCCAGCCGATTCTGTCCGTAGAAGACAGCCAATGACTGTACAACGTTGAAGTGCAGAAAGCGCAGAGGAGGCAGTACAAGCTCGTCGTAGAAAGCTCGATCAGCAGCGACCGAAACTGCAAGTACTGCTGACCCACAAATGGACGCTGCAGTCGCCAGCCTTAGCGCTGCTTGCTTGCCACCATATCGGAAGACAACGGTGATACTGATGGTGGCCCAGATGATGATGTTGGTTGGCCGGAGAATGCAGGCTATAGCAGCGGCGCAAAGCGAGCCGTAGAGGCCAGTTGACGATGAGTTTGACGCGGTCTGCTTCTCTTCTGGACTCGAACCCAGGAGAAGGTCCCAAGGCCACAAGCGTAACGCAATAATCGTCAAGGTGGTCTCCATGGAGTTCGATAGCGTACGTACTGAAGCGAACCATTGCCATGGACTAGTTATTGACAATACGAGGGCTGCCGCTGATGCGTGACTCTTCGAGCCGTAAATATCGCAGGCCAGTCGGTAAGTGTACGCATCGGTCAGAGCAGCGAACACGGCCTGCAAGACTTTTGGAGCAGCCACCAGCACTTCTGCCCGAACACTTGGCGTGAGACCAAGAGTCGTGGAAATGCTGTCCGCAAGATTGTAGATTGAGGCAAATAGGAGAGGGTGCAGCGATGATCGGAGACGTTCGTGCCATTCCCATGTGATCCAGGCGTTGACGGAAGGCCCGAAGGCTGTCTCCAAGGCGGGCTCCAGCGACTGGAAGTACTCGTCTGGCTGGAAAGATGTCTTGATCATCAGGGCATTGATTATGCGAAGAACGAGCAGGCCGACAAAGAGAGCGCCCATGTACTGCGGTGCAGTGCGGGCCATGGATGAAGTTCGAGCGTCGTGCTTGTTGCCTGGTTGGTCGCCCATGGCGTTGTGTTGAGATCCTGGTGGCCAGCTAGCTAAAAGACTCGTACAGAGTAGTGTGTCAGGTACCAGGCCATAACGGTGATCTCAAAACTGAGCACACTGCAACACATTGAAGATTTCGACTCCTGGAGTGTCGAGATGGCGTACCCGACAGGAGTTGAGCTAAGATTTAGGGTTGACGGCAGGGAACGGGACGGCAAAAGCCAAGCTGATTAAGGCCGTTTAAAGTCCGCTCGAAAGTCACGTCTCAAGTCAGCAAAGACAACAATGCGACACATTTCACTAATGACTTGACTTCGTTCGACTGCCCACAAAACTCGACGCACGCTGCGATGTGATCCTCTTCCTCTCCATGTACGAACCACAACTACCCTTAACACACCACAATGTTCTGGCGACTACGCTGCTACTCCTGCGGGACCCGCTCCCCTCACTCCAAAGGCACGCACGAGTTCCAGTGCGCCAACTGCGAGGCCTACAACTTCTACGATACCGACGGCAACGTTGTCGACACTCCCGATACTATCGCCGCCCCGCCCGTCCAACCCAGCAAACACAGATATCAGACCTTCACCCGACCCCTCCCCAGGGATGCGCCCCGAAACGACGATGAGATCTTCTGTAACCGGTGCCGCAACAACCAGCGCATATACACGGAAGCTCTTTCGAACGCTCTCCCAGACGAGGACCATCCTGAGTATGCCGAATACGAAGCAAGGCTACCGCAGCTGAAGGCGGACCTTGAGCAGAAGTGGCCTCTCATCTGTACGAGGTGCGCAAGCAAGGCACAACAGAAGATTCGGCAAGCAGACTACTATGGCAAGACGCAACAGGCATCAAGGATGATGTTGCAGACTCGGAAGAAACGGGGTGGCAGCCCAGTCGGTCAAAGAGACGATTGGGGCAAGTGGTCGATGCGGATGCTGTTGAAGGCAGCCGGAATGGTTGTGTACGCCAGTCTGCTGGCTCAGATGGCGTGGCATGCATACGGCATTTTGGCAGCACTCACCGGCTCCATGACCACGGAGGATGCGGAAACCGTCGAGTTCGCATTCGACCCCAGCGTCAAAGACTGCGCGAAACAGACTCGGCTGTTACACTTCGACCCGTCGTGTTATCAGCTCTTCGCGACGCTGATACCAAAGGCCCTACTCACCGGCCTGTGCTTGCTATGGTACAATCCCGGCATCAGCAGCTGGTACCACCATACTTGGCGCATGGAAGCTGTCAACGGCCAGACAGAACATTTTCGCATTCAGGCAGTGCTCCTCATAATTCGACTTGTCGCCTGGATCGGCTTAACAGATGTCACTACCACAGGAGGGCTCAGCAAGCAGAAATTGATGGCCGCCCATGGATTCATGATTGCTTTCATCGCCCTCTGCCAATGGGTCAGTGAGCGCACCATCAGCCCGCAGCGGTGGGTGCTTCGAGGCAAAATCATGCCCAAACCAGATGAGGCCGATTTCTTTGGTGGGGCGGCTGGTCCTGCTGAAGAACAGTACGATCGCCAGGCGTCTTCTGTACCACCGCAGTTGCGTCTCTTTCCACGCAACGAGACACCGTTTCCGATTGAGAGACTGGCACCACAACAGCCGCGAAGAGGCTACTCGAGACTTGAGCTGCCCGCAAATCCGCCGCCTTCTCCACCTATCACTGACGACGACATGATGGATATCGATACCAACTACGAGCCTCCAACGCTACGCAGCGCACACAATCAAAGCACGAATCAATCTCTTGGCTGGGGCGGCATGCGCAACGAACTTTTCGACATCCATGACAGCACCCGCGCGCAGCAGGACCGCCAACGCCAACGTGACGAACAGCCCACCAAGCTTCGTTACCAACCGCCCAACGAACAGAACCCCTTCCGCGGGCGCCTGCCTCCGGCACCAATGAGCATGGAACGCCGCCTCCGCAATCCACCCACCCAAGTCTCTTTCAAGAAAGCACCTTTGAGCAAGCAACAGGACTTCATGAAGCAGATGCGCGAAGGTATTGAGAGCGGGAAGGGTTTCACCAAACCGAACGCAGCACAAGCCGCGCAGGGTGTTCATGCAGCTTTTGCTCTAGATGAGGATAGTGATTTCTCGCCCATTAAGACTAGACGGGTTGCTCACTCTACCAGCATGGGTGAAGTGCTTGAGGACGAGCCAGCGAAAAGCAGGACGAAGGGGAGTCTGGATCTCAGACCGGGTAACTGGACGTTGAAGGGTGATCTCGATACTGCAACCGGGTTGGAGGACTTGTTTGGCGGCACGAGTTTCAGAATTGCGGATGAGAACGGTGTTCAGAATGGGAGGGCTGCGATGTCCGAGCAAGCGCACAGCTCTGTGGCCACTCGCGGCTGGGTGCTGTTGGCTGTGATAGCTGCTGTGGCTGCCGTTGTCGTCGTCGAGCCAGTACGGAGGACAGTTTGTTTCTGGCTGATTGCCAGGCTGGAGGCGATGGGGTATTGAGGGCTTGCAAGAAGATGTGAGGATTCTCGCCGTAGACGGTCCCCATTGGTGGATTTTGAAAGCGCTATAGCGGCGGCGTTTGGATTTTGGGAGCAGAGAATATGCGATCGCGTGCATATGCGCGCTTGATCTTGGCTTTGATAGCGTAGGATGATTTCTTGTACTTCTCCAACAAGGAAGGCTTCAATTTGCCTTGTCCCAAGCCCCGCCTCTCACCTCACCTCACCTCACTCCAAGTCGCGTTACCAACTCCCACCATATTACCACCGCCCATCGCCTGATACAGATTCTCTAACACTCCATGGTGCGAGCAATCCTGAAACGTTACGGTCATGCCGGCTGGGGTTCAGAAGAAGAAGCAGAGGTCGCGTCGGGGATGCGAGACCTGCGCTTCACGAAAAGTGAAATGCGATGAGCAGGGCGAGCGATGCGGCAACTGTGTCCGCCTGAACATTGAGTGCGTCTGGAGACACTCTCAATCCACGCAGCGCTCACGAATCAATCGAGCATGTCAGAATTGTCGCCGCCGTAAGGTTGTATGCCCGCCATGTCGTCAAGGAGCACCACTAAACCTGTCTCAGACACGCTGTCGCCGCGAAGATGATGCAACGCATTGCGAGCCTTGCAAAAGCTCGGGTCTAGTATGCGCTGCTGAGCTGCCTCCATCTCGACATCTCCCTACACACACCGCTGAGCTACGGCCTCTCGTCGAAGCGTACTTTGAAGGGCCGTTCAACTTCCTCTACTTTCAGTGTCTTCATCGCTCTTCATTCACGCAGATGCTCGAGAAGGGTCTCATTGCAAAGGACCTACTACTGGTAGTTTGTGCCACCGTGCAAAGGATCCGTGACCCTGCTGGACCTGGAGACGCCTGGGCTGACGAAAGTGGGAAACTTGTAACCGAGCGCATCTTCTCAAAGCCGTCAACCTCCAGTCTACAGACACTACTACTGTTGCAACGGTACGAGGAAAACCGCGGCCGCCATCTTCGAGCGTGGCTGTATTCAGGTCTTGCCCTTCGGATCGCCCACGCGCTGCAGATCAATGTTGAGCACCAGGATCAGCCGGTCACAGTCAGAGAAGTTAGACGGCGCATCCTTTGGAGTCTGGTCGTGACCGACTCGTTGACGGAGTCAGGTACGCGGCCGTTGAGCGGCTTGAGGGTGCATGACCTGACGGTCGGGCTACCGTGCGGCGAGAGCGATTTCATACGCAGTGTTGCTGGTCCCGCGACGCAGGTCGAACCTCACAACGTCAATGAATCGCTACCGGCCTATTGTGAAAGCATAGGTGCCCAGCTTGTGAGCTTAGCACTGCTGCGACTGGAAACGGTTGACTACACATTCTCGTATCATCCGAGAAATCTCGGGCACCTACCATCCGAACTACCGTGGGATAAGCTCGCAAAGTTCCAGCGCCTGCGGCAGAAGCTTGAAGGATGGAGGCAACAGCTTCCAGCGCAACACAGCGCAGACAACACCATTTGCTCCAAGAGCACCAAGATCCAGATCCTAAGCCTCGCATGTCTATACCATGGAGCATCTTGCGATCTCTTCCGGATCGGAGCAGTTTTGTCTAGCCTGCCACGGACACACTTCACGCCTCCACCAGAAGCGTTCTTGTCTGAATGTGCACGTGCGCTTCTTTACCACGCCTACTGCATTGCGAAAGCAATATCAGACTTGTCACCGGCACTCGACTACTGCGACTCGTATGCTGGAGTATGCGGCTGCTTGGCTCTCCGTCTGCTCATCGTCGACCGACGCCCGCGGGAGCAGGATTACGTTCCACTCTCAGATCCATCCGTAAGCTGGGCCATCTCTGGAACGACAAGGTGTGTGGAGGCTGTTGCACGATGGTCGGAGCCTGTGCGCGGCTACTTTGGCTCCATCTCTGCTATGTGTCAGGAGCGTGGTTATCCCATCGCCTCTCACGGCACGCAGGAACATGGTCCGGATCCCGAGAACCTCTCAAGAGCCGCCTCTCCCAGCTTACGGACCTTCGGAACATTTGGGACTGTGCGTCGAGACCTCAAAGCTCACGCTCATGAAGACGATGCGGCATCCGTTCCCGCAGGTAGTGATGCCGGAATAAGTCCGAAGGAGTTCCCGACTACGGGGCTAGACGGAATCAACCGCTCGCCTGCCAGCTTTGGGCCACAAGAAGGGTTTGATGCTCAGTTCCCTCTCTCGTGGGATCCTATGAGCGACGACGCTTTGCTGACATACTCAGCGTGGGCGGATGGCACATATGACTTCGACGCCGCAGAAGCCTTCAGGTACAGCGACAGTCTCGGACTTGGCTTTCAGAATAATCTTTACATGCCGAATGGAAACTATTGAGTGCGAACGAAAAGCTCCATATCTATCTCGAAAGGTCTCCGACATACAGAGCAATCTCTGCTACTAGACCTTGTCGTCGTGGTACTCGACTCCAGTAGAGGCACCCTTTTTTGTCCCCAACCCGGCAATGTCGGATTCCAACTCCGCGACCCTGAAGACAAGATCAGTATGTCAACGTCAGAAACATATGCTAAAGCGCATACCTTCTGCCAGCGCCAGATGTACGAGTGGAAGCAAACTTGCGAGCAGGGATACGACGTTCGAAGAGTTCGTCCTGGCAAGTCGATGGTGTCAGCAATTGCTTCACACGACTGCCCATAGAGCAATATGCTTATCGGACTCACCACTTCTTCGAGTGACCGGCCTTTGGTTTCTACAAGAGGAGTAGATAGTCAGCAACCTGCCCGTCCACAGGGCCAGCGTCCGTGACTTACCTGGTACACAAAAGTACGTGTAGATTGTCGCCATCGTCGCAAATCCGCCGAAGACCCAGCCTATGTTGGCATCGATCTCTGCAATCACGTATGGAATGGAGAAGGCTGTAACAAACGCGGCGATGATACTGATCGACAGCGCGAAAGCTTGCGTCTTCTCTCGCAAGGCGTAGCTTCCGATCTCTGCACCGATCACGTATCTGTTTTGGTGCGTATGGGGTCAGCCTATGTCACATAAAGCAGTAGAAAGAAGGTGGAACCACGATGATGGACTTACGATATACTGGCAATCGTCCCGGCATAGAAGAAGTTGTACAAGATGACGCTGGCCACCAGCATGTTGGCTTCATGGCGATTGGGCTCCGCAGGCAGGCCAACTCCGGCCACGATGAAGAGGAATATTGCTTGCCCAGTGCATCCGATCATCAATACCAGACGCCGCCCCGCAATATCGATGAAGGGCATGCCGCACGCCACACCTACCCAACCTACGGTGGCCGATGCGATATTATAGTCGAATGCATGTTCGCCGAGCCCCACTGATTGGTAGAAACGTGGTGAGTAGTTGGAGACGAAGGCCTGGGTTGGTCAGTTCTCTCTTGCGATGCAGATCATATTGCACACTCACCTGTCCAGTGAACTGCTGGAAAATGTAGATAACTGTTGCGATGGAGGTTCTCCTCAGATTTGTGCCTCTGAACAGATCCATCCAAGGACCTTTCTCTGGATTCTCCACAGCAACTCTGATGGCTTCAATTTCCGCAGTGCAGTGTCCGGCGGCCACATCCTTCTTTGGCCGCACTCTTTCCAGAGTCTTAACGGCATCTTGATCTCGCCCTTTGCTGATCAACCAGCGCGGTCCATCTGGAATGAAGAAGATACCAACTGCCACTATCACCGGACAGATCGCTTGCACCCCAACCGGAACGATCCAACCTTCAGGTGCAACCGTTCTCGAGTAGCGACGATTGACGCCAGCGGCCGTGATCTGTCCGATTTGATTGAACAGTTGGATCGAGCCGACCACTGCTCCTCTCATGCTCGCCGGGACGATCTCGCTTTGGTATGTTGTTGCGCACATTTCGGCAAAGCCAACGCTGTAGTAGACAATGATTCGGCCAACAACGAACTGGGCAACCGTTGTCGCTGTGCATTCGATGATGATGCCGACGAAGCTTATGAGGCAGACGATCCAGATGCTGATCCGGTGGCCAAGTGGCTCGATGAACACAGAACCAAGCTGGGACAGTCAGTGGATTCTCTCCAATCACACTCGGGCCACAGGACTTACCAATGCTCCAAGAAACTTGCCCACAAAAGCCAAAGAGCTCATGTACTGTTGAACACACCCGAGTAAGCAAGACAGACACTCCGTCGAACGGGGGGCTCGTCAGCCAACTACGTACCGATGCGCGCGCAGGCGAGAGCACGTAGGCGCCATCTTCGCCAGTTGGAGTCCCGAACTCCCTTTCGAAGGCTGGTATCGACTGCACACCACCAAAACTGGTTGTGTCGTATCTACGAAAGTGTCAGTTGCCGTCTTGTTGTACCCATTGCAACAACGCTTCGTGCGTACCCAAACATGATGTTCAACAGAGCCGTGATGATCCAAGCAAAGAACAACGGGACTGTCATCTTCTTGAACATGATCTTGAACCCCGTGAGGGAGGAAGGTCCCTTCTCATCGATGCTTCCTGCCATGTTGTCGACGGATGGAGACTGCGACCGATCCGCGTCCGGATATCAAGTTATCGATGTTCTAATGGTATGGTATGTTTCTTGGTGGACAAACATTGAGAGACAACTCTGCGGCTCCTTTCATGATGTCTTTGGATCAAAGCGTACGCACGACTCAGTGACATCGATCCCATGCTCCGACGAGGTACGCGAGCATACTACCAGCCGTGTGTGGAGATATATCTCCAGGCGACGTCGGTGTGACCTGCAGGGGTCAGCCCCCACATCTCCAAGAAGCACGGGCAGGGCATTCTATCTGGGGGATCTTCTCCGACGAGGTACCCGAGCAGCAGTGTTCGTGGCGACGCACATGAACGGAACTTGAATCAACTGCAATAGGACTCCTCCGGTGTCGGAAGACACACACGAATCAACCAACTCATTCGTGGTGCTAACGGTTCTTCGACGACGTACCTAAGCAGATAGACCTTTGGAGTTGACTCCGACGATGTACGCGAAGACGACAGGTACACAGAAGCAACTTCTCTCATACCCATCTTCTCAAATCACTACCGTCGAAGCATTCGTTTGATCACTTATTGTCTATATCCAACGTCGTCAGCAACATGGCTCCAATCAAGAAGAACGACACGAGGCCCAACTTCCTAGTCATCCTTGCGGACGGTGAGTGATAACCTCAGCTTCACAACGTCAGATATTTGTTGACAGGTGACAGACCTTGGCTACAGCGATATTGGATGCTTCGGCAGCGAGATCCGAACACCACATCTGGATGCTTTGGCACGCAATGGCGCTCGTTTTAGTGATTGTAGGAACGAGGCTCTTCCTTCTTCGATCAAGACTGACCATCACAGATCATACCGCCGCAGCATGCAGTCCCACCCGATCGATGCTGTTGAGTGGAACCGACAACCACATCGCCGGCGTCGGTATCATGAGCGAGCAGAAAGGTCGCAATCCCGGTATGTCTCCAACACTTAAGCACCCTCCGCCATCAGCCAGCTCACATCGCAACGACAGACAAATGGGACGCCAAAGGCCACGAAGGCTTCCTCAACCACGACGTCGCCGCCCTCCCAGAAATCCTGCAGGACAACGGCTACCATACCTTGATCAGCGGCAAATGGCATCTCGGCTACACACCCGAGAGCAACGCCGCCGCACGAGGTTTCGATCGCGCATTCACCCTACTTCCTGGCGCTTCGAACCACTACGGCTGGGAACCACAGTTCGATGACAAGGACTATGGACCATTCTTCTCCCGCGTCAGTCCGCAGCTGTATACGTTGGATGGGAGGAAGTATGATGTGAAACCGAATTTGGACAATGATCCGAAAGGCTTCTTCTCGTCGGATTCTTATACGGATAATCTGGTGGACTGGATGCAGGAGCGTAACGAGGAGAATCGGGAGAAGCCGTTTTTTGCTTACTTGCCGTTTTCTGCGCCTCATTGGCCTCTTCAGTGGTGAGCAATGCTTTCGCTCTTTTTTGAGAATCTGCAGACTTATGCTGTCCTGTAGTTCCGACGCCGACCGTGACCGCTACGAAGGCGTCTACGACGACGGCCCCGAAGCTCTCCGCCTCAAACGGTTAGAAAACATGAAGAAACTCGGCATCATCGGACCAGACGTCAAGCCCCATGAAGTCATCGCAGGCCCAATGAACCTCGAATGGGACGCCATGACACCGTATGAGCGCAGATGCAGTGCGAGGGCGATGCAATGCTTCGCTGGCATGGTCGACAATATTGACCAAAATGTTGGCAAGATCGTGCAGTATCTCAAGCGGAGCGGCGAGTTCGACAACACTGTTATCATCTTCCAGAGCGATAATGGTGCTGAAGGAGCCGATTATGAGGCCATCCCGACGATGGGTGCTGATTTGATGCGGGTCGTTCGGAGGTATTATAACAACTCTTTCGATAACATCGGACACGCAGACAGCTATGTCTGGTATGGTACAAGATGGGCGCAAGCGAGTACCGCTCCCAGTCGGCTGTACAAGATGTACTCGACGGAAGGCGGCATCAAGGTTCCTTTCAGTAAGTTTGATACTGCTCTGGCCTGTTGACAATTAGCTGACGATACCAGTAATGCATTATCCGAAGTTCTCCGAAAAGCTCCAGAAGAACGCAATAGTCAATTCGTTCTCCACGGTAATGGATCTATGTCCAACCTTCCTCGAGATGGCAGGAATCCAGCATCCAGCGTCGAGTGGCAACGGAACCTTCAGAGGCAGAGAGGTCGCTCCCATGCGCGGCAAATCATGGGTGGACTTCATGACCTCTTCTTCATCTTCAGCCTCCGATGCAGACGGCATCCACAGCGGAAGCGATGGCTACACTGGTTGGGAGCTCTTCGGCCGCGGTGCAGTTCGGCAAGGCAGCTGGAAACTGGTGCATATCGAGTCCGCGATGGGCGGCGGGAAATGGCAGCTGTACGATCTCAGCAAAGATCCTGGTGAGACGAACGATCTGGCTGAGATGGAGACTGCGAAGCGGGATGAGTTGATCGCGATGTGGGAGGATTATGTGAAGAAGACGGGCGTCTTATGGACCCCGTATGAGGAGATTGAGACCGTGGGTGAGGAATGGGGCGAGAACCGGGAGGATCTTGTGGGAGGGAACCATGTCGGGCAGATCAAGGCGTGGATGCAGTGCCGGCAGGGCGAGGAGGCTCCGAAGGGTCAGGTCGTCAATGGTGGATGAGCATATAGTCCTGAATACCCATGGCAAAATCTTGCGAAGACACGAGATGAAATGTCTCATTGTTCCATCCCGTCTGTCTTCCTGTACCGTCAGATGCTGCATCATCCAGGGCTGTGTATGCGATCTTGACGTGGTCTCCGGCAGAATTGTACTGTCGCTCCGATCTGTCTATCGAAACACATCTTACCAGCGCCGGCTTCATGATACACAAATGGTGATGTAGTGATAGAACAGACTATGTATTGCATGGGATGTTGTTGGTCAAGAAGCAAAGCCCCGCAGACCTCACCTCCTCCATCCCCACAACCTCGCTTCAACCAAACCCGAGCAAAGCAGACCAAACCGTCCCTTCGCGAGCTCTCCAGGCCTGAGTAGAGCTAGGCGTACGCAAGCTAAGCTCGCTCTACGTATAGCTATGTTCCTGCTTCCCTTGCGACAATGACCTCCTTCCTCCTCAGACCATCTCTCACCAGCACCTCCCGCGCGCTCCTCAAGTGCAGCACGAAGCAGGCGTCAAAAAGGACATTCACATCCTCACCCCGCACCATGGCACCGACAAACGAATGGCTAATCCAAATCCCCGACCACCCAAACATGCTCTCCAAACGCATGGAAGTCCGCCCGTACCTCCCCCTCCCACCCTTCGACCCATCCCCTACTAACCCCTCTCCTTCCCGAAGTAAACACCTCGAAGACCTCAAACCCCTCATAGCCTCCGGCAAAATCGTCTTCGGCGGCGCCTGCCTCGACGAGCCCCTGCAAGAGGGCAAAGGCATGCAGACGAACGGCAGCGCGATGATGGTGGTTTGTGAGACGGAGAAGGAGGCAAGAGAGGTGGTGGAGGGGGATGTGTATGCGAAGGCCGGGGTGTGGGATACGGGGAACATGAAGGTTTGGTGTTTTAAGACTGCGGTGCGGACGGCGTTGTAGAAGATACATTATGGGGTCCCGGAGAATGGAGATGGGAACCGTGCGATTGCTACGGTATACTTGTTGGGTTAGAAAGCGGACTCTGATCATTCCTCAGACACCTTGCTGGTTCCTTCAAGCTCGAAAACCTCACCAAGCCACTCAACCATCTTCCCCCACAACTCCGCCCTCGCCCTCAACCTCTCCGCCTCGTGTGCCTTCCCTCTTACCCCAAACTGATCAAACCCATGCGTCTGCCCCTTAACCCTCGTCCACCTCACCCCGCCCACCGTCCACTCATCCTTCCCGCCCACCCTCTCCTTCCCCATCGCTAATCGCTCAGCCATCACCTCCGCCTCCCGGCACAGTAAGTCGAATTCACAACCCACCAACCACACCTTCTCCGGCAGATCAGCCCTCCACTTAAAGAACGTAGGACTTAGACGAACGTCTTCAAGCTCGAGGCGTTGGGGGCCAATGTACATCCTCTCCATCTTCGGGGCGCCAGACTCGAGCATATCGGGTTTCTCTGCATCTGCCCGCGTAGCCGTAGCGACTTTCTCCGCTACCGTGGTCGTGAAATCCGTACCGGGATACAGTCCCAGCACCCCCTTCACCCTCCCGCGCAGCCGTTCATCCTGCGTAGCGGCCAGGACGAGGTTCCCACCCGCCGAATTACCGATCAGCACCACACTCTCCTTATCAACCCGTAGCTCAGCGTCATCGATAACAGCACTAGTGAGCGCGACGACGTCCTCGTACGCCACTGGAAACCGGCTTCCGGGGGCTTTCGAGTAGTCGATCGCCACAGCCACGCATCCGGCGTGGTCGGCTAGATACCTCGCCAAAGGGTCGTCGCGGGAGGGGGTGTTGATTGCCCAGCCGCCGCCGTGGACTAGGATTACGAGGGGAAGCTTCGCTCCGCTGCTTGGTTTGTCTGCGGCAGCAGTGGAGGGCAGGAAGATTCGACATGCGTGCAATCTCGGCCGGCAAGGGTAGGTTTTGGTGGAATCCGGTTGTGTGCCGGGGGCGAGGAGGCGGGAGCGTTGGATGAGCAGCACGAGGGCGACGAGGTGGTTTAGAGCGGTGTAGAGGACTTCCGTATACCACGTCTCTGCTTGGCCGGAGGAGAGGGGCATATTGTCTGTCTTGTGTATTGATATAGTCGATGGGAATCTGAGATGGAAGTGGTGAAAGGAGAAGGTTGTTCGTTGTATACGCGTTTGAAAGACGTGGTAGCGAAAGAAACCTACCTCTGGGAAACCGGCCCAGTGCGCTCTACTTATACACGAAGATACTGTTCCATGTCGAGCCGTCGTCATTGCACTCTTGTTGCGAGAATGTGTGTGTAAACCACCCGAAAACACTGTTGTTGCGGTGGTAAGAAAACGGTCGTGATGCGCCGTGCGGGCAGAAAACGCCGGCCTGGGGTCGCGCCAAGCAGTACATTGAAACCGTCGGGAGCCTCGCGACAAGGCTCTGGATTGAGCACGTGCAAGGTCTCACGACGTAGCATTAGGAGCAAGCAAGCAAAAGGAAGACACGGATAGAAAGATGCCGTAATGTAGACAACAAGTTCGTAAATTCAATTCCAACTGGCAAAAACATCAAGCCGCAAAGCTCTAGCGAAAGTGGTATCATTGCCGTAAAAACCCGTCCCCAAAAACCAAAAAAGCCCTCCCATGCACCGTCAAATGTGTCCAGAGTCCCATCCTCGCCGCAAAGGCGCTGGCCTCGCATACCAACAGACATCTACAGTCCAAAACCCCAGCCAAAAGCGCAATGTATCGCAAGTCATCCTCATCTCCCCTCAAAATCGCTCAAATAATCCCCGTGCCCCCCTCCCCCACCATACCCAAAAGCGCCCTGCTGCTGCCCCTGCTGCGGACCCGCCTGTGCAGCCTGCATGCCCAGATTATTCTGCAAACCCATCTGGCTCGGATCGGGGTAGGAGCCCATCTCGCTCTCGCTGAGATCTTCGTAGTATTCGCCTCCACTACTTGCATCGAACGAGCTGCGGCCCGAGTAGTCTTCTTCCGCTGTTGGTCCGGAGCCGATGGCGTTCCAGTCCAGTCCAGCGAGGGCGGGATATTGGGCGAGTAGCGCCGCGGGGAGGAAGTTGCCCATCATGTCGACTTGCTGCGGCTGCTGCATTAGCGGCTGCGGCGCGACGAGGCCAGCGGCGACTTGGGCTTGTTGTTGCTCTTCCATCCAGGCTTTTTGGCGTTCGGCGGCTTCCTCGTCGAGGAGGGGTTTGATGCACACCCGCCCGGCTTCGGAGCGGAAATGGCGGCCCAGAGCGTCGGCACGGGCGAAGCGCCGTCCGCAACCCCATGTGCCGCCGGAGTTGAGGTGGCCTTTGCAGACGAATTTCTTCTCGCCGCTATGTAAGCCCTCATGACGCTTACGGTCGTGCTGTCTTGCGAAAGCTTTGCCGCAGACGGTGCAGACGAAGGGGCGCTCGTCGGTATGTGTCCGTAAGTGGGAGCGCAGGTTGTAGGCGCGGGTGAAGCGTTTGGGGCAGAGGGTGCATTGGAAAGTGGCGGGGTGTTTTTGCACGCGGCCCTCTTTGGCGCCGTTGGAGGGGGTGCGTTCGGGCTCGGCGAGGTTGAGGATGTAGTCGCGTTGGTCCGAGGCGTTGCTGGTGCTGCGGCCGCGGCCGAGGGAGCCGTTGCGGCTTCGGCCGGGGGAGGAGGAGCGGGAGACGGGGTCGTTGTAGGGGGAGAGCTTTTCGCCGGAGAGTTCTGGTTGGAGGGATGGAGAGCGACCGCGGCCAGCTATGGAGGGGCTAGGTGATCGTGAGCCAGCGTAGGAGTCTGATTTGGCTCGTATCCTGTTCCGGCTTTGGGCTGTTGAAATCAAATCAGTATTCAAATCTCCACAGATCGTTGAGATGTACAACTTACTTCTCATCGGCGGACTCAACGCCTCGCCATCATTATTCCCAGGCCTCGCGTTCTCCACCGGCTGCGTAGGCGGTGCATAGTTGATGCTGATCTCCGGCGGGCTCATCTGGTCGGCATTTCCACTCAAGTCCACAGAGTTGTTATGGCTGAGCGACGGGAAGGGTTCTTGTCCAACACCTGGAAACATCTCCAGCCCGTTTTGCTGCGGCTGGAAATGCATGTCCGGGTTCATGCCAAAGTTGTTGTCTGCCGTAAACTGGGGTAGCGCATGCTGCTGTGCCATTAATCGGGGAGAGATGTGAGGGCTATGGCCAGGACTGTGGTAGCTCTGCTGCGGCGGATGTTGTTGCTGAGGCGAATTATCGTTCAAGCTGAACTGCTGGAGTCCGAGGTCATTATTGAACGTAGGATCTTGCGAATTGAGCAGAGGCGAGGAGTGTGCATTCGAGTCGAAGCTGTCCATAGTGGGAAGATATGGCGATGCCTGATTTGAATGTGACGAGTAGTCTGAGTAGTTGTCTGACGGTGTTCTCCTGTGCCCTCTGTAACCGCCTAGATTCATGCTCGACCAGTCCGCCTGGCCTTGTGGGAACATGGCACTCGACGGGTCAAGCGACTCCGAGGTATTTCGCGGTCTGTTTACGCCAAACTGGTTGTGTGCGTAGCTGGGCGAAGTAGACGGACTCGGGCTGTTGGAGGATCGGCGCGCCGTATCAGGCAGCAGGTGAGGTGGAGTAGGTGTGTGTGATTGTTGCATGGCTGCCATGGAGCCGTTGTTGGAAGTATCTATGTTCAGCGTCTCCGGGTGAAGATCGTTCAGCATAGACGGGTCAAGCGAGGCGGAGGAGTCGAAGTTGGGGTTAAAGTCGAAGGAGGGAAAGGCGCTCGACTCGTTTGCGCCGGAAGGTGAAGTGCCCTGACTCAATGCGCCAGGCGATACGTGGTTGCTGCCTTGTCCGCCTTGCGAGTATGGGTAGCCAGACGAAGCGCCCTGGCCTCCTATGCCTGAGGACTGCAGGAAAGTGTGGTTCGCGATCGAGGGGTCGTGCAAAGGCAGATGCTGTGTCCGAGGGAGTTGCGGGTAGTTGCTGGTGTCGAGGAAGAAGTCAGACTGATCGCCCTGTCCGAACGTCGGATCGCTGAGGAGGTCGTGGCCTTGGTGTGCGCCGAATGAGGTGTACTGGCCGTGCGACAAGGTAGGGTCGGGGACGAAGGAAGGGTCGAGTGGGGGGTGGTTGTTGGGGCCGGAGGCATGCTTGCTTATGTACTGCGCATGGCTGGCCTGGGAGGGCGAGCGGTCGCGGGTCTGACTGCTCATCGTTGGCCTTGGGGGTGGACAGAGAGCGAGGATGGGCTGGTTGCTAAACGCGGAAAGTCGTCGGCGTTTAGAGGCCCAAGTCGACCAGCGCACGGGCCTGTCTCGGAGGGCTGAGTCGCGATCGGCGGCCTGCAGATGGGCGGATCTCGTGGTGCGAAAGAATTGACGGCTCGTCCACCCTTGCAGCGCGAGAGTCGTGGTATGCGGGAAGTCTTCAGGCACAGCCTACCTGGCAGTCATGGTAGTGTGTATCGTGGACGGCGGCAGAGCCAAAGATAGCAGGCCCAAGTGCGATTGTGGGGTCGGGAGATTCACCACGCTTCAGCCACACTGGCAATTCACCCAATTCATCCATCCTCACCTACAAGATAACAACCACATTATCAATCACCCTTCTGACCACAACATCGCAGTTGAATGATCGACCTTGCGAAGCCATCGCATACCATCCAGCAACATCTGCACCTTCGTCTCGTAGCATGAAACACCGCCATTCTCCCGTCTACGTTAGAACCAACAACATCAACCGACGTCATCTCTACTCTCCAACCAACGTCACCTCATGAAACGCCCGTCTACCCGTCAGCACCTTACATACACCTTACTCCACACCTCCCACGGTTCGCACGGGATTTCGTTTCAACTTGCAAATCCACACCGTGCTCCGTCCCAAACCGTCGCGTGGAAATGTGCCTGCAGCAGATGCACAGCCCCAAAGGATGCCTGGCGATGGCGCGTGGTGGCAGTGCTGGTACCGTTGTACCTTGCAGACTGGACATTCTCACATGTTCCTGGCTCTCATGATGCGCTGTTTGTTGTTCTGTTGTATGTACCCCCCAATGGATAAGATGGAATGGATGATGATCTCGTGCGTCCAGATGTCGGGACACACAGGCATTCAGGCAGCGAACGGGATCTTTTGCGGTGGTATTTGGGACGGATGACTTTGGATTGACTTCAAAGTTGCAGGCTTTGATCATGAGGTTTACTTTCTGCATTGCATTTCCGGTCCGATTGACGGTCATCTGCTTGTTGTTCGGAAGAGACAGGAAAGAACGGTATGGACGGCTTCATGGTACCTTACGAACGGCTTGAACGGCAAGTGTGCTGTCACGACGGGAGGTATCTTGTCATGAAATATACCGCACGCTTCTAGACCTCCACCAAGCACTATAGCAGCACCCAGATCTCCAGTGTGCTCACACCTCTGATCGAAATCCCACCTTCTTAGCCGGTGTTGCAGCCGCGACAGCTACGCCTGTTGACGCCCCAGCCGTTGCAGCTGTGGGAAAATGCGTGGCTTGCAGGTCACCGGCCGTGCGGTCGAGCTGCATCAATCCTCCACCTCCCACCCTTCCTTCAATCCTTCCACAAACACTCCCCCCTCACCCACTCCCCCCTCACCCACTCCTCTCTCACCCACCCCCCTTCCACCAAACTCTCCCGCTCAACATACCCCTCCCTCTCCCTCGCAACCTCCATCTTCGCCCTCAAAATCCTCCTCCCCAACCTCTCCACCCCTCCCCTCCGAAAATCAATCTCCACCCCCGCATCCCGCACCTCCAGCACCAACTCGTCCCTCGTGAGATGCTCAAACGTCTCCTCGGGAGCGACGTGGAAGTACCGCTCGTCCGTTTTTTCGAGGAAGCGGGGGGAGATGCGAATGTTGTAGGGGTCGCGCGCGAGGTAGGCGATGAGGTGGCGGATTCCGGAGTGGAGGGTGAGGATTGTTGAGATGCCGAGGAGAAAAGTGCTGCGCAGGTGGAGGGAGCTGGTGCTCGGGTCGTCGAAGAAAGTTGAAGTGCGCCGGTCTTCGACTTCGCCGGAGAGGGCGGGATTGGGGGTTAGCATCCAGCGTTTTGCGTCGTGCTCTGGGTCTTGAGTTCGGAGTCGAGTGAAGGGTGAAGTGGTAGGTGTAGGGTGGAGTTCGTCGTCGCGGAGCGCAGTGGTCGCTTCGTGGACGTTGTATGCAATGGGCTCGTCGTCGCGCGCCTCTTCTCCGCCGCGCGAAGGGGGGAGTTGACGCTGGTGCTGGCGCCCTCTTCGCTTTCTTCGCGTCTCGGGGATTCGTGTCTATACGTGCGGAAGCGTCAGTATATGCTTCCTCTCGAAGCACAGAAGGAGACAGTATAAGCGGTGATGCGAGGCTGTCGAACGGTTCTGCTGCAAGAGAAGCACTTCCACCAGCAATCAACCCCCCTCTTATAAGCGCTGTGTCTCCTTACTCGACACTCTACCACTTAGCGAGATGTTTGCCGACAAAAGCATCTAGACGCTTCCGCTCGTGAACAAGACTGATGTGCGCTTTGGCCATTCTGTCCCGTTCGATGAGAAGAAAGAAGAACATCGACGTACCTGATCGTAAGAGTGGCGCGGCGGACATCTTCAGCGGTCCCTTGCGAATGTTCGCGAAAGCTGTTTTGCCATCCATGGTATTGCTGTGGTTGTAACAGTTGTGGGGTGGTTGCAGCTGGAGTAGTGTCGTGAAGGTTGGGGATGATTGCGCGGTCGTTGCGCTGGGTCGGTTGCTGTGTTGTGTTGACTGTTGTGTTGTAGAGTAGTGATTGTAGTCGAGAAGGTAAGAAGGTGATCGAGGTCAGTGTTAAATTCGTGGAAATTGATCAAGGTGAAACTGTCTTGTTCGCACATGAAGTCATGTCTCTCCAACCGCAGAATTCACCCAAGACAAACTTTCAAGGCAAACAAAAGGTTCTCACCCACCAATAGAAACCCGCTTTCTCAAACAATCAATTCATTCCTCTCCATATCTCATCTAAAGTAGGTAAGGTACTCACATCCGTCCCACTTCCCTCTACGACACCACCGGCGTACTCGCCTTACTCCGATCCAACCTCGCCTTATCCGCCTCATCAGCAACATCAGCAGCAACCTCCGCCGACCGCTTATCCCCCGCCTTCTCCCCCTCCCCCTTCGCCCTCTCCTCCGCCTTTCCCAGCCCGTCTGCATCGCTCGACCCGCCCATCTTCGCCACCACTTGCTTCACAACCTCCACCGTCGGCGCCGGACCACCTGGCTCGGACGCGAGGACCTTGCCCTGCTTATCGACGACGAAAACGCCGCGAGTGGTCTTGTTCCCCTCCTTCTTCAGCCCAATGGCTCCGATGAGGGTTTGCTCTGGGTCGCAGAGGAGGGGGTAGGGCAGTTCCTGCTTCGTTTTGAACGAGGTGTTCGCTTTCGGGCTGTCATTGCTCAAGCCGTAGATGCTCAGCCCAGTAGCGGTGAGGGGTGCGTAGGCGTCGCGGAAGAGGCAGGCTTGTGTCGTGCCTTGTTCAATGAACCCTTATCAGCGATCGGTCTGCGGGGACGGGGGAAGTAGGGGTGGGTGTGCTTACAACCAGGCGTGCTCGCCTTTGGGTACGTGAACAGCACAACACCAGCTTTGCTATCTTCTACCAGTTTCGCGAGGGTGACTTTGGTTTCGTCATGAGTTTGGACTTCACCGCCGAAGCCTGCGAGGGTGATGGTGCTGCCGACCGGAGGCGCTGAGGTGCCGTTCTCCATCTTCGTCGGAGCAGCTGGTGAGACTTCCTTCTTCGCTTTGGGTTTGGCGGTGGATTTCTTCTTGGACGGTGGTGCTGCAGAGGGTGGAGGAGCAGGACGCTTTCGGAGCTCGACCATGGCTGCTTTTCACGAGAGGGAAGGCGCGATGACGCTGCAAGGGAGAAGCTCTTGCCGTGATGGAGCTCTAGAAGGAACTGTTGCTTCTTCAAAATATAGCCTTACGATTTGACTTCAGTTGCACAAAACTCTGTGCAACGTGAGAAGAGAGGTCCTACAGAGCGCCTCACCGTATTCAGCCATCCCACTTTCTACGGACCTTGCTCTCGAGGGTCTTGCCGATGGCGCAAGAAGAGGAGATTGTGGAGGTGGCAGGAAGCGATTGAAGTGGCGCATTCTTCAACCCTGCAGCGGAGGAAGAAAGGCACGAGCCGCCAGGCCGTCAAAAGGCAGTTTGAAGCGCCAGTCCGTTGAACAACAACGTCACCCAAGGACGAAGTGGACGGTCCACGGAAGGTCAGACTTCTACTAGGCAATGGAAAAAAAGTCAGTCATCATGGAGCAAGATGATGACATGTATGTTGAGAAGGCAAAGCGCAAGCAAAAAGATGAAGATAGAGGTCAATGAAGCTTCCTGGGCGAAGTACCTGCGTGCTTCGAATCGTGAGTAAGAAGTTGCGCAAAAACCAACAGACAGACGGCATCGTTCTGCCCTCCACAACGCGGGAGACACTGTACAAACCCTGAGAATAACACTGGCCGAATAATATGAGCGTTCAGAGGATCGAGTCCTCGTCTCGGGGGCCACAAGACTGAACAATCATCTCAACTGGCCCTGGTATACTCTACGACTTCTGGGGATGACTCTTCACATCACCGCCGCCGGATGTGGTCTGCGGAAACGACCTCAAATGCGCCTTCTACATGCCATCTACGAACGCTTGTCAGCAAGGCGCCCTAGAAACACCGGATACGGACGTAAGCGTTGTTGCTGCTCTGCGAGCTCTGTAGCAACGATAGGCATCTCGGTACAACTTTCAGCACTACTTCGCGGGCGGAGGTTGCAAACAACGACATCCGACTGTGTCGTGACCGATGCTGACGCAGTGGGAATGACGAACGAATGTGAGTGAACACAGCAAGCGAAGTCACGAGAGTTTGTCATCCATCGGTTGGTATGTCGAAGGACAGAGTAGGTACAGACAGCAAGGATGAAGATATATCAATACACTTCCCAACTACTCCAGAGCGACCAAAGCCTCGTCATCTCAACACCAATCCGCCAAAGCAGCACTCCTTCGCAACCACACGTCCATCGCAACACCATTTTTGCGAACCATGGCCTCCCGAACCCCCATTACAAACGTTGTCGTCCTAGGCGCGACCGGCAACATCGGGGTGCCCATCGTCCACGCCCTCCTCGCCCATCCTCACCCCTACACCATCACAGCGGTGACCCGCTCTCCCGCCACTGCCGCCTCGCTCTTCCCCTCCCAAGTCAAAATCGCCTCATCCGACCTCTCCCGTCCCTCCCTCCACTCCATCCTGCAGGGCCAAGACGCCATCATCTCCTGCGTGACCAGCGGCAGCGTCACTACGCAAAGGGACATCATCGACGTCGCCATCGAGTGCGGCGCGCGTCGGTTCCTGCCGTCGGAATTCGGCATGGACTCCGCCCATCCCAACGCCGCAGCCATGATCCCGTTGCTCGCCGCCAAAGTCCCCATCATAGAATACCTGCAGCAGAACCAACATGCCATCTCCTGGACCGCAGTCATCACCGGCATGTTCTTCGACTGGGCCCTGCGCAACCCTTTCCCGCTGGCCTACGACATCCCCCGTCGCAGCGTCACCGTCTACGACACCGGCGACTATGCGCACGAATGCACGAATTTGGCTAAGATAGGCGAAGCAGTCGCTGCGGTCCTGTCACCAGAACACGAAGCAGAGACGCGGAATCAGTTCGTGTATGTGAACAGTTTCACCACGACGCAAAACGCCGTGCTTGCGGCCTTGGAGTCAGCGTCCGGGGAGAAGTTCGAGGTGGCTAGGGATATGACGAAGGGGTTACGGGAGAGGATGGTAGTGGCGAGGGACAAGGATGCGCGGGATCCGGTGGCGGGGCTGGGGTTGATTGTGGCTTCGTTTTTCGGGGAGGGGGGTTTGAATGAGTATTCGAGGAAGGGGCTGTGGAATGAGCGGTTGGGGTTGAAGGAGGAGGTGATGGAGGAGACGGTTAGAGAAGAGGTGGGGAGCTGGCGGAGGGGCGGCGTGGATGATGTTGGGAGGACGAATCGGAAGCCTGGTCAGGCAGAGTAGTTGAACATGTACAGATGCATGTGTACTCGATCATTGTCTGCCTCTTTTCCTATGTATACTTTTACAACTTACTCTTCAACTCCCCACTCCCATCCTTCCTGAACAACGTCTCGCTATTCGGATACGGATCCACCGTCACCCTATTCAACGGGTTCAGCTCACTAGCCCGGTAGAACATATCCTCGTACACCTTCCCGTCCTGCCGGCCCAAACTGCTATCAAGCTGCCAGTCCGGGAAATCCCACGAATCCACCAGACGGACAGCATGCGGACGGATCTCCTCCAGCAACTTCATCACGGCACTGCTGCGCGCGAGCTGGATCTGGCGGACTGTGACAGCCGCAGAAGTGTAGAACTCCGACGCCTCGGACTCGAGAGTGTGGAGGGCGTAGAGGCGGAAGAGCTTGTGCATCAGGCCCTGGGTGTCTGGGTCGAGCTCGGAGCTGGTGGAGGAGGCTTGCAGCGTTTCGTAGAAGGACTTGACGACCATATACTGGCTGTGCGCTTTGCTCAGCTGGTAGAAGTCGACCAGCAGACTGTTCCACGACCGCTTCTGCTCGTCACGATGCTTCAGTGCCTCGAACGTGAGGAAGGCCGAGCGCCAGGCGAAAGCAGACACGACGTCGGCATCGTCGCCTAGAATGTCAAAGGCTGCGCCTTGGTCTTGGCGGGAGAGGAAATAAGAAAGAATGGCGGTGGTGTCGTTGGTGGGTTCATTGCCCTTGAGCACCGAGCGCGCGGATTTGAGCAGGTAGCGCGCCACTTGCTGCGTGAGCATGTAGTTGTCGCCTTCCCAAGTGGCGGTGGGGAGGTAGTCGGCGTAGTAGGAGCCGATGCCAGAGAAGGAGCTGTAGCCGTGGCCACCGCAGGCGCGACGGCAGACTTCCAGGCCTTCGGCGGCGGTGGAGGAGGCCAGGGACTTCAGGCCGCAGCTGATGGCGTGCAGGTCGGAGAGTAAGTCGGATGACGACTCGGTCTCTTCTGGACCAGCGCCTCGAGCGTGATCTTTGCTGGCTTCCTTACTCTGCCGGATCTTGCGGTTGTTGGCCTCGTACAACTGCATCATGCCTTTGCCGGTGAAGTGCAGAGCGAAGGTGGCGGCGAGCAGAGGCAAGAGTCTGATCTGTACCATCGTGTAGTTGAGCACTTGATTCTCCCCCTTCTCCCATTCCGGAGCGTCACGATCCTGGAACTGCCGTCGGACAGCACAGTACCTAGTAGCGATGGTGACACCTCGCGCCAGGACGCCACCAGCCTGCATGACGATCGTCGACCGCACCCAGGTCAAGGTGCCGTACACCAGCGAGGGCGACGAGGGTCGGATGTATTGGTTGGTCTTCGGGTCGACCGAGCTGAAGCGGGACAGCATGCCAATATGCGGAATCTTGACGTTGTTGAAGAGCAGGAAGCCATTGTCCATCGTGTTGTACCCAAACTTCGGTCCAATGTCACCAATGTGGACTCCCTCGAGCGGCTGGTGCGTCTTCATATCCCGGATGTGCACAACGAACGGGTGTGGACCGTATCTCTTCCCGGCAATCACAAGCTGCGCCATAACAACCGCATGGTTGGCCATCCGCCCCAGACTCCCAATCCACCACTTCGACGCCGTGAGAGAAGGCGAGTGCAACGTGAACGTTTTATCATCTGGATTCCACGTCGCTGTCGTCTCGAGCCCACGCACGTTCGAGCCATGGCCCAACTCCGTCTGCGCGTAACATCCAATGTACTCGTAGTTCTCCGCTGGCTTGAGGAACTTCTGATGCTGCTCTGCCGACCCTTGATCCCGGATCGTGATCAAGAACATCGACTCGTGCAGTCCATACGGCAATGGCTCGGAGATGAGCTCGTTGGCCACCTGGCGTTCCTCAGTGCCCCAGTTCTGCTCGACGTACAGCTGTCGGAGTCGCTTCGCACGTTTGAGGGCGGTCTCGAAACGGTCGATGCGGCCGGCGAAGTAGTTCTGGCTCTTGTCGAAGGCCTTTTCGCTTTCCAGCACTTTGAGGATGCGCTTCTTTCGCTCACGTCCATCTTTGGTGTGCAGGAAGGTTGCCAGTTGGTCGACGTTGACGTTGCTGGCGTTGCGTTCTTCCTTGAGGAGTTCGGAGCCCTGTGGGCCGGAGGGCTTGAGGTCGCGGACCCATTGCGGTGTTTGGGACATTGTGTTGGTTGATGGTGGATGACAGGAGAGTTGGTGAGACGGAATGCTCATACAATAAATAAGGTCCTTGGATGACGCTCTGTTTTGGCCTCGGCTGCCTCGGCTTGTTGGAAATGTTCGAAGCTCTCCGGCTCCAGCCGATGTAAGAGCAACAGCAGGCGTAATATCTCACTGACAACGACAAATACTACGTTCACCCACTTGATAAGACAATGAGAAGATGCTCCCTCGAAGGCTAGCTTGAGCGATCACGTCGAGGTAATTCAAAGGGGGGCTTCAAACGCTACTGGAGTTACCCCTCTAAGCATTCCCGAAAAAAAATGCAAGTAAACTTGATTCAGCTTTGCATGCTGTCTACCGCCACTCATCCTCCTTGTGGTGCGGCCACTGCGGCCAATTCGTAATATCCTCCTTCCTCCACGTCTTCGGCGTAACAGGCGTGTAAGCTGAACTAGGCGTATACGGACTCTCGATCTCAAAATGCCCAATCGGCGAATAAGGCGTTGGAGGCTCGTACGGCTCTGGAGGTTGTTCGCCAAAGGTTGGTTGTCGAGGGAGCTCGTAGTCGGTATACCCAGGCTGCTGGCCGAAGTTTGGATGGGGATAGGGTTCTCTCTCAGGTTTGTATTTCCTTCGGTTTCGGCAGAGGGCCACGCAGCCGCCAACGCCAGCACAGACCAGGATGATGGCTACGACGACGATGGCGTAGGGGATGGTCATTCGGTGGTTGTGGGCGAAGTTGAAGCCGACGCCGCCGTTGATTAGGCCTAGGAGCATGATGGAAGGCCCGAGGAAAAAGTGTATCCTTCCGATGGGTGTCGGCTTCTTCGTGCGGACGTATATTGAGTGATGCACCAGGCCTAAGCCAAGCTGAATGAACAGTCCTGCCAGGACGATCAGGCCAAGTACCTGATGCCCGGAGCTGTAGTTTTTGGACTGGCCATCGTTAGCCTCGTCCTTGCATGCTCGTCACCTTGAATCGTCTTACCTTATTGTACTGTCTTGCCACGTTAATCGCAACGCCAAACCCACCCAGGACTGCAACAAAACCAATACTCTGGATAGCAGCATGCCATAGAGTTTTCTTCAGGAACTGCATAACCAGCGCTCCAGCGGGGAAAAGAATCACGAACGCAAAGCACATCAACACAGCATGTGCAGTTGGCATGGGATTGTTCATCGTATCGACGTTATATGGCGGAGCAGTCCCAAAGGTGGCAAATGCTGTATCGTCCGGAGGAAACACAAAATCAGGAACATTCGGTGCCGGTACCCGTCCATACCAGCCAGAGTAATTCGTCGCTTTCGTCATATCAGTCGTGAATTGGCCGTACAGCGCATGCCGTGGTATGCTTGCTTCCACGGAGTCGCTCCTGAATTGCTTCTGCGGTCCAAGAGCAAAGATCATGGGCTGCTGGATATTCTCTAGGTCCAGAGATCCTGTCGGCCATTTCGTACAGTTACGGCACACAGAGTGGGCGATAATGACTCCCGTCCCATCATCCGTTACCTTGTTGGCGTTCGGGGCATAGGTATCATTGAAGACACCCTGGATCTCGTAGCCCGAAGTCCAGACTGGTTCTGTGTGCCCGGATCCCAACCGCGTGCTGATAGTCGTATCGAGGCCGTTGTCGCTGGGATATGCAACGATCATGAAGGCGTCTTTCATACTTGATCCAAAACCGATGCCTAGCCAAGTATGAAGGACCGGTCCGGACATGTGGAAATAGATGTCGCCGGTATCCGCCACCACATTCAGCGCGAAGACGTATAGAGAATTGCCATTCACCTGGAAGTTGAAGTATGATGCCTTGGCGTCGTAGTCGATGCCATAGTTGGCCTCAATTCCAGCTATCCAGAGCGGAAGTGCCAGTATCGTCGCGCCCGCAAAGCGCATAGTCGCTCAGGCCGCACTATCGCGCCAGAGACACACACTCGTCGATCCAGTCCAGTAGCTCCTGGCCGGCGAGCACGCTGTCGAGTATAGGGAGGCGGTCGCAGGAGGTCGAGGAGTGATAAGCTCGGCATGGCAGCACGAGACGGCCATTTTCCAGCGTCCCGTGATACCGCTTGAGTCCCACCAGCGTAATCGTGCAGCCGCGCGCATCGTCCTGCGAATCGACACGCTGCCGCCGGCCGTTTTCAAGGTCGGCTAAGGACTGCAGCTGAGAGGCTTGTGTGGGTGTAAGTTGATGATTGGCTGTGAAGCTGTCGCGGAGGAATTCAGCAGAGTGGAGTCGCGGGATGGCCGGGTCGAGCCTGCCATCTTCCCGAGACTCCCTGCCTCCAAGCATGCTTCTACTACAACATCTTGGAGAATTTCAATCATTTTGTACGGAAGACTGTCTGGGACCCAGGCTAAGGTAAAGCGCAAGTGCAATGATCAGTCGTTTAAGTCCCAATGCCCCGGCGAAGGCTTCCTTATACCCACTCCTGAAAGACATTGTTTTCCCAAGATATTTCATACAAGGCGTTTCCCAGCCGTGTTTGCTACATGCGCTACATAAAATCTCATCAGGCGCTTCTCCAAGCACTCGTCCGTTAGTCAGCGAGTATCCGTCGAGACACATGTACCTCCTACTTCATCTTCGGCTGTTCACAGTTAGCATAACATCCAACTTCCCCCAGGACATCATCTTCTTACCCTCTCCAACTTGGTATCGAACCCCATCACCGGCTTCGGCTGATACAGCTCCTCGAGATACCTTTCCTCCTCCTCCGTCAACGCCTTACCATTGGCCTCAATAGCCTCATCCATTCGCTTCACGCTGGAGAAACCAATGATCGGGCTGCTGATACGCTGGTTGCTCCACGCAAGGGCAACGTGGCCCATGGGCCAGCCCTTCTTCTCCGCCAGCTCTTGGACGCGACCGATGATCGCTGAGTCGGTTTCGCTTGGGCTGGGTTTGCCCTCGGATCGAGCGGTTTTGCCTGTCTGGTCCAATGGGCGTGCAAGAGAGCCTTGTGCAAGAGGACCCCACTGCTTTTGGTCAGCAGATGGAAAAAGCCCGAGGGAGCAAAGATACCCACCGGAATGAGTCCAACACCAGTGTCATAGCAAAACCGGTTCATCTCCCTAGGCATGTTCAGCCGAAACCGACACTTCTTGGTGCTCAGAAGGGTGCCTTACCTCTCCTCCTCCCGGTACAGCAGATTATACCACCCCTGCATACTCACAAACTTCGTCCACTCATGCTTCTCTGCCGTCCACTGCATGTTCGCAAACTGCACCGCCCACATACTGGAAGCCCCAATGTACCTCACCTTCCCATACTCGACCAGATCATGCAACGCCTTCATCGTCTCCTCCACCGGCACAGTAGGATCATACCGATGAATCTGCAATAGGTCCACGTAGTCGGTGTCCAGCCGCTTAAGACTCGCATTAACCGCATTAAAAATCCCCTGCCTGGACAACCCCCTCTGATTAACATAATCCACTGTCTGGTCCACATCCTTGGCCGCCAACGTCGCCTCATCATTACCCTCCCTCGTCGTCCCACAGCACTTCGTCATAATCACCAGTTTCTGCCTCGGGATCGAGTACTTCTTCATTGCCTTGCCGATAATCTCCTCGCTTACACCGTTGGAGTAGACGTTAGCAGTATCCCAGCTGTTGATTCCACGGTCGTAGGCCGCTTTGAGAAGTGGCAAGGCGTCGTCTTCTTCGATGACCCAGGGCTGCCAGCGTTTGTCGCCGATACTCATAGCGCCTAGGATTGGGTTGCTAACGCGGAGACCGCTTCGGCCGAGTTGGCGGTAGGTTGCTTTTGGGACGTTCATTGGAGCCATCTTTTAAAATGTGTTTAGTGATGTGTAATCGAAAATTGCAGGCCACAGAAGTACAGGTTTCCAGATATCGAGAAAGTCTAGTATGGTATTGAGAAGGATTCCGACAGTATCTTATATGTGGTTGAGGCGGAGAGTGCGGCCGCTTAACGGGCGAGTGTTATTCAGCGACAATATGAGTCTCCAAAACGGGTACAATGGCAAGAAGGTCGATTAATGTGATTGATTAGATTTGCAGCTTTTGAAGGCACTGTTCACGATGGCTCAATGTTGCTGGATAGAGCTGGAAAGGCAATGTCACTGCTGGAAAGGGAAGCTGCGGTTGCGTCATCGTCGGCGTTTGACATGTGAAAATGTTAAAGCCGGCGCGTTTGATGATTCACGACACTTTTCCTGATCTTGACCTCATTGATCTGGACTTCAATACTCTCCTACCCCGACTTCTCGAAACTGAAGAGCCTGCGCGACGATCTGGTAGATTTCAGCAGCATGTCGTCTCGAGCTTTGCGGAAAGCGCAGCGAGAGCGCGAAGAACAGGAGCAGTCCGCAAAGCTACAAGGTGAAGAGGAGCAGCAGAGCGAGGATGAAGGTGTGAGCGCGCAACCGGCGAAGAAGAGCGCCTTCGCCATGCTGGCGGAAGAAGAAGTAGCAGAGGATGAGGACGGTGGTGCCGGGCAGGATGAGGCCGACGAGGCGTCAGATCACGCTGTGGCAGAATCAATACCGAAGGCACCTAGCAAGAAGAAGAAGAAAAAGAAGAAGGACAAGGGCAGCGCTGGGACACCTGTGGCGAAGAGTGGGGACGAGCAACTGGACGACATCGACAGGGCGCTTAAGCAGCTGAGCATGAATGGCAACACCACACTACCAGCCTCAACTGCCACAGGCGTCAACGTGGAAACGGAGGAGACGTCGAAGTTGCTCGCGATTGAGACAGCACACCTGCACTCTCAAAATGAGATGCGCCGCCTCTTCGGCCGTGCAGCCCTCGAACACCGTGATGACGATGACGAGGGTGCGCAGGGTAATGCCAATGTCGGTGGCAATCGAAGGCAGCAGAGAAGAGTACAGCAGATGGGTCTTGCACAAGCACTTCGTGGACAGCAGGGAGGTGGAAGAGCAGGTGGTCTTGCTGCCATGGCATTACGGCGGAACATCTTCATTCAAGGCAAGGAGGAGTGGCCTAACGCGACGAGCGGCGGGCTCGGCATGGAGATAGAAGAGAAGCGCGCAGACGGTACAATACTGTATCGCTACGTACATAACACTACGTACAAGGACGTGCAGAGGCAGTTCGATATCGCGGTGGAGTCGATGGACCCTAATCGGCTGGTGGTCCTCCTGCAGCACAATCCTTACCACATCGCCACGCTGCTACAAGTCTCAGAAATAGCCAAACAGGAGCGCGACCACACCGTCTCCGGCGATCTTCTCGAGCGAGCTCTGTTCTCTTTTGGCCGCGCGGTGCACAGCTCTTTTGCAAAGACACTGGCGGCGGGCAAGGCGAGACTGGACTTTAGAAGGCCGCAGAACCGGGAACTGTGGCTGGCAAGCTGGCGTTACATGCAGAACCTCTCCATGCGAGCGACATGGCGAACGGTATATGAGTGGGCGAAGCTTTTGCTGCAGCTGAGTCCTGAAAAAGATCCATACGCAATGTGGCTTGTTCTGGATCAATATGCCCTCCGTGCGCGGCAAGACCTTGACTATCTCAACATCAGCCGCAGCCCGATCTTCAAGGATGCCCTACGCTCCAAGCCGAATGTTCACCTTGGTCAAGCTCTCGCTGAGTGGCGGGCCGGCAATAAGAGCAAAGGCCAGCAAGCGCTCTTCAAGGCCATCGGACAGTATCCATGGGTCGCGGCGAGGCTGATGCAAGAGCTGAACCTAGATCCTCCGCCAGCTGTCTGGGGCAAGGAGCCTAGGACGAAGCGTGAGAAGTTTGAAGCAGAGCTGTATGCCACTAGAGCGAAGGACCTATGGGCTACTCCGGAGGCGAGTGGTCTGCTAATGGAGGTTGCTTCTGCTCTGCCACCAGACGTCCAGCCTGCAGAAGTCGATGTAGAAGCTGGTATCACTGAGAGTGAAGCACGGCATGTTTTGCTCTCGGATACTCCTGCAATCATTGCCTTGATACCTCGCCACTACACCGAGCAGCTTCAATCATCCTCCGACCCTTTGCCACCATCCGACACCTACGATCCGGCCGTTCAAAAGGCCAACCGCAATACCTATACCATGTCAGCCGCAGAGGCTCAAGCCGAGCTTGCGGATCAGCAGAGATGGTTTCGAGAAGCCTTCCCTGCAGGCGAACGGGACCCCATAAACATGGTTCAAATCGCCCACGACAGGTACATGTTCGAGGAGATGGCGCGAAGATTGGCGCGAATCGGTAGCCTGCTCCATGCACTTCCGCCCGAATTGCAGGACGTTGATGCTTTCATCGTTAGGGTTTTGGATCACTTGATGGGTAGTATACCGGCCGCAGGCGTAGCTGACGAGGGAGAGGAGCTGTCCGATGAAGATGACCGAGGGTTGCAGGCGAGAGTCGACGATGTGGCTGATCAGGGTGACTGACCGGTCCGCGAGGTCCTCTTCAACACCTAAGCACTCATCCATCCCGCCACGAGTGTCGAAAGCACGACATCAATCTTCCTGATACCCAAACCCCCTTAACCCAACAAACGCCTTTGGCTTCTGATGTCGATTTTCGATGCCTTCCACTCGGCCCACGCGGAGGTTCAGAGCGATATCGTTCCAGATCTTCCGGTCATGGAACGTCCACCACTGCCACGAGCAGTCTTGGCCACCGAAGCCTTGGATGATTTGCTGGCCGCCGGGGTGTCTGCGGACGTAGGACGTGCAGTCCAGGACGAGGTTGTCGATGACGATCCCTGGACGCCGTGTCAGTTTGCGAAGCAGCCCCGTTGATGAAGGTCCGTGAAGAGACAAAGAAGGGGCACGTAGGTGCGTACGTACAGAGTCTTCTACCTTCCTTCCCATCTTTTTCTTTGACTTCTTTCGGCGGTATGGTAGGTAAGTCCTTTTCTGGTACTCGTTTGGAAAGAATGGGGTATGCCTTGTCGTTATTCGACTCGTCCTCTGTTATCTCGATATGTTCGGCATCTGACTCGGTCTTCTCGTTGGCTTCTGGCTCGCCAAATGGCTTTGCGGATGCTGTGTTGTTGGCGCGGATCCAGCCCATGTTGGCCTATACGGCGCTTTCGTTTCGAAATCGATGGCCGGAAAGATTTACCAAGACGCAAACATGTCCTGTACCCAAGGCTGCTTTCCTGCTGTCGGACGTGGATCTCGCAGTCGGCGCAGCGCTGTGCCTGTGGGTCGCAGAGTATCATCAACGATCAATACCTCTCTGAAACTTGAGCGCAAAATCTTACTGCCACTCCGCCGTGACAGCCTATGCGGTCGTTCGGCTATACACTATTCCCGCCCTCTCGAGCTCCCCACGCGCAACCCCGCAAGCTTTCGTCCGCACGTTCGTCACGATCCCCAGATATCAACCAATCGAAGGCCGTCCGTCTCGACTACATACACATTCGGTACTCAATCCGCTTGCCGATTATCCAGAAGAAAGTGCTCTCTCCATCCTGTGGGCCTCAGGAAATGCGATGGTGGGACAGCATCCGACAGTTCGGATCTCCTGTTCGTCGTTGCATTACCGATCGACTGCGACAGAGCGATCAGCTAGTCATGCCCGTCTCGCATCGTCCGCCGACGTGCGCAGGAGCAGCATTGCGGTCTCACTGCAGCCCCGCAAGACGTAGCTGTGACCTAACAGCAGATCCCATACCAAGCTCGATGGAGCAGGTAGGCTGTCGCTCCGGCAGAAGTCGTCAGCCTTTATAAGTTTTGTTTGCGACGGTAGGTCAAGCTGTCGGACAGCTCTCCTCTACCACTGCCTTCTCCTACCACAAGCATTGTACAGCTGAACATCATGGCTCCCTCTGCGGTGGACAGCCGTGGCATGATGGTCAACGGCATCAACGGCCATACCAATGGCGCAGGAGGCAAGGTCGACACAATGAATTCTCATGACTATGTCCAGTGGGATCCGTCACTAAAGCCGAAGAACTATACGATGAAGGGCACAGACCCCAACAGCAAAGTCCTGTTTCGAGACGTCAATATCCTCGACAGCACGGGAGCCAACCCGTTCAAAGGAGATGTCTACATCGAAGGTATGGACGGGACTCACACACCGTCTCGCAAGACCGACCACTGATCAACACCACAGGCGAGCGCATCAAGCACGTTGGCGAGGTCCCTGACATCGAGAACATCGCCAAAGACCCAAAAGTCAGGACGATCAATGGGCGTGGCAGAACATTGATGAGTGGTCTCGGTGACTCGCATGTGCATTTCAGCTGGAACAACGGCGATCTTGGTCGTCTGGGCGAATTGGGAACAGAAGAGCATACACTCCTCACTGCTCGGTCAGCACAATGCTATATCGACAGTGGGTACACCATGTGCTACGGCGCCGCATCCGCGAAGGAGAGGCTAGACGTCGTGATCCGCGATGCCATCAACGAAGGCTCAATACCTGGGCCAAGATACCTTGCAAATGGCAAGGAGATGGCTGTCCCGGACGGCGAGCTCGTACCCGGCATCACTGCTTTTGCCAAAGGTCCGCTAGAAATGCGAGAAACGATCCGACATCACATCGCTCTCGGTGTAGACAACATCAAGCTCAGCATGTCCGGTGAGCAGATCACGGAGACAAGAGATGCGCAGGATTGCTATTACACCGACGAAGAAACGGCAGCCTGTGTCGACGAAGCGCACAGACATGGCAAACGACTATGTGCTCATGCGAGAGCAAGAGACAGTGTCAAGATGTGCGTCAAGCATGGGGTCGATATCATTTACCACGCTTCTTGGATTGATGAAGAGGGCATGGAGATGCTGGACAACAACAAACACAAGCATATGGTCGCACCTGGCATCAACTGGTTGATTGCCACTCTCTACGATTCCGCCGCGTTTGGCTACAGCTTCGAGAAAGCAGAACAGGTCGGATACAAAAAGGAGCTGGACGTTGCCATCAAAGGTTTGAAGGAGATGCACAGGCGCGGCATCACAGTTCTGCCAGGCGGCGACTATGGTTTCGGCTGGACGCCACACGGAACGTATGCGCGAGACCTGGAACACTTCGTCAAACTGTTGGACTTCACACCCATGGAATCGATTGTCGCAGCAACCGCCGGCGTAGCGAAGCTTTTCATGCGCGAAGACGAGCTTGGGAAGATCAAACCCGGCTACTTTGCAGACTGCATTCTGGTCGACGGCAACCCACTGGAGGACATCTCGGTCTTGCAGGAGCATGACAAGCTCAACATCATCATGATCAATGGCCGAATGCACAAGGCTTCCTACAAGGAATTTGCGAGGTTCGAGCAGCCGCAGCCTGTCATGGAGCCTAGGCAGTCGGTCAAGCTTGACCACTTCGTTGCATATCAGCTGGATGATGGTACTGGACGCACGCGGATGGGCCATCTCGATGAGAAGAACGGGACAATCACGCCTCTGGCATTCGAGAGCGGTACGCCAATCGAGAATCTCTACCAGATCATTGAGGTTGGGGAGGACCACATTGTAGCCAGCGGTGAGCCTTTCAAGGTTGACGAGAACGTCAACGTACTGGCTCCGATCTCTGGCAGAGATATAATCGCCATAGGCAAGAACTACACCGAGCACACGAAGGAGATCCCACAACTCTCGAAGGGCTTCGGTGAGGGTGTTCCAGAGTGTCCGATCGTGTTTACGAAGCGAGCGACTTCCATCATTGGGAACGAGGACGACATCCTCTTGCACGAGAATTTTACCAGCCAACTGGACTATGAGGGCGAGATTGGTGTCATTGTTGGTAAAGGCGGCCATCAGATCTCCGAGGCGGACTCGATGCGCCATGTGTGGGGATACACGATTATTAATGATGTCAGTGCTAGGGAGAAGCAGAAGGCGCATGTGCAGGCATATATTGGTGAGTGTGGCGGCTGTGATCTGGTGACAAGCTCTGACTATCCTTATAGGCAAGAGCGCCGACTCGTATTGTCCAATGGGCCCACTGGCTCTCCCAAAGGCCGCGCTGCCGCAGAAGCTGACGGTGACGACGCATGTCAACGGCGAGAAGCGTCAAGAGGGAACAACGGACCAACTCATCTTCGGAATCCCCAACCTCATCAAGACACTCTCAGACTCGCAAACACTTCGACCCGGCGACGTCATTGCCACCGGCACTCCAGCTGGCGTCGGGATGGGTATCAAGCCAGAGCCGAAGTATCTCAAGCCCGGTGATGTGGTCGAGATTTCGGTCAGTGGCATCGGTACGCTGCGAAACAAGATCGTCAAGGCGGAGCCCGACAATTACGTCTCGACTCGGGTAGAGCAGGAGACCAATATTCCTATCAACAATCTATCAATCACGTATGGAGGCCTCGGTCTTACGACGTTACCGAGCGGCAAGAAGCTAAACGCAAAGAAAGTTGGAGGTGGTCCGCAGTCGATCATCTTCGTTCATGGCTTGGGCGGCGACATGAGTTACTACACTCCCGTGATGAACTCTCTCGGTCTGAACAAAGAGGACCACTCCCAGTACACCAGCTTGCTCTTCGATCTGGAAGGTCACGGCATGTCTCCGACCAAGGCAAGCTCGAAGCTGAGCATAGGCAGCTACGCGCAGGACATTGACGAGCTCATCAAGGCCTTCGACATCGCCACCCAGCAAGGTGTCACGCTGGTGGCACACTCGATGGGCTGCCTTGTGGCATCTCTGTTCGCTTACCAGCATCCAAACATGGTGAACAAGCTCGTCCTCATCGGCCCGCCGCCCTGCCCACTCCCAGGCCCAGGAGCCGACGGCTGCATCAAACGCGCCGCCACCGTGCGAGCAGAGGGCATGCGCAATGTTGCCATGACCGTAGCCACCGCCGGCACATCAGAGAAGACCAAGTCAAGCCGCCCGCTCGCCTTCACAGCCGTACAGATGAGCTTGTTCGCTCAAGATCCTGAGGGTTATGCTAAAGGCTGCACCGCCCTTGCTGGTGCAAAAGACCTCAACAGCATCGACTTCTCGCGGCTGGGACAGAGCTGCAAGTCTCTCATCATTACGGGAGAGGAGGATAAGATCTCACCGCCGGCGCATGTCACGAAGCTTGCTGAGACGATGAATGCTAGCAAGAGCGTCTTGACGGATGTCGGGCATTGGCATGTCTTTGAGGACGTTGAGGGGGTCGTTGGAGCGATGAAGAGCTTTCTGGGCTGATCACCCTGCGCCAGACCATGAGTTGCTCAAGGACAATGGCAAAGTAGTGGTTTTGCCATCTTTTCTAGCGATGGCGTGCGCAAGAGAAGAAGGGCTAGCTCTAGGTTCGTTCCTGGCGCTGTTGATGTACCTATATGTAGCTGTTACTAGGAACGATTTCCTGTACCGATAGCATTAGGTACGCAGTCCTGTAGCATCGATTACCTCTCACCAGCCCCAACAAATCTACGACATTACCTGCAACGTCTCGCACCCCGGATCTGTTACGGGGATAGACCTGCTAACGGGATAGTGCCGTCTGGGGATCGACAAGGTTGGATCCGGGGCGACTTCCTCGCCTGCCCTGTCTTTAGCGTGACCGCTTCCAAACTCACGGAGGGACCATGAATCGTACACTCTTGGCCAACCCATCTCTTGTCCAACAGCAGGCTTTCAGTCCTGATGCTGCATACGCCGTCCGACTCCGCGACTCATGAGCCCGCAGATTGGGCCTCTAACCTGGCTGCTGGAAGACCTTTGAACACATCCCCCCTGACAGCTTGCATCCACGAAGGATGATGCGTTAACATCCCGTCTTTCAAGCTGGTCTGCATGACCGCGGTTGAACCCTCATTGCTGCAGACGGTCGCGGAGGGCAGTGGTTGGTGTTCGAGTCAAGCAATCATGATCGTCGAGGGAAGCTGCCTTATGCTGAAGGATCCTGCGGACTGCTCTCTACTACTGGCTTCTCCCGCCTTTGCAGAGTTCAGCCAGTGTCTCGAGGGTTGGCACATGTCTTCATGATGGGCGAGATATTTGCACAAAGGTAGGCGACTTCAGATAAGTGTACAGATCTGCTTTCTGCTGCTCTTCACGTTGGTTTCCGATTTCTCCAGCTCACTGCCGCGATCATGAAAGAATGTCGAGCACTTCTCGCCGTCCTGCTCTGCTTGTCCACGTTGACCGCGCAGGCAGTGGCGAAGAATGCAACTCAAGCAGAGGTAGAAGCGCTGGAGCATGTGCTACCGCAATGCAGCGTAAGCTTTCGATTACACCTCACATCACTATGTCCAACACTGACGGTCCTGACTGTGCAGGTCGAATGCCTCACGAATCTAGCGCCTGAACATGGCTGCTCGCCAGGCGATACCAAGTGCACATGCGCCAACGCCGAACTCAACGCTGCCGTGGCCGCGTGTCTGGGCGAGACTTGCACTGTTAAAGAGACCTTCATCACGCTGAAGCACGCTTCCACCGCCTGCGGAGCGCCTGTCAGGGACCATGGACAACTCACAAGAGTAGTCTGCTGGTCGCTGTTCTCGTTGTCCGTATTAGCAGTCGGGCTTAGGTTCGCTGCGCGGTCACCATGGTTCAATGGCCCAGGTTACGGAATGGACGACTACTGCATGCTCGTTGTGCTTGCTTTTCTTGTACCGCATGAAGTTGGCTTGGAGATCAGTATGCTTGACAATCAATTGCTAGAAGGAAGAGCAGCTGACAATCTCAATCAGTGGTACAAAGCGGCCTTGGTCAGGACATTTGGATGCTGGCTCCCAACTGGCATGCCATTACGACGATTTTTAGGGTACGCATACTCCTCCTACGGCTAGACCGTTCACGGAATGGGACTGACCTTTATCGCATTAGTTCTTCTGGGTCGGCGAAATGCTGTACCTTGTGATAATCATGTTCACCAAGGTGGCGATTGTTTTACTCTACCTACGGATCTTCCCAAGCTCCGTCACCACTTGGTTCCGAACAGCCTGCTATACCATCATCGGCGTATGCATCGCTTGCACCATAGGCGTGCTACCCACCGTTGCGTTCGAGTGCAGCCCCATCTCTGGAGTACGTACATAACGAAACCAACATAAGTGGCGCGCCGAGACTGACCTAATCACCAGGCCTACTTGAGGTGGGACGGCGAAACCGAAACGAAGTGCCTCAACACAACCGCTCAAGTCGTCTCAATGGCCGCAGTCAACATCCTCCTCGATCTCGTGGTCTTCATCTTGCCCATTCCAAAGATCATCAAGCTCAACATATCAGCCAACAAGAAGGTCGGCATTTGCTTTACTTTCCTCGTCGGCTTGTTTGTCACGGCTGTCAGCGCTGTTCGTCTCGAGAAGCTCTACAACCACGCGGACACGACGAACCCGACATGGGACCTCAACCCCATCGCCATCTGGAGTCAGGCGGAGGTCAACGTGGGCATTGTTTGCGCTTGTATGCCTAGCTTTGCACGACTGATCAAGCAGTTCTGGAATGCGACCATCGGCAGCTTAGCCAGCAAGGTTACTGAGATCACAAGTGGTCGAAGATCGCAGCGGCAGAACGTCGATGGGCAGATTGAGATGAATGGAGAGCGGTTTCAATTGCCTGCCGACAGTCTCGCGAAGACGATGGAGACGTCCGTGTTCAGTCGGAAGATGGATTCGACGGACGAGCTGGAGCTCATGGGCAAGTCATCGCATAGCATGGTTGAGGATGGGTACCACCATAAATACGTACGAGACTGGTAGCACAAAAACCTCATCCTCCTGCACCCCTCACCTTTACCAAAGCCTTCACACCCACCCCATCAACCCAGCCCCCAACCCCACTCCAACAGGCGCAAGAGCCCAATGATTCCACTCCCCGCCCCCAATCACCTCCCTGCTCGCCAGCCCATCAACCCCCACCAAAGCCACACCCATCAACATCATCCCACCCAGCGCCCGGCATCCCTTCCTCTCCCCCTCTCTCGCGCCGCCAAAGAACCATACGCACAGCGAGCTAGCGCCGATGACTACGTCGCGGATCCCGAAGAATCGGATAAGTCCGTAGATCGTTGCTTGGTCTTTGGGAGAGGCTGTTGGGCCTGGCAGCGGGAAATTGAGGAGCGAGAGGCCGAGTTTGGGATTGAGGGTGGCTAGGACGCCAATGGTGAGAGGCGCGAGTGCGAAGACGGCGGCGGCGTGGGCGTAGTATGCGCGCCTGGTATCCGTTGTTTTGGGCGCCATAGCAATCAGCTCTGTTTCTGTTGATGTGTACCTGGCGCAGAAGGCTCAGTGGTGCTTGTCACAGAGTACTAACTCTTGTCGAGGGCTGATAAGTAGGATATACTTTGAGGTATATGTCTCGTGCTGGACGAAGTTCGAGTTGTCAGCTCAATGGGGCTGACCAAGTTTATGCAAGTTGTGCAATTAATGAACAGAGACACAACAGATCTGGAAAGTAAGGAAGACAGCAGAATGAGGCGTGGTGCATAGGAACAGTGGTCTCATTTCTCATCAAATGCATCTTCAAGTCATAAGCAAAAGTATCTTTGCTTTTTCATAGCCCATCAGTAGTCGTCGCCACGAGAAATGACCTCCTTCACATTCGGCCTGAGCAAGATCGTGTGCTCCAGCTGCGCAGTGTAACTCCCCTTGATATCCACCAGCGGCGGGTAATCCTGCACAATACCAGCCTGCACGAGATTGTTCAATCCCAGCAGATACTTATCATGCCCCAGCCTATCCAAGTACCGACGACAGAACGGCAACGTGCCAAAGTTCTTGTCGATCGAACGCAGCAGCGTCTTCGCGCTCGCAACGCGCAGAGCGGCCTTCGGCGCATCCGCAATCTTCGCATAGTGAGACGTCTCCATGTCGTCTCTGACCACACCCTTGCCCGTCGAGCCAAAGGTCTCGATGGCGTACACCTCGCCCTCCTCCATCTTCTCGTTGCTCCCTCCCTTCACGATCGGAACACTTTTTCCCGATGATCCGCCGTGGATGCTGTACTGTCCGATCGTGTGCCCGTTCAGATTCCTAATCGATTTGACGGGGTACGTCTGACCATTGAGCTCGACTTCATAGCTCTCCATAGCCTCCTGGATGCCTTCGCCGATTTCAGAGAAACGTGCGTCGATTCCTGCGAGGCGAACACCAGTGTTCGTGGCGTCCTTGACAGCGGCGAGCAGGTTGTCGTACTGCGGCTGGAAGGCCACGGTCCACGCACTGTCGACGATGCGGCCATTGACGTGGACGCCAAAATCGACTTTCATGACGTGCTCTTCCTTCAAGACCGTCTTGTTGCCCGCGTTGGGCGAGTAGTGAGCAGCGCAGTGGTCAAGGTTGACGCCAGTCGGGAAGGCGACGCCAGCAATGAGGTTGTCGCCCTCTTCAAGACCAGAGTGGCCGGTCAGGTTACGAGTGCCGTTCTCAATCAACTCACAGATTTCCGTCAAGCTCATGCCAGGCTTGATAGCACTATGCGCATACTTCCTGACCTGCTTATGGACTTCTGCGGCCTGGCGGTAATCGCTCAAGAAGTCGCTGTTCATCCGGTCGAGGTGTCGCTTCTCCTCGCTGGTCGTGCGGTATGCGTTCTCATCCTTGTATTCAACCTCCTCGCCGACAGGGTAGGTGTTGTTGGGGAATAGATCCGACACCTTGACTGTTGGTGGGCTGGTCTGTCCCTTTGCAGCGCCGGCCTTCTTCTTCTTGCGCGGCTTTCTCTTTTTCTTCTTCTTCGCAGCGCCCTCTCCCGCTCCGGCATGTCCCTCCTCACCTTCTTCGGCTTCATCATCATCGGAGTTGCCATTTTCTAAGTCGCCTGATGTCACGTTCGGGCCAGTCGAGCCATTCTGCTTCGGCGAAGCCGTTGCGCCGTTGAGCTTCAGGTCGGCCATGGCCTGCTCGGGACTGACGGCCGTCATGATGGATGATTGACGGTGTTGTCGAGGAGAAGGAAGAGAGCGAAAAGCCGGGTGCTGTATGCTTGGGTTGTAGAGCGCAGGGCGTATGCAAGGGTGCCTTAGGCGAAGTGGAGAGCATATGGCTTCATGTTCTGAAAGGTGAGGCAATTGAACGAGCACAGCAAGAGGACTCTCTTTATACGGGAAAATATGTCCCTCTGACTTCTCACTTTGCCTGAGATCGATTCCATGGTCTCACTAAGAAGCCTAGTGGTTCCAGAGCCGTCCGTGTTTCATATTTCAAGATACAACTGACAACTAACAGTATCAGGCGCCGCGTCGAGCAGCTGTTCTGCAAGTGGCACTCCCTCTACCTCCAACCCATTCTGCTTCATTGACCGCCAGCAATAGTCGTGGTAATGTGACCAGCTTTCGCGGGCGGTGTGGACCAGGGGGGGACCGTAAAGCAAGTCCGCTGTCCTACAGCTCTCCAATACCCACTCGTGCCCGTCTCGGGAGCTCTTGCGACTGTGCTTTGTGAACACAAGCAACGCGAAGCAGCCTCGTGACTGAACGTGGGAGCAATTCAAAGGCAGGATAAAACGGTCAACCAGCTGCCGCGGCGATGTCTTGTTGTCGCTGCGCGTGGATGCTGCATTGTCACCCTTGCGCCCGGGGCTTTCAGTCCTCATGATGACGTCGAAGCGTATTCCGCGATTGAAGATTTCGCAGCGAGGGCGCATTTCGACACCCGACCAACATGCAGCATTGAACTTGACTCCCGTAGAGCTGGCGAAACAGCCCGGGGTAGCCGCCAAAATGCTCTCCTTCTCGAAATACTTTTTCCCCTCGTCCGACCAGCAGAAGATAGACTCATCTGGCGAGGATGCAATGATTTCCTTCTGCAATCGCCGGAAAGCTTTGCGCTCTCCTTCGCCATACAGCAGCGGCATGTTGACGTCGAAAATTCCGAGGAGGCTGTAGGCTATATCTTCCGATCGACTAGCTTGCCGTCGCGCGGCCCACCCCATACGCTGAGCGACGCTTGCCAAATGCACTGGTGTTGGACAAAATCTTCTCTGAGACATGGGAGCCACTTCCCCAGCGCTCAGGAACTCCATTGGGATGTGGGAGGCTTCTGAAACATGTTCTGCCAGGTTCTCCAGTGTCCCAACACACCGGAAGTCGGCATTGTAGAAGAGAACGTTCCATGGGGCGAGTAGCTCTTGGAGAGTCCACGCTCGGGTGAACCACGTGCTCCGCTTGAGTTCTTCGACGTAGAATGTTTTAAAGGTAGTTTCCCCGTGGGTCTTTCGAGATTTCAGTTTGCACGTGCAACGTTCAAGGTCGTGGACATCCGGGAGGAAAACAAAACACGTGAAGGAACCTCGATACCACTTGTACATCGAGTTGATAGCTGCAGACATCAGCATGGCGGGTGCGCTTCTCACGCATCGCAGAGGATGCTAACACACCTTCGGACAGTTCAGCACTACTTGACTTATCGATGCAACCTGCGAGAAGATGTCAGCACGAGATATGCACTGGAACGCCCTGGCCATGAGGCATACACGTATCAATCCAGACCCAGTCCAGCCGTTCATTCCAGGCCTTTTCACAAGCTTTCAGGATCTTCGTCCATCCGTACCCTTTGTACCCTCCACTTAGGACCTGAGCCTTCTGTTCGAGAAAGTCCCGGTAGCTCACTTCTTCGTCGCTCCATCGGTGGGAGAGGATGGCGTATGGAGGTATTTTGGCGTCGAAGAAGTCCCTGAAGACAAAATCTTTTGTGTGCAAAAGCCTCATGCTGCTGGGCTAAGCATTGCGTACGCTCAAGAGACAGGCAGATGCAGTCCGATGCAGTAGATTGCGGTGCGTACGCTTGCACTTTCTAGCCGAAGGTGCCGTTTGCTGTCGGATGGCAAGGCTGCGAGCTCAGCTGCGCGATGAGCTTGGTGGCGTGCAGTGGCTACATGTACAATGTACAATGATACATGCGGCCAAACATTCATGCGTAGCACGGCACGAATCTGGCCCCATTTCTGAGAAAAATGTAGTCCACGAAGAGCACTGCCACGAAAGGCGAAGGTTGTTTTTAAATTGCCACCACGCTCATGTATCGAACCAAGCAACCCAACGTTCCGTATTTGCAGTATTGTCCTCCCGACATCCGAACATCTCATTCTCTGAACGAGGCGAAAGTGAGCGTGGCCGCGATGTCTTCATCCGACCATGGCGATGGCAGTCTCCAGTAGGGCAAAGCTTTTGCGGGCCAGATGAAAGGAGTGTTGGGAAACAAATTCGCTTCGAAACTCTCCGCTAAACGCACTGATGAAGAGTATGTGCTGCGCATCCACCTCGGCCTTGACAACGTAGATGTCTGTCTTGCGAGCAGGGTGGCAGCCACCGCTCTCGCCGTGACAGTGGCCGGCGTCCAGGAAGAGATGTCTTCTTGCAACGAAGCTCGTGTCGCCTCTTATTCGGATCGATTCGCAGAGTATCCACGGTGGCATTGCAGGATGCTCCCATGATCTGTCATCGTTGTGGCCTTATGTGCAGGCTGCGAGCGTACCAGATGACTTCATGCGAGATGCCCTTCACGACCTCCATGATCCTTATCTCCTGAAACTCATTCGAGCTTTGACGCCGTTGGGCAGTAAGGTGCCATCTCTCGATGCAAGATTGCTGCTCTCCCTCCTCCACAACCCCCATCGCATCCTTCTCATATGCCTGCAAGATTGTTGATGTCACCTGACGATCTCTTGGAGGCGTCTGGGTGGTTCCTTCCCTTTCTGATCCACTGGAGCTTTGACCACGAAGTTGCCTCAAGCTCGCCACAACAACGCTTCTCCTTCTTCACACATCCTTCATCACCCAATTTTCGACAACCCGCCCCCAGGCCATTGGCCGCTCCTCTCGTTACAAGGACTTCACAGTCCAGTAGCAAAGATGGACGCCGCCACCCTTCAGATGATGGCGGACCTGGGCGTCGCCCGCCGCGACGAGCTCTCCACCACCGAGATCGAAACCAGAGGACGTCCAGCACGTGTCGACCCGCGGGAACAGGCGCGTATCAGAGCGGAGGTCAAGGCTCGTCAAGAGGAAGCACAGAACAACGGAACTGCTGGCGTGGGCGGTTTTGAATCGAGGATAGGGAGATGGAACAGTGAGATTACCATTCTTCCAACCTTCATATGACTTCACTGACACAAGCCGCAGTCGCTGAGAGTTTCGACCGCGACGAAGTGGCCGAGCATCTAGTCGACCGTTTCAGCGGACAGGGTCATCGTGCGGAGCTCAGTCGCCGCCAGGGCACAGATGAGCACCGCTTTCAAGCTGGGTCGGGAGATGTCCGCATCCGTGGTAGCGGTCCTATGCGTGGCGGACTTGCCCGTGACAACCCAATGCGTGGCGGTCTCGGACGTGGAGGACCTGAGCGTGAGCAGCCAATGCGTGGTGGACCTGTGCGCTCCCCTGCGATGCGCGGCGGTCCATCGGGCGGACGTCATACGCGTAGAGATTCTGCACGCGGCGGCTCTGTTGGCGGTGCACCTGCCTTCCGCGAGCTCCTCTCAGCACCAGCCAGCATGCTGAGGTCGATCCATGCTGATCCGACTCCCTTCGCACCTGCTCGCCGCCGCAGCCCTCAGGGTCGCACACCGCCCACCCCAGCCCATGCTGCCGCTGCTCGTCGTACGAGCCCGCAGCGTCGCCAACCGCGCCCAACAGCCCGAGTTGCTACCGCCAGCGATTGGAGCACGTCTCCATCCCAGTCTCCACCAGCCCGTGCAGCCGCTGTTCGTCGTCCAAGCCCGCAGCGTCGTCCACCCGCTCCACCAGCCCCGGCCAACCGCGCTACCCCTGCTCGCCGCCTCAGCCCGCAGCGTCGCCTACCACCTGCACCAACACCACGCCAGAGGGCCTCTGCTCCCTCCGACTCTCCGTGGAGAGGACAAGAGGCTCCGAGTGCCTCCGGCGAAATCTCGCCCCCTAAGGCCGTGGTCGACATCTGGCGTGCCCAAGCTCTCTGGCATGCCGCAAATCCAGGCCCGAAGTGCAACGCCCACTACGCCATGTTTCCTGGTCGCGCCCAGTACCTTGGTGAGGCTCGCGAGAGGCTCATCGGCGAAGCCCTGCACCTTCTCAAGATCGGCAGCGCTCATGTGATTCAGATCTATGCGGAGACCCACCCGGAGCGCAAGTGGCTTCTGGAGTGCGCCGCGAAGGCTAAAGAGCAGATCGAGAACAACGCCACCGAGGAGGAGAGAGATCGTGCTTCCCAGGTGGATTCCAAGCATCGGATATTTCTCGACCGCGGGGCCGCTTTCTTCCAGCCAAGGCCACAGAGGGTCGTTGTGCAGCCGTCCTACCAGGCTATGGTTGGTGTGAAGCTGGCGGATGATGGGCTGTACGAGGAGGACTTGATCTCGTTCGATTGAGCTCTTTCCAGGAGAGGCCAGCACAACAGGTCCAGCGTTTCCAGCTTTCCCGCGATCCAGCCCGTAGAACACTCCATGACACCGGTCGAGAAGGGAGTGTCGGTGCAGTGAAGCGGTAAAAGCTCAGATAGGGAAATGCAATCATTTCAAATCACCTCCGTCGTCCAATCTTAGGCCTTACAGTCCATCCGTTTGTCCACTCAAGAATGAGAATTTTGATAACATTCTCAGCAGAACCAACGACCTTCCGTCTTCAAGAAAGCGTAGAGCTGTCGATAAGTTTTGAGTTCCCCGCTCGCCGTCTCAAACACGATGCTAACCAGGCTCTCAGCAGTCCGAGGTACCACTGGTCTGCCATCGTCCCATCGAAATCTTCTCATCGCACCACCGCCGCCGCAACCCCCAAAGCAGCTCCCGCCACCCACCTCATCCCTCCACCAAGCCCCGCCGTCGCCCTCGCACCCACCCCCTCACTCGAGCTCGAACCCCCCGCCCTCCCCTCCCCTTCCCTCACCCCCTCCAACTTCTCCCTTCCCGCCGTAACCGCCAACGTCGCGTACAGAATCTGCGAGTACGCGAGCGTAGACGTCGAGGCGAATTCTCCTAGCCCGGCGATCGCGCTCCGTCCGATGCACGTTGCTGCTGTGACGCTTGGTGAGCCGGAGAGGGCGCAGTTGATCGTTGCTGGGGCGGCGTTTGTTGTGGCGCCTTCACTAGAACCAAGGAGAAGGGACAGATTTAGTTGGGGTTGGAGAGAAGGGAGGGATGGGGGAGGGACGTACTCGTCGTGGTAGAATATGGTATAGACAAGCGTTCCGGGGCCTTCGGTGATGGTTACGGGGGTTGCGAAGGCGCAGGTGTCGTCTGAATTTTGAGATGGGGTGGACAGGCAGGACAGGGCGTATTCGGTGGCGTTGGGGGCTGCTGTGACGATGGAGGCGCCTAGATTTGGAGGGACGTCGAGGGGGAGAAAGATGGTTTTGATAGGGTAGTTGGAGGTGGGTGTTGGGGAAGCTGCGGTGTTGTTCACGGTCATTGGTGTTGTTTGGGCGCTCGTGAACTGTGGGATGATGGCGAGGAGGTAGAGGTAGAGAGTGTTAGGCAGCAGATTTGGAGCCATGCTTCTCGCTTAGCAGTAGTCGCTGGGAGATACGTGGTATAGAAACGAGATGACGGCTGAGGAGACCAGATGAAATGAAGGATACTCATCCCGATCCTACCATACTTGGCCTCTTCGCACTCGCCCCCGGCGGTCGCACAGTTAGTAAAGAATGACAGGAACGCCAATGCTTGGCTACTGTGGTTGTATGTGCGATTGATGTCACCCTGGAGGCTGCCGGGTGAGGTTCGAGTGGGAGTGCCGGCGAGGCGGAGTTCGCGGCTGAGATTGCCTTTGGAATCGCCCTTGGCGGCCGGGCCGTTGCTTCCGCAGACGTTGGACGATCTGGAGGCTGGCTCGCGTTAAGTGCGACGCGTGGAATGTGAAGGTTCGAGATCTGTTTTCGACGCCAAACAGCACCTCATACATCTGCGGCGACATGGCGACAGACACCGATATCAAGGGCCAACCCGCCATCAACCCAAACACAATCTTGGGTCCCGACGTCAGTAAGGTAGACCCGTTCCAAGAGACGCACGACATCGCGCAAGCAGCATTTCCACCGGAGCTATCGACCAGAATACGCGCCAGCCTTGGGCTAGACCAGACATATCATGAGCTGATCAGGGACATCTCGAGGCATGTCACCTCGCTCCAACACCGACAGGTGCCGCCGCAAGACCAGCCTGCAAACCCGAAGAAGAGGAAGCTTGAAGATGAATCGGTTACCATACCCAAGGCGCAGCAGAATGGGTCGCAGCCGGCATTCCATAACGGCGATCTGGAGATCCACAGCATTTTCGAATGCAGAGATGTCAGCGTGCAGATACCAGCGCGGAAGAAGCTGAAACTCAGCATACAACGAACCGAAGTGGATGACCGAATGGCCGCGATCGCGCTTGTCAACCAGTCGACCGAAGCTGTGGAACATCGACTGCAGCCTCACCGGCTCGAGGCGGTCTTTGTAATGCCCGTACCCGACAAGACAGTACGCCAAAACTATTTCGTCGTCATGCCGAAGGCAGGAGAGCTGAGCAGTGACGGCAAGCCAGCCGAGCCGATGGTCTTCACGATGGCGGAGACTCCTGTATCTGCTTCTGTGACGCACTGCGACAGGTCATTACCAACCAGCGAGGACGACACTCATGTCTCACTGACCGAGAGGGCCCTTGAACGAATACTGGTGCCGCACCATAAGCGCATCACTAGACCAGACGCAGCAGAGTTTGCGAGCAGTAGGCCGCAGCCGCATCGGAAGGGTGAGAAGGCGTATCATGTGAATGCACATAGTGGCAGCAAAGAAGGTACAGACATGATTTGCCTTCTTCACCAACATGCCTCGCTAATACCATTCCCTAGGCTACCTCTACTTCCTCCCCAACGGCATCCTGTTCGGCTTCAAGAAACCTGTGCGATTCTTCCCCTTCTCCGCCATCGAGAGCATATCCTACACCTCCGTCCTGCAACGAACCTTCAACCTCGTCATCGCGTATAGCGAACACACCGATGGTTTGGAACCGCAGGAGACGAAGCAAGCCGAGTTCAGCATGCTCGACCAAGAAGACTTTGCCAACATTGACGACTACATCAAGCGACACGGCCTGAACGACGCTTCCATGGCTGCGGATCGGAGGGCGAAGGCTTACAATGTCAATAAGGTGGCCAAAGAGGACGGCGTGAATGGCGATGCAGCGGCTGGCGGGGTTGACGAGGATGGTATGACGGAGTTGCAGAAGGCGGAGCAGCAGTTGCAGGATGAGGAAGATGAAGAGGAGGAGGATTATGAAGCATCAGGTGGCGAGAGTGATGGGGAAGGCGAGGAGAGTGGAGAAGAGAGCGAGGATGCAGAAGGCGAAGCTGAAGAGGAAGAAGACGAGGAGTAGAGCACTGCTTTGCGAATGGCTTAAAGATACGATGAGATGACGGTACATCCAATAGATCTAGACATTGACCGAGATGATGTATACTACATGTAGCTGGTGGAACTTGAAACCCCATCAGCTGGCGCGAACGCCGCGACTGCAGTTGTTACAAGATCCGTCCGTCAGACTTAAATACATGTAACTTGCGTTCTCATCAGTGTCCTTACATTGGAGCGCTGTCTGTGGAGAGCTCTGCAGCTGCCGGAAGAGGTCTGGCACGCAACGCCTCGGCTTTGCGGAGCCCGCTGGCGGGGAGTCGGGTCTGGAGTCAGAGCTCCCATCTGATCAACAGCCAAACACCTACAAACACAGCCTGTTGGGCAGACAGGACGGGACGCACAAAGATTCTTGGATACGCAGAGCATGTGACACAGACCTCAGTACAACATGGCAAGCCTCATTCGACCCACGAGCCGGCTGTCGACCGCGAACACCACCACAGCTCAGTCAGTTCTGTCCCTACCAACGCATCTACGAGTAGCAGCGTATACAGCAGCACAACAGCGAAGATGGGCATCCGAAGGCGCTCGCAAACACCCCAAGACCGCCCTCTTCTTCCCAGGTCAAGGTACGTGCCTCTACCACCCTTCACCGCTGCGCTTCGACTAACTGTATGTCTCCAGGCGTCCAACGAGTAGGCATGACCACGGACTGGCTAGACGCCTTCCCACGCACCGTCAAACCCATCCTCGAGCAAATCGACGAAACACTCCAGATCTCCCTTACCCGCATCATCGCCGAGGGTCCCAACAGCAACCTCACCGCGACTGAGAACGCGCAGCCCGCCATCATGGCCACGTCGATCATGATCCTGCGCGTTCTGGAGCAAGAATTCGGCTTTAAAACCAACGAGCGCATTGACCTCTGCCTCGGACATTCGTTGGGCGAGTTCGCTGCGCTGGTAGCAGGGGGATATCTGCGGGAAGCGGATTCATTGCGCATGGTGCGGAAGCGAGCGGAGGTGATGGCGAAATGCTCCCGCGACGTGGGAGAAGAAGTCGGGATGGTAGCCTTGGTCTGCGAGTCTGATCACTTGGGTCCGATGGTTGAGTCGATCCGGGAGTTTCTGGGCATGCATTCTGAGGGATCGAAGAGTGATAGCCACGGTGACACGGACCTGCCGCCTGTCCAACAGGTACTGATCGCGAACGTGAATGCGAAGAACCAAATCGTGCTGTCGGGGAGTATCCGCCGGATCAATGAGCTTTTGACGCATTTGCGGCAGTTTGCTGGTCATGATCCGAGGGCTGTGCGGTTGAAGAGCGATAGTCCGTTTCACTCGCCTCTGATGGCACCGGCGGCCGACATGATGAAGAAGCTGCTCTCCCAACCCTCGACAGTGGACAAAGGGGAGGACATGGTCACGTGGCCTGGCTCAATGCCGTGCATTTCGAACGTTTCAGCGCGGCCGTTCGAGAGCAAGCAGCAGCTCAAGGATCTACTGGCGCGGCAGTGCGTGGAGACGGTGCTGTGGCATGATAGTATTGTCTACCTGCATCGGGAGGAGAAGGTGAGGAGGTGGATTGGCATTGGGCCGGGCAAGGTGGGGAGGAATCTGGTGGGCAAGGAGGTGGGGATGAAGGGGGCGGTGAAGGGGGGTGGAGTGTGGGCTATTAGTGACCCGAGGGAGGTGGAGAGGGTGTTGGCGGACTTGGATAGGACGGAGGGGGCGGAGGAGGATTGATGGGTGATGGGATGAAGGGGAGCGTGCTTTTGAGCGCGGCGTTTGGTGTAAGCGATGTAGCGTACCACGATAACATGGTCCACGCCGGGTGACTTCCACAAGAGCCGCAGCGTCTGCTATCTCTCGACTACCACATATATACCGCGTTTCCCAAGTTTCAGGTTAAACTACTACTGCACGTACTGCCTCTAAACTGGGCTGTCGTGTGCTTTCTGACGAAGCCGACATCGGCCCTCTCAAGCTCACCACCACCACCCCTCGCCACGGTACCTGCATGAACACAACAAAGCAAGCAGCCAATCCCGTACCATGCCGCAGATCCTTATCTTTACGTCTGCGTGGCATGATGTTTTCCTCTCTGTCATGAGTGTTGCTTCTTCCACACACCTCTCCAGATCTGCCGCTATCAGTACAGCTTGCAGGCGCGGGACTATGGAAGTGACGTTGCTGTACATGCTTCTTGCCATTGACGGTTCGTTGGGACTGGAGCAAGCGGGTGGGTGGATGGTGTCATTGTTTACCAAGGTCTGGTATTTGTATTCTTTGCCTACTCATTAACCTTTTCTTTCCTACGACTTTCCTGAGATCTTCCTCTGGTTCCATCTCATCTCGTACCTCTACTACACACTCAAAGCTACAATCGCAAAGCTACAATCGCAAAGACCACAACCATGTCGAACCTCCCACCAGAAGCAGAGTTCGAGCAAGCGTACAAAGAGCTCGCCTCCACCCTCGAAAACAGCTCCCTCTTCGAGAAACACCCTGAGTACAAGACCGCACTCAAAGTCTCCGCCATCCCAGAGCGGGTCATCCAATTTCGTGTCACCTGGGAAGACGACAAGGGCCAACTCCAAGTCAACCGCGGTTTCCGCGTCCAATTCAACTCTGCTCTCGGCCCCTACAAAGGCGGTCTACGCTTCCATCCTACCGTGAACCTCAGTATCCTGAAGTTCCTCGGCTTCGAGCAGATCTTCAAGAATGCTCTCACAGGCCTGAGCATGGGCGGTGGTAAAGGCGGTGCGGACTTTGATCCCAAGGGGAAGAGCGATAATGAGATTCGCAAGTTTTGTGTGGCGTTTATGCGGGAGTTGCATAGGCACATCGGGCCGGACACTGATGTGCCGGCTGGAGATATTGGAGTTTCACCCAGGGAGATCGGGTGGATGTTTGGGGCTTACAGAGCGGAGGAAAATAGGTGGGCGGGTGTGTTGACGGGGAAGGGAGGGAACTGGGGCGGTAGTTTGATCAGGCCGGAGGCGACGGGGTATGGGCTTGTTTACTGTGAGTGCTGACTTCCCTTCATTTGGGGCTGGAGAGCCCAGCTGACTTATCCTCTCCAGACGTCCAACACATGATCCAATATGCCTCCGGAGGCAAGGAGTCATTCAAAGGCAAGCGGGTCGCCATCACCGGCTCCGGCAACGTCGCCCAATACGCCGCGCTCAAAGCCATGGAGCTCGGCGCCATCATCGTCTCCCTCTCCGACAGCAAAGGCTCCCTCATCGCCACCGACGAAAAGGGCATCACGCCCGATCTCGTGCACTACGTTGCAGACTTGAAGGTGAAGCGCAAGCAACTCACCGAGCTGTCCGAGAGCAGCGAGTACAAGAACAAATTCAAGTACATCGGTGACGGCGCGAGGCCGTGGGTGCATGTGGGCAAAGTGGACGTGGCGTTGCCATCTGCGACGCAAAATGAGGTTAACAAGGAGGAAGCGGAGAAGCTGATCGAGGCTGGTTGCAAATTCATCGCTGAAGGGTCGAATATGGGCTGTGAGCAGGATGCGATTGAGGTGTTTGAGAAGGCGAGGAAAGAGAAGAAGGGGGATAGTATTTGGTACGCTCCAGGTAAGCTAGCACTCTCCCATACCTCCACTGCTTGCTTGAGCATTGCTGATGAAATGAACAGGCAAAGCAGCCAACGCGGGTGGCGTAGCAGTCTCCGGGCTCGAGATGGCACAGAACAGCGCGCGCCTGAAGTGGAGCGCCGAAGAGGTCGACGAGAAGCTCAAGGGCATCATGGAGGCGTGCTTCAAGAACTGTCTCGAGACGGCCAAGGAGTTTGTGCCGGCTGCGGAGGGCGAGTATCCGAGTCTGGTGGCCGGAGCGAATATTGCTGGGTTCAGTAAGGTCGCTGCGGCGATGCATGATCAGGGTGATTGGTGGTGAGGTCGGGGAATGAAGGGGGATGGTGTGCTGTAGATTTGGTAGAACTTGGGCATCTCCTCCAGACGAGTTTGATGCATTCCTGTGATGTGTGTTCTCCGTGGTAAAAGCAGTTGTGATGCCGGTACAGTGACTGCAGAAAGATGATGGTGTTGCTGGGAAAGTTGAGACGAAAGGCAGGTCGGGACGCCCGGGAGGATGAGCTTGGCGTGACTTCTCTCTCGACTCCATCCCATCCCTTGCTCCATATGCTCTTCCAGCACATCTTCTCTAAGGCGCAAACGATTCTCAAGCTCAGATTGCGCTGCGGAAATGTTCTGCACGCCCGCAGTGCTCGAGATGTCCGCCCCATTGAACCCCAGCCCAGCCGATCCGAAGACGAGACGAGATGATGGGATAACTTGATACACCACCTTCTCAGCAACCCGAACAACTCTGAAGCTCAGATACACCAGCACATACCCTTGTAGCCACTTACCGCCTTCGAGAACATGCTCAAGACGACCTCCATGTCCACCACCGCGCTTGGACGATCAGCCGCAAGAACACACCAATTCCTGGCCTCATTGGTATGATGTTGCGCGTGACTGTTACCGGACCGGTGTGTCTCGGCTTCGGCGGCGGCGGAGGGAACATCTCGTCTGGGTGCAGTGGCGGCATCATTGTCGCTGCGGCGGAGAAGGGGTGGTGGAGGACTGCGATTGAGAGAAGGGTTAGCGGATGTCTCGAGGGCAGTGAGAATGTGCATGGCGGTATGTCAGTGGCTGCGCTGGGGGCATAAGTGGTGTGGTAAAGGGGAATGATTGAGCGATGGTGGTCAGTGAAGACGCTGTTCTTGCGCTCTTCGAGGAGGGGCGTGCTGCTGTGGTGACTGACATGGCCATGGACTGGGAGCTCGTGGCGCGGAGAGGAGGTGATGGGCTCGATGGTACGCGCTGCTGCTCACCGAGAGCTCGTTCTCGGGTGCAGTAAGGGTGGTTGTGGTAACGCGTGGTATGCTGTGCTGACAGGGGTCTCGCGGAGAAGGGGCAAGAAGCTTGATGTGCTCGAGAGGGACTTACGATGAGGATGCTGCTGCTGTCGCTGGCGAGGAGGTCGTCTCGCTCGACGGACGTGTGGTGGTGGTGCTGCTGCGGTGGATGTGCGAGGATGGTGAGGTCTCTGGCGCGGAGAGGTGGGAGGACGCTCGGTCGTTACGATGGTCTTGTGATGATGTTGCTGTCGTCGAAGGCTCTTCTCTCGTTCTCTCCGGGCGGATGCGGTGCTGCAGCGAAAGAGGTGGTGTTGTGGTGAAGGTCGTGTATTTGGGAAGGAGGAGGTGTTTGTGCGCTCGGAGGAACCTCGACGGAAGCCGGAGGGGACTCGCTATACGAGCTGGTCGACGAATTGCCCTACCACCCTGCCACGAGTCCACGTCGCTATCTCTACTCTTGAAAATTGGTGATGGGGTTGTCTGTGGTCAAAAGATGAACCTCCGTTTCTCTTGTGATGATTGAAGGTGTATGTGGCGTGTTGTGGAAAAAGTGGTGAATCAACTCGTGAAAAGCCCCAATCAGGAAGGAGCTGGAGGGCTGTCCGGGATTCGAACTACGCGACTCCGTACACGGCTCACGGCGATGGGGAACCCCTCCCCGTGGGCAGGAGCATGTGCACATTGCAATGCCATGGCTGTTGCAATAAGGATGTCGACTTCGGGGGCTGGGACTTGACCTGACGACCTCCTTGATACGTCCCATTGTAGGGAGACCTTTGTTCAGCGGCATGGAGCGACCATTGCAAAAGACAACCCATCTTTGGGAAGGGGGTATCATCCTACCGCAAAAAGGCTTTGCTATGGTGAGAGAAAGGAGGAAGGGAAAAAAAGAATGTATGTATGGATACCCCACGACCAGAGACAATTATCGTCTCAGATCGAGTTGGGCGACTCCAATCGTTGTGGGTTGATAACTCAACAGACTCGAGACAATCCTCGAATCGACTGAGCATCGCAGTTTACACAGCCATTGCCATGCCGCCATCGCCAGTCGGAAACCGAAAGGGAGGCACTTACCCTGAAGGTTTAACGTCCCTCAGACGAAAGCAACGCGGGGGGGTTGTATACATACGTAACCGGTCCCCCACCATTCTTAAGCAGCGCATTGCGTGCCAGCGCCAGCTGAATAGGCTGCTGATGGGATGTAGAAAGTTCAGAAATAAATATATACCTTTGCGGAGGTGACTCGGCGATCTTTCCCCGGCAGCGACGGCGGCGACGACATGGTGGGTTGTAACACACCGGAGTAGTCGGAGATCCTTCGCAATGGTTTGGCGATGCTCAGCATATCATCAGCTAACGATATTATCGCCGTTGAGACGAGTTATCGTCGCCGAGGGGGTGGAGGTGGAATTGTCACGTGCACCGGCCGGGCCGGCGCCTCACCTCCGCCCACAACGCTGCATTGCGATTATGAGGCTTGGAGGTTCAACAGGACGCTCAGGAGACGCTCTGTATATGCTAACATTGCGATTCACTTGAGATCAGAGCGAGAGACTCGAGGTCAGGGCAGGAGCGGCGCAAGACTTGATCCAGGACGGCCGCGAGCTGTCAGGCAGCATGGGATGGCACGACTTTCGAGCAGATGGCCGTCTCATGGTGATCATCCATCGGCTGACTCCATTGCCACAGACGCTGGGAACGAGCTGAACTTTTGGGCAGACCATTCACTCTGCAAGCAGTCGCGATATAGGCACGAGGAGGACGTTGGTAGGCGGCGACTCCAGGCATAAAAGCTACACCCAACAAAGAGGCACGATTTGGCCAGGCAGATGGGCGAGAACCCAACGAGTCTTTGTTCGACAGTCCACAATCCTCGAGCGTATCGCCTTTCTCCTTTCCAACCCCTTTGGGAGGCACATGTACGCGGAGACGCAGCGACGACCATCAACGAAAGGCATCGAGGCATTGCAGCGACTCCTTGGGGTGCGAGACAATACTTGCTTCGGGGCGAAGGATGGACGGTAGCAACAATGGTGTTCTTTGTTCGCTGAACCGAGGTTTGCATCAGTCATCTGATTGCTACCTTGGTCTCTCATCAACAGCATGGGTCGACAGAAACGCGCAAAGACCGCTTCCACACTCGAGGTCCCTTGACGGATCGCCACTCGGCGAGTTCACCCTTCACAAGATCGCCGCTCAACCGACTTGGAGGCACGGCTTCGAGAAAGCGCGAGCCAGGCATTGAAGATGCGTAAAAGGTCATCCAGCAGGACGAGAGTCTTTACGGTATCAAGAGCCGCAGAGCGCAGCAGACAGACACATCGTTTGACCACACAGCCGACTTGACGAGTCTAGCTTTGCTAGGCGGGATGCGCGCACGACGAAGCCAAGCGAAGTAGCATCAAGACTGTGCGGCCCATAGGATAAGGGGTTCTTTGCTGACTCTAAGCGACTGTGCCTGGAAAGGAACGACCAAACCAGGCGCACAGAGACATCTGATCACTTGCAGCCCGTACTCAAGAGCGCCTGCTACTTGCCTTATGGCCATCTTGAACGATCTGTCGCCGCTGCGCATGTCTCTGCCCACACCTTGCAACGCCAAAACGAGCTCGAATGAAACAACCACCATATCCTCGATTTATGCACGCTTGGATCAGCAAGGGTCATATTGAAGCGGACAGATGAACGTTGCGCGGCTGCATCGGAGAAGGAGCAGCGGAGAAGGAGCAACAAGCGCATGGGTTCAGAGACAAGGATGGCACTGTCGCGATTGCATTGGAGGACACGATGCACAACGTGACGCTTGCGAGGTAGGAGCACATCTACAATGTCTCTTTCGAGCTGGGGGGACACTGTCGTCCGACGGCCTCGTTGCTCATCTTCCATAGTCTGAGGTAGCACCGCAGGGGTAGCGGGCTCAATTGCGACAGTAGGACGATAGTATAGATGCTTAGCGAGAGAAGACGAGTTCGGGCGCGAAGGGAAACAGCAGTCGCTCATCAATGTTGTGAGGGGAGAAGGCGCTGTTGACTGCAGAATTCCTCGCTTCCGGTACATTGGTTCCTTTGTCTGCACCGTTCGGTGTTGAGGTGATGCTACTATCCTAAACGGTCTGATTACGACTCCTTGGCCTGTAAATGTGCTGGTGGCGAGCAGCTTGTTGACTTCGACGTCCTCGACGACGTCCGCGCGGCGAGATGGACCTCCGCCCCGCCAGCGTTGCCGCAATCGATCGCCCCTACCGACTTCGACGCTTAGGAGAACGCACGGGTGCAGCCATATTACTCGCCATGACCACCATTGAGAGGGCATCATGGCCGCGGTTCCAGCCAAGCTCGCTTCACGTCCAAACCGATCACGTACACCAGGCGCATATGCACGTGATACACCAGTGAACACTGAACACCACCACACCGGGCGATGAAGGCCTTGTCGAGGACAGAGAGGATGCGCAAAGGCTACGCGCCACATGAAAGCCACTCGATTGAACGCCATCGAACACCACTTCCACCACTGGCCACCGAAGCGGACAGCCGCAACGAAAGGCTCGCCAAAGGAATGACGGCAGCGCGGCTGATGAAGGGGAGCCTCCATCAGAGCAGTGCATGTCTGAACGACAGGCTCCTCGGAGAGGTCTTCAGACCGCTTTTGACAAGACTGCGCCGACAAGGTACGGAAGGTCTTGCGCCACCAGACCTGCGGCAATGTTGCTGAAGGTTCGAGGCCATGTTCGATGGGAAGGTGAAGAGCTTGGGACCTGCGGGATGGTTGTGCAGACGAACATGGCCTCTAGGACCAACAAGCAACGCATTCGCAGCTCGCACGATGCAGACCTTTGCTACATCCGGATTGTCTTCTGAGTCAGGTACTCGTCTTTGGAGTCTTGCGGCCCAGAAACGCTCCTGTGATAATCACGACAACCGCGAAAGGCGCTGGACCTTCCGCGCGATGCAGCAGACCTCGAAGCCATACTCAGAGAGAATGTCAAAAGCTGGCGTCAGGTGCTACGATCGCGAAATCAAGGCTG